GGACTGGTAGGGACACTTGACGCGTGCAGGACTGGTATGGACAGGGAGGGGGGGAGAGGGTGCACCCGAGGTGGTAGAAGTGGTCGTGGTGGTGGTAGCGGAGGTGGTGGTGGTAGCGGAGGTGTCGGTGGCGGTGGTGGTGGCGGTGGCGGTGGCGGTGGCGGTGGTGGTGGCGGTGAGGAAGGGACTCACGGCAGCAGGTTGTTCACGGTGATGATTGTTCGTGGTGATGGGGACAGACAATGGGCGACTCGACAGGAGATATCACGATTGTAGGCGCGGGGCTGGTGGGCGCGATGGCGGCACTCGCGCTGGGCCAGCGCGGGTTCAAGGTGACGGTCCTCGAGTCGATGCCGGACATTCGGACGCTCCCGGCGTACTCGGGTCGGTCGATCAACCTGGCGCTGTCGGCGCATGGGCTTGAAGGGCTGGATCTGGTGGGAATGGGCGACGAGTGGCGTGAGCGCGGCATCCCGATGTACTCTCGGTTCATCCACAATGCCGACGGCTCGACAAGCATCCAGCCGTACGGGCAGCCCGGCGAGCACATTCTCTCGGTGGATCGGCGACTGCTTAACATCCGGCTGATGGAAGAAGCGGAGAAGCTGCCGAATGTCAGCTTTGTGTTCAACGCCAACGTCCGCGAGATCGACTACAAGAAGAAGCATCTGGTGTTTGAGGCGCAAGAGGAAGCGAACGACGGCGGTGACGGCGGGCACTCTGGCGCGCAGACGACGAGCGTGGCGCTGCGCAAGCGGTCGCTGATGGAGCGCGATACCGACCTCATTGTGGGCGCCGACGGAGCGTACTCGGCGGTGCGCACGTCGCTGCTCAAGTCACGGCGGTTCAACTACTCGCAGGAGTTTATCGACCATGGCTACAAGGAGCTCAACATGGTGGCTGTCGACGACGACTGGGCGCTGGCCAAAAACCACCTGCACATCTGGCCGCGCGGCTCGTTCATGCTCATTGCACTTCCGAACGAGGACAAGTCGTTCACGGTCACCCTCTTTATGCCGTACGCCGCGGCCGACGGTGGATTCAACGACCTCGACACCGACGAGAAGATTGAGGCCTTTATGACGTCCAACTTTCCGGACGCGGTCCCACTACTCGGCAACTACGTGTCTGACTTTAAGACGAACCGGACCGGGCCGCTCATCACGGTCAAATGCTCACGGTACCACTACTTTGACTCTGTGGTGCTCATGGGCGACGCGGCGCACGCCATCACCCGTTTGCCGGCGAGGGCATGAACTCGTCGTTCCAGGACGTGGTCAAGTTTATGGCGCTCCTCGATGAGTACCCGTTCCGCACGGCGCGGCGCTCGCTGCTCGGCGCGTACTCTGCGGCGCAGGTCCCGTCTGGCCATGCTGTGGCCCGCATTGCGCTCATGAACTACATTGAGATGCGGTCGCACACGGCGTCGACGCTCTTCCTCCTCCGCAAGCGGATCGAGGGCGTGCTACATGCGGTGCTGGGTGACGTGTGGCGTCCGCTGTACTCGATGGTCCACTTTACCACCATGCCGTACCACATGGCGCTCGAGCGCAGCGCCAAGCAGGACCGCATCGTCGCCGGCACCGTGTGGCTGCTGGCGTCGGGTGCGGCGGCCGGCGGCGCGTGGGCCGTGGCCCACTTTTTCGGCTCGGCCATCGCGTCTGCGGCAACCAGCGCGCTGACGAGCCTCAACGGCGGCGTGGCGCCCAAAGTGCCACGGCTGACGTGGGCGCGGCTGTAGGTTGGCCATAGACAACTTGAGGGTTCATTACAGTCACCACGAGGTGAGGCAGGAAGAGCTAGACGGTGTAGCGGTCGCGGTTGGTGAACGAGCGGTTACGCTTGATGCAATCGGCGTGGACCTGGTAGCCGATGGAGAGGTCCTGCGGGAGCTCACAGAACTCCTTGAGCTGGTGGCCGATGCGCTTGCAGTGGGCCTCGTTGGACGCGTCCGCGGTCCAGACGGCGACACGGTCGTGCTTCTTGCGAGCCGAGCACACAGCGCCGCAGATCTCCTCGGCCTGGTCAAACGACTCGCCGATGATAGCGAGGACGGTGTACATCCACACGTTGTCGATCTGCTTCTTGTCGCGCGGCTTGTTGAGGGTGATGACCCACTTGCCACCATTGCGGTTGGCATCGTGCTCCCACGACGGCTCCACGCCCTTGACAAAGAGATGGTAGTTGGACGAGACGCGGAGACCCGACGCCGGCGCCACGTTGTTGAACAGGGCCCACGCGTCCTCGACCGTGTTAAAGTCGTACACCCGCTTGAGGTTCTTGGCCCAGTCCTGCTGCGACGTCTTGCGGTCGGGGCGATCGTACCACAGCGACCACGTACGGTGCAGCGGGTGCGTGGGGACGAGCTCGGTCGAAGCCGAGGGCGCCGGGACGACAACGTCCGACGGGCCGTCAGCACCGTCCTCGGCAGGAGTCGACGCAGGCCGGGGCTCGGCAGAAGTCGTGTCAGCCATGGCTCTCTCCAGGCGGTGTGTACGCAGCGGGAGCGATGCGGCGGTACGGGAGGGGGAGGGGAGGGGGGGGTGCTGCTGCGAGGTGGGAGTGGCTGGGGCAAAGTGGCTGCAAACGAGAGCTGGGCTTCGTTGCCTGTTCTCGGGGCAACAGATGGGAGCGTGGGTGAGTTCTGGCAGTAAGTGAAGACCTGCAACACTTCCTCAACATGTTCCTCACCGATACAGTCCTGTTCCAGGACATAAAATGAGGTGGTTGTCATGGTCTTGCCCCCCCCCCAGGCCACGTCCGTGGAAGCTCCAAAAATCGATGGGATGGACGGCAGCGGTCGCTCGCGAGGGGGGGTAGAGGGTGGTAGAGGGTGGGGGACAGAGGGGCGGACACGAGGGGAGGGCGGTAGGGTACCAGAAGGGGAGGATGAGGGGGGAAAGGGTAGGAAGGAGAATGGAGAAAGGAAGGGGAGTGTGTCCGTACAGGTGAGGGTGGGGTGGCGGAGGCTGAATGCTGCTCTCGGGAGTGGGCAAGCGTTCTGTCCCGACGGTCACCGACCGAGCCGCGTTCGCAATTCGAATTGGATTGGCGATGGAGTGGCGGCAGGGGGAGGGGGGGGGGGGTCGGCGGCTGTGGGGCGGGCGGCTGGGGGGTGGGCGGCTGTGGGGCGGGAGGGGGGGGGGAGGGGGCGGGAGAGGGGGGGCTACCACTCCACCTCCTCTGCCTACCTCTACCGCTGCACCCATCAACCACCACCTTTGGATCCACCACCTCTACTCCACCCCCGTTCCACACTCCCATCGCACTATGGGCTGTTGCCAGTCAAAACCCGGTGTGGTACGTTCTCTTCAGTCGCTGGCATACCCGTTGCCGACCTCTTGCCCGAGACCGTTGCTGGTGTGGCCATGGCCATGCTTCCTCCTCCCCCCCCTTCCTCCCCCCCTTCCTCCCTCCCCCCCCCTCCCTCTCTACTCCTTATCCTCCTCCTCCCCCCCTCCTTTCCTTGCACATACGCTCACTCTGTCATGCCGGCAGGCTCCGGACGACGAGACCCGTGCGGCTCAGGGTGTGGACGAGGGTGGCATGGTGCCGGTGGTGCCGGCCGGCGGCGAGAGCGACAGGAGCGACGGGAAGGGCACAGTGAGCGAGGATGCTGAGAGCGAACGCGGCAGCAGCAGTGCGGAGAGCGAGGATGGCGACACAGATGGTGGGAGAAGCGATGCCAGTGGCGGTGACGAGGCCCAGCCGCAGCAAGCGGACTCCACCGGATCGGCGGCTGGGGCCGGGCCTGTGGCTGGGGCCGGGCCTGTGGCTAGCGCCCGGGCTGAGCCTGGGCGCGGGGCAAAAGGGAAGCGCAAGGCATCTGCCTCGCTCCATGATCGTCCGCAGGCGATTTACGAGTCGGCATTTGACCGGTATGACGCAGATGGGTCGGGGACGATCGACAAGGAAGAGCTCGCCGAGCTGCTGACTAACCTTGGCTGGCGAGCCGACCGTCACACAGTCAACGAGGCCGTGGCGGCGCTCGACTCGTGTGGAACCGGCGAGATCGACCGCAACGAGTTTGTGACGTGGGCCAAGTTTGCATGGCGGAAGCAAGTGCTCTCGGGCTCGGCCATTGCCGACGGCATCGACGAGGCCGAATCGCCGTCGCAGCTCCTTCGCCGCAAGTCACTGACGATGCGGAACGCCGGGGCTGGGTCTGGGTCGGCGCAAGCACGGCGGCGTGCAGGCTCGGAATCGCGTCCGCTCTCGCTTGTCAACCCGCTCACGCCGCTGGCGGAGAACGGGCTGGCCGACACGTCATCGCCGCTCAGGCGGGCGTCGTCGAGTGCATCGGCCTCGCCCGAGCCCGGCCCTCACGCGGTAGGCCTGAAGCCCGGCAACATCATGAGTGAGCACGATCGGCCGAGGGCCATCTACGAGGCTGCATTCCGTGAGTACGACGTTGACGGCTCGGGCGAGATTGACAGCTCGGAGCTCGGCGCTCTCCTCCGCGACCTTGGATGGAACGCCACGCCGGCTGCTATCCGCAACGCGCTCTACTCGCTCGACGCAGACTCGAACGGGACCATCGAGCTCGAGGAGTTCCTCTCGTTTGCCAAGTTTGCGTGGCGCGAGCACGTGGCGACTGGCTCATCGCAGGCCGACGGCCTCCGCCCGCACGAGTCGCCGTCGGGCCAGCTGCGCCGCAAGTCGCGCGAGCGCTTTGAACGTGAGATGAGCCGCGAGCTCTCGTCCGAGATGTAGCCAGAGATGTAGCTTAGTTTAACACTGGGTGCGCGTCAGGCACCAAACTCGCGGGCGGTGATGGTGGAAAAGCCGTGACTATCCTTCTCGACCTGCCAGAACTTGGTCGGCGGCCGCTCGAGCTTGGAGTTGAGGGCATGGCAGAACTCCTGGTTGTGGGTGATGAGGATGAGCTGAAAGTTGGACTGGCGCGAGCGCTCGTTGACGATCGAAGCAAGGGCGCGGGCCATCGACCGCGCGTTGGCCTTGTCGAGCTGTGCCGATGGCTCGTCGAGAGCAATGAGGCCCGAGTGGAGGCAGAACGACTCGGCGAGGGCAATGCGCACAATGAGCGAGGCAATGCGGGCCTGCCCTGCCGAGCACCGCGCGCGCATCGGCGTCTCGACGCCGTCACGGATGGCCACGAGCTCGTACTTGAACGCAGAACGCGCAGAGTCCGACTCGGTGCACGCAATCATGATGTTGTCGATGTCCGAGTTTTGGTACACCTTTTCCCACAGCATCTTGATGGTCTTGTTCACCTCGGCCATCTTGAGCGTATGGTACCGCTGCAACGCCGAGTCGAGCGCGTGCTGGTACCGGTCGAGGTCCGCGCTTGCCATCTCAGTCGTTTTGATCTGGATGAGCTTGGCCTCGTAGTTTGCCTCGCCTTGCTGGAACTGTGGCTCGTTGAGCCCGGCTCGGAGCACGTCAGCGTGCGCCTTCTTGCCCTTGATCAAGCCCTGCAGCTCTGCCGCCTTTGACGACAACTTGCTGTGCTGAACCTGGAGCTCGCTGAGCGAGAGACCCGAGCTTGTGCTCCCGCGCAGCTTGGCCGCCTTGGCGTTGGCCTGCGCCAGAAGCTCGCGCAGGCTGTCCAGCTCGCGCGATGCTTTCCGGTAGTCGATGTTGGCGTCAATGAGTCGCTTCGTCTCCTTTGAGTCGGCGAGTGCGGCCTGGAGCTGCGACTGCGCGGTCTCCAGCTCGGTACGCTTTTGGGCGCTCGCGTCCATGTCACTTTCAAGCTGGTCGAGCGCCGCCTTGGCCTTGGCCAGCGCCGCCGGCGAGCCCTTGCGCTCGAGCTCGGCCAGCTCAGTCGACATCCGCGCCAGCGAGTCTGCAGCATCCCTTGCGGCCGAAGCGCGGAGTCGTGCGGCCCTAACCTTGGCGTCGGCGCCTGTGGCTGAAGCCAGAGCAGCAGCCTCCGCGTCGGCAAGTTGCGCGCGCAGCGGAGCCAGGCTGTTGTCAGCGTGCTTGATTTTGGCTTCGGCTTCGGCCAACGCCGCTGTGAGGGCCTCTGACTTGGCGAGTGCGCTTTCGGCGCGCGCCTCCTTGTTCTGCAGCTCGAGTACTTTGGCTTTCGCCTCGCTAGCAGCGCGCTCGGCCGCCGCCAGCGCGCTCGCTGCCGCCTCGATCTCAGTCTCAAGCTCGCGGCTGCGGGCCCGTTTTGCTGCCAGGTCCGCCTTGAGAGACACGACACGGGCATGTAGCTGCGGCGTTGTCTCGGCACCGAGAGCTGCGTCGCCACCTGAGCCGACAGCACCCTTGGCAGCATCCAGCTCGGCGGTGGCAGACGCGACGGCAGCCGCCGCCATGGAAGCCTCGCGCTCAACCCGGAGCAGCTCGTCGATCATGCTCTTGAGCTCATCGCCAGCGTCAGCGGCACTTTTGGCAGCCTCCAATCCTGCCTCGGCAGCAGCAGCCGCAGCAGAAGTTGATTCGGCGGAGGCCTTGAGCTCAGCGATCTTGGCCTCCAGAGCCGGCTTGGCTTGGGTTGACAGTCGCTCGAGCTCGACCGCGATGGGGCGGAGGGTGTCGAGACGGGCGAGAATGACGTCACACTCGTCAAGGTCGGCTTGGAGCTTGACGGTCGAGACATTGCTGGAGGCTTCGTCCAACTTGGACGCCAGCTCGCTGACAAAGGCAGCCAGAGCCGACGACGAGTCAAATCCGCGCGAGCAGAGCGGACAGGCGTGCGAGTCTTCGGCGGCGGCAATAAAGGCCTTGAACTGGCCGACGACCGACGATGCTGTCAGCTTCTTGGCCTGCAGCTTGGACTTCAGCTTGTCTTTGTGAGCTTGGGTCTTGGTGATGACGTCCTCCAGCTTGCTCTTGGCCGTGTTCTTCTTGATCTTCTTGGCATGCGCCTTGATCTTGGCCTCCATCTCGACAAGCTCGGCCGTAGCGTCACCAAGCTGTGCAGCGACGACCGAGGCCTGAGCCTGGGCCTCGCGGGCGGCAGCCGATGCGGTGTCACGGTCTTGGGCGAGCTTGGCAAGCGCAATGTTCACCTGCGCCTCTAGCGCGGCCACGTCCGCCGAGCGAATAGTGGCGGGATCCACACCCGCTACCTTCTCGATGAGCGGAGCGGCGTCGGCACGGAGCTGGGCCAGCTCCGCCGCCTTGGCCTCAGCAGCCTCGGTCTTGGAGTCAAGCGCGGCCTGGAGACCGGCGAACCTCGTCCGGCGCGAGAGTTCAGCATCAACGGCAGCAAGCTGAGCATCGAGTTGCTCGCGTGCACCACGCAGCGCGCCCAGCTCGGCCTTGAGCTTGGCGCCGGTGCCGGAACGGGCAGAAGATGCCAGCACAGCTTCGGCGGCGTCGCGCGCAGCCGTGGCCGACTCGAGCTGGGCGCGAATGCCGGCAAGGGCGCCGGGCGCCGAGACCGGCGACGCGGCGGCGAGGGCAGATATCGAGGCGCGCGCCTCGGCGGCGGCGCGGGCGGCGGCCTCGCGCTCGGCGCAGAGCGTGGCTTGGCGGACCTTGAGCTCTTGGATCTTGGCGCGCGAGGCAGCCTGTGAGGCAGCGGCAGCATCCTCGGCGGCGGTGAGCTCGCGGGAGGTGGAGGAGACCCGCTTGACGAGCGCTGCGCGAACATCGTCGGGCGAAGCCGAGGCCGAGAGGCCGAGGCCGAGCTCGGCATTGGCGGCGGTGAGGCGGGCGTCGCGCTTGGCGATAAACGAGTTGAGGGCCAATGCAGCCGAGTTGAGCTCGGCGTGGGCGGTGAGCGCGGCGCGGTAGCGGTTGGCGAGCGGAGCGGCGGCAGCCTGCTCGGCCTTGAGCAAAGGCTCGATGGTGTCGAGCTTGGTCTGTGCGGCCTGAACGGTGTCGAGGTACTCGTTTTGCTGGCGAAGGAGGTCGTCGTCGGATTCTTCGAACTCAAAGCCTTGAATGCTGGTCTTGATTGCGGCGCAGTTGCGCTCGCATACCTCAATGGTGACATGGAGCTCGCCGGCGCGGCGCTCCAGCTCGTCGAGCTTGGCGGCGACCTTGGAGAGCTGTGCAAGTTCGTCGGTGATGGGCGCAATTGTGGCCTCGATTTCTGCGGCCTGCGACTCCAGCTGGGACATTTCCTCGCAGACAAGCGCAAGCTGGTCCTTGTTGGATTTGGCGTGGCGGCGGATGGTCTCCTCGTTCTGCAGATCGCGGCGGAAGAGGGCGATGCGTTGGCGGTTGTCTGCGATCTCACGCTTCATGGTCTTGATGGCTTCGCGGTAGGCAGTGGCGTCAAAGATCTCGTCGAGCACCTTCTTAAGTTCCGAGTCAGAGCCGAGGATCCACTCTTCGTTCTGCTGGCAGAAGATGACCCGGTTGAGGACGGCGGCGGTGACGCCGAGCAACTTGGGAATGAGGACATTGACCTGCGAGCACTTGCCGGTGATCGACGTCACCTGGCCATCTTTGCCTGGAAGCTTCATCGAGACATCAATTGTCTTGGAGGTGACCGACTTGCGGGTCTGCCTGGCCACCAGTCCGCGCGAGACCACACACGCCTGCTCGGCCGCGTTGCGGAACTTGAGCTTGATCTGCGCCTTGATCTCGGGCACGCGGGACATTTTGGGATCGGAGATAAACGACGGCAACTTGCATCCGGGCGGCAGCTGGCCGGTCGTCGCGTACCGCAGCGACTCAATGATGGCCTGGGCAAGCGGCGGGTGAGTGTGTGTGTGTGCCCTCGTCAAAGTGCGACCTTTTTCGAGAGGTAGAATCTCAGGCGAGGCCGCCGGGAAGCAGGGGCAATGGCCCGGCAGGGAGGGCAGAACAGGAGAAAAGGCCCAGTGCGGGTATGTCCTGGACATGGGTGTCGCTTACGGTTGGGCAATGGGTAGCGTACTGTCTTGCCTGCACCGTTCTTGCCCACAATGATGGTCAGCGGCTTGTCGAAGTTGATGCACGACTCGTTGTCGGTGGCATACGAGCGGATGCCCCGGATGAGCAGCTTCTCGATGCTGGACATCGGAGGCAGGTGTGGTGATGGGAAGGGTGTGTGTGGGGGTGGGGGGGGGGGGAGGGGGGGGGGGTAGGGGAGGGAGTGGAGTGATGACGCACAAGTCGGGGGGTGGAGGGGGGTAGAGTGAGTGTGCCCGCGCCGGCTTCAGGTGGCGACTCGACTGGTGGTGGGCGGAGACGGCCAACGCCGGTCGAGTCCTTGGCCATGGGCTATGTGAGCGGGGCCGGCCAGATCGCACCAGATGGCAGATGGCGTATAATGGCGTCTGACCGTTGATACAGTCGAGGTGTGGTAGACCCATCAGCATGCCCCCCTCACCCCCCCCCTGGTCGAGGTAGATTGATCAGTCTCGGCCTTCGCCACCGCTTGCCCTGCGCTGATCGATACTGTTGACATCACTGGCAATACTGGGCCTCATCTCGCTAGGCGTAGGCCCGTGCCTCGAAAGAAGCGCCATCGGCTGCTAATCAGCGCGGGAAGGTGCGGCGGATGGGTGTGGGACGTTTTTCGCAGCCACGTGGAGGCACGCGCCGCTTTCGCTCGCTTGTGGTGTTCGTCGCATTAGCTCGGCGAGAAGGGCCACCTCACGCAGAACGCCTTGGGCTGACTGACTGTTGCCTCCACGTCACATATTTCTTGTTTGAGGCAAGCCCAGCTACACTCGCCTCGGTCGTGGACGTCCCTGCTTCCGGCTTCCGACTTTTGTGGCGTGTTCCCTGAACCCCCGCCGTCGCCGTCGTCCCTTGCCGCCGACCCCGTCGTCGGTTCTTCTTCGTCCTTCTTCACCCTCCGCCTCGCCTCTGCCCGGAGGCGCATCAGCATGCGGCGACTGGCGCGGACGCTGTTCCTCCACGGACCGCTTCGTGACGCCGAAGTCCGGGCCTTGGTCCTGCCCAAGGACAAGGCGAGCCTCTGGGATCCCGCTCTTCCCGCCTCTGCCCGAGGGGCGGTTCTCCCGGCGCAGGCCAAAGGCTTTGAGCTGACGTACCCGGCGGTGTTCTCCACCCCGCCTGGGCTGGGCAACGAGACTCTGGGCGGCGCCGGATTCAGCGCGGCTGAAGATCTGGCGCTCGAGGCCGAGATGCCGGTCCCGCTGCCGCGGCCGGGCAAGCTGCTCAAGGGCGTTGTGCTCGCCGGTGCGTCGCAAGACGCGGTAGAGCGGCTGACGCACCTGTTTGGCGCCGATGCCGTCGTCGCCCCGGTGGCTGTCCAGGCCGTCGTTCCGCATCCGTTGCCCGGCGCGGCGGTGGCCGCCGCCACTGCCGCCGCTACTGCCGCCACTGCCGCCGCCACCGCAGTCGAAGCGGCACCCGTTGTGCAATCTGGCGCGCTCCCCCAAGTTTTGACCCAGCTGGTTGGCCCGCTGGCTCCATACTTGGTCGACTCGCTGCTGGCCAAGCAGCCGCCGCTCGCGCCCGAGTCCAAGCTCCGGCTCCGGCTGGACGCCTGGATGCTCCGCCCGCACCCGCAGCTCCTTGCCGACGTCTCGGAAATGCTCCGCATCGCCAAGGAGTCGTCGCTCTCGCTCCGCAAGTGGCATCTACACACCTGGCATCCCGAGGCCCGCGCCGTCTTACTCCGTGAGCTCGCCTCGGCCGTCGCCACCCTCGACACCGCGCCCCCGCCGTCAGACCGTTCGCCGACTGCAGTTCGTGCTTAAACCATCCATCGGTTTATTGTAGCCACATCAATGCTTGATCAGCCCATCGGCGTCTTCTCCGTGAGGGATGGCTGCCATGGCGATGGCGGCCGTAACGTCCAACTGCGCGTCGTGTGGAGGAGGGACGGAAGCAGTATCAATCGGACCACGACCCGTCGCCTTCCCCCGCACACGCACACGCACGCACCACCAACAGACACACACTACACCGTCACCGAAATCGCTGCCTTACTACCACAGTAAGGCCCCCACTCCCTCGACAGCGGCGAGTTCGGCCCGCTCTTCGCTGCTGCAGCCAGTTGTCGGCGGTTGACCGGCACACTCGTCTTACAACACACCATGTCGGACGTCACAAAGGTGTTTGTTGGCAACCTCGCTTTCTCGGTCGACGAGGACGAGCTGCAGAACCTGTTCGAGGCTTCGTACTCTAGCGTGTACGCCCTTCCGCCTGCCTTTCCCCCTGCCCCTCCCTCCTCCCTGCCCCTCCCTCCCCCTTGCCCCTCCTCCCCCCTCCCTTCCCTTCCCCCCCTCCCTCCCCCTCCTTCCCCCCCCTCCTTCCCCCCCATGCTCAGCCCTCTGTGGCGGAGTCGCCCAGCCGCCACCCTCCAACGAGCGGCCCAGTCGCCAGAAGGTGGCAACTTTCCCATTCGCTGGCCTCTCCCCCTCCTCCTCCTCTAATGGAAAGTCCGACTGGTGGGGGAAGTGTGGGGGGGGGGGCATTGATTAATGACTCGAGATGTATTGATTATTTTTTTCTTGGCTCCTCCGGTCGTTGCTGGTGGTGGTGGTGGTGGTGGTGGTGGTAGTGGCGATGATTTTTTTGTGTGTGTGGTTTGGCGCTGGACGCGACCTGCGCCTCGCTGTCGTCGCCGTGTTCCTCTTCCGACCTCCTTGGTGCCTCCCCCTTCCTCGCTACCTGGTGGTATGGGCCGTCTCTTGTATGTGTAGCTGATGGGCGTGGGACTCATGTGTGGGGAGGGGCAATGCGCGGCGTGTGCAGTGAGTCTGTCCGCATCATCCGCCGCGGGAACAAGTCGCTCGGCTACGGGTTTGTCTCGTTCACCTCGGCTGAGGACGCCGAGGCTGCGGTGGCGCAGTTCAACGGGTTCAACATGGAGGAGCGCGAGATCAACTGCGAAATTGCTCGTGCGCGCGATGAGTCGGCCGAGACGACCGGACGCCAGCGGCGGCGACGAAAGGCTGGCGGCGGGCGCAAGAAGCGCCGGCCGCGCGACCCGGACGCTCTCGACGAGAACGGCAACCCGCGGAACCCGTCGATGCTGGCGGCGTTTGTGGCCAACATCCCGTTCTCGCTTGACTCGGACGAGACCTTCCTCGAGCTCTTTGCCGCGTTCAACCCGGTGCAGGCCCACCTTGTCCGCCCGCGCCACGGCGGCCGGCCCAAGGGCTTCGGCTTTGTCAAGTTTGCCACCCACGCCGACCAGCTTGCCGCCATCGAGGGCATGAACGACGTCGACGTCGACGGTCGCCCCATCGTCGTCAAGGCTGCGCTCTCGGACAACCCGTACGAGAAGTACATCGAGGACCAGACGGCCGCCGAGGCTGGCGACGAGGCCGACGAGGCCGTCGCCGACGCCCCCGCCGACGAGGTTCAGCCGCTGGAGTAGTGCGTGACGGGCTTGTGAGCGCGTCGCCATATTAACACTTGCGCCCGGCCTGTTGAGTAGCATTGGTAGCCAGCTAGAATGTGTGGTCTTTAGCTTGGTGCGTAGCCCCGAGTATCAGTCGATGACCAGCCGATTCGCCCCGCCGTCGCCAAGCGGCCCGGCGCCGCCGGCTGTCGGCAGCTGGGCCCCGGCGTCGGTCGCCTTGTTGCGCTGGAGGGCAGCGGCGGCCGAGTCTTTCTTGGCGAGAAGAAGCGAGTGGAGCGAGCCAATCATGGCGATCTGGGCCATGTTAGGCTCGTGAGCCTCCTTGATCTTGCGCTTCTTCTTCTGCAGCGACTTGGAGAGCGACATCTGTTCCGAGAGTTGCTTGGAGTAGAGCTCGTGGTAGGTGGCAAAGCGGGCGGCGACGCGGGCGCCGCCGGTGGCTGCGGCGCGCTCGGCGTCAGCCTTGGCCAGCTCGCGCTGCGCGTTGGCAATGTTGGCGTTGGCAAGGTGGTACTTGGCCTCAAGGTCGGCGACCTCGGCGCGGAGCGCGCGGACGGTGGTGGCGAGCTCGAGCTGGCCGGTCGAGATGTCGGCCTCTACAGCCTCGTACTGGGCCTTGGCCTTGGACCAGTCGCCCTCGATGGCGAGCTTCTCCTGCTTGAGCGCCTGCAGCTTGCGGACCGCCGGCTCGAGCTCCTTGGAGCGGGCCTCGATCTTGCGAGTGATCTTCTCGACAAGGGCGGAGATCTCGTCGAGCGTCGCAGCCTTGAGTGTGTTGAGCTCGGCGCGGTCAGTCACAATGTTCTGCAGCTGTGACTCGGTCTCGGTGTAGCCCTCGATGCCAGCGTTGACCTCCAACTCGTGCAGGTACTCGCTCATCTCCTCGGCCTCCTCCTCGAGCAGCATCTGCGTTCGGGCGAGAATTCCCTGCTCGATCTCCATGGAGTCCTTGGTCGCCTTGAGCTCCTTGTACTTTGCGGTCTGCGTCTTGACCTGCGCCTTGAACGCGTTCCACTCGTCGCCCTGCATCATTCGCTTGCCGGTCGACTCAAGCTCGGCAACGCGGGCCTCGATGGCCTTGTCGAGCTTGGCCTTTTCGTCCATGAGCTTGTTGAGCTTGTCGGCGACAGACTCTTTCTTGTGTGCCGCCACCTTGGCGTTCTGGCGGTACATGGCCAGCGCGTCGGCGAGCGGGTTAGCGTTGGCCATTCGCGCCTCCATCAACCGGCGAATATCGTCGTTGATGCCGGCAATCTCGGCCTTGATACCGTCGAGGTCCGCCTCGGAGCTCATGTTTGCCGAGAGCACGCGCGAGAGCTCGTTGATCTTGACCTCCTGCAGATGCAGATCATACGGAAGCTTTTCCTCGACCAGGTACCGGTTGACCTGGGTGTCGTCGAGGAGCTTGCGGACCAGTGCCTCGGGGTTGCCCTGGGTGTACGACGACTGCAGAGCCTGAAGCTTGTCCACCCGCCGAGCCATCTCCATTTCGGTCCGGTGCAAGAGGTGCTGCTGCTCTCGCCCGCGCTCGGCAAGCGCCAGCTCCTCTTCCTGCTCCTTGCGGAGCGACGATACGACTTCAAGCTGGTACGCGAGGTTAGGGAGGCCCTGGACCTTGCGCTTGACCCGCGAGATCTTGGAGAGTAGCTGCTCCTTGTCGCGCTGCATCTCGGCAATGTCCGCTTTGATGTTGGCCGGCGAAAAGCCCGATGAGCGCGACACGTCTACCTGCTTGTGCACCTCTTTGAACCGTTCCTGCAGCTCCTGGTATGCCGAGTACGACTCGGCCACAGACCGGTCCTGCAGAATCTCCGCCGGAATGTCCAGCGGCGCCAGGTACCGCGCCAGGTACGCCCGCTTCTGCAGCTCGCCAAAGTGGACAAGGAGCCAGGCCAGTGCCGGGTAGACCACCTCGCGCGCACCGTCGCCGATCCCGCGCGCAAGCTCCTCGGGCCCACACGGCGCGTTGTAGTTGAGCATGGCCAAGAACGACGCCATCCGCGAGCCAGTCACCTCGGGCGCCTCGTTGCGCACATTCGGCGTGTGCTCGCGCCCATTGAGCTCCGCCACCACCTTGTTCAGCAGCTCGACAAGCTCAAACGGGCTCTGTCGTCACACACTCTCTCTCACCTCGTGAGCTGCCTGCCGTCTATCCGTCCCGCCATCTGCCCCTTTCCGACCTGTGCATGGTCTGTGCCCACCGACTGAAGGCGCCAAAGCCGCCGCCACACCTTCCGCGCCAGCCCCCCCCCCCCCACACACACACACACACACACCCTCCCCGTCACACACACACACACGCACACACATGCGTGCGCACTCCACATACCTTTTCATCCAGAGTAACCAGCGAGAGCCTCTCGTTGAACGGAGGCGACGCCAGGCGCTCCACAATGAACTGGAGCTCGCTCGACGACGACATGACCAAACTGACGACGAGTGGCCTTTGCCTGCTGCTGCTGCCGGCTGGCCGACCGTCCGCTGGCCAACCGACCGCTGACCGACCGTCCGCTGGCCGACCGACCGCTGACCGACCGACCGCTGACCGACCACGGGCTCCCCGCCGCCTAACACTCCGAGCCCTATCTCGCCACCTCGCCGATCGCAGCAGAATTACGGGCAAGCAATGATACAGGTGTTTATGTCTCGAGATGGTGCAGCTATCCGTGTCTGCCAAGTTGCAGTAATCGGCTTGAGCCGTTTACTGTGTAGTGCGAACTACTTTGCCGGTGCCGTGATCAACTCCCATGGGACACGATCTCCTGATCTTGACGATGACTCCAGCGAAGCAACACACCGCCGGAGTTCACGTCCATGTACCACGCCACCACCTCCTCTTGCGACGCATACCAAGCTACGACCATACCCAGGTGCTCTGATTCCTCATCTAGCCCCGTGATCCCCCCCCCCCATGGCGACGAACTCGACCAGCACAGCACCACATCCTGTCCAGCAGCGAGCACCTCACTCCCGTCACCCCACCCGAGTCATGAGCGCTTCAAAGCCAAAGCCGCCGTGCTCTTTCCACGCGCAGGGGAGGTGCAAGTGGGGCGCGTCGTGTCGGTTTGCCCACGACGGCCCACCGGGCGTAGCCTCACCGGGCGGTCAGCTCGGCCTTGACGGCTTGCCAGGAGCAGGCGGCTCGCCGATGGGGGGTCCGTCGGTCGGCGGCAAGATGAAGCGGCCTGGATGGATGCGGTCTGTGGCAGAGGGCTCGCGGACGGCGAAGCTGGTGGCGTCGGTGATGGGCGACAAGTCGGAGGCTGCTGCGGCTGACGATGCTGCCGAGGGGCCCAAAGTCCTTGTCTTCCCGGCCTTTGTCTGCGACGCGGTGTCCGGCAAGTGGAAGGTGTACAAGCACACGATGGCGCCTGCTGCGGCTGCGGCGCCTACTGGCCTTGCGGTTGTCTCGCTCAACGTCCTGTTTGAGTTCTACGAGACGCAGCTGATCCGGTCTGAGCGGCGGTGGGGCAAGCTGCTGACCCACATCGAAGAGCTTGGCGACGAGGTCGATGCGTATGCACTGCAAGAGGTGTCAATCGCCTGCCTTCGGGTCCTCCTCGCCTCGCCGTACATCCGCAAGCACTTTTACGTCACCGAGGTGCCGGCGTCGGCGACCAAGGCCAAGTCCAACACGTTTTTCTCGGGCCGGTCGGGCAACGTGGTGCTCTCGCGGCGGCCACTGGCGGGCGTCTACGCCGCACGACTCTTCCGCGGTGGATTGCTGACCATGGCGCGGACGGCGGACGGGGTGCTGCTGGCGACGACGCATCTCAAGTCTGGCCCCGGGCGCGACCACGAACGGACGCGGATGCGGCAGATCGACGACATTGCCGCAGCCTTTGAGTACATGCGCTCCAAGCCAGCGCTCGAGTCGGCGCTATCCACGTGGCTCCTTGCGGGCGACTTCAACTGCTCGCCGTCGGACGAGGCGCAGCAGGCCAAGCTCGACTCACTCTTTGTTGACCTCTGGAGCTACCTGCATCCCGACGACGTCGGCTACACGTTCAACGTCGAGACCAACCACCTGGCGGCGCTGCTATTTCCAGGCGTGGTCTCGATGCGGCTCGACCGCGTCCTTCTTTGGCGCGGCGCGGCCGGGCTTGTGCCTAGCGTGGCGCGTTTGGTGGCTACCCATCCCATCGGTAAGATCAAGGGCCTGGCTGCTGTCGGCGGCGAGGCGACGACGCCCAAGCCCTCGCTCTTCATCTCGGACCACTACGGACTGCTCGCCCGCCTCGAACCTGTTTCTTCGGGCGCGCTGAGCACCGTGCCGGTCGAGCGCGATGCTGCAGCCTTTTTGCCCGCCAGCCATCATCGTACATCCAACTCCGCATCTCGCTCAAGTCGTCGGCCATGCTTAAGGCGCTCATCGCGGCGCGCGCCAGCGTCGTCAATGTGCTGGCCGCGCTCGCTGCTGGTCTCGAGCGTCAGCCTGACACGGTGTTGCCCGGCGCTACGGTGTGTGCCGCCCCTGTCGTCGACGCCACCGCCAACGCCGTCCTCTACTACGTTCGCTTTGACCTTGTCCGACCCAACGACACGCCAGACTACTTTGCGCTTTCGCGCTGGGCCGTCCATGCGCTTGCCGATCTCCTTGACACGCCGCATATCGAGTTGTCGCCGGCGCTCGACCTCGCGCTCGTCGCCAAGGTCAAGCGGTTGCCCGACGTGGTCAAGACCAAGTACGGGCTGGGAGAGGCAAGAAACGCGTCTCTATCCAGCGCAGCGTCCACCTCTGGGCCCGCTGCACCGGCTGCACCGGCTGCACCTGCTGCACCGGCTGCACCGGCTGCACCTGCTGCACCGGCTGCACCGGCTGCACTCGCTCCGCCCGCTCCGCCCGCACCCGCATCGCCCGCTCCGCCCGCACCCGCAGATGTCCCTACCACGTCACATCCACCCGCCACGACCGCTACTGCAACGCCTCCGGCGTCGCTCAAGCGCGACCGCGATGCGTCGTCAGACACGACCGGCTCTGCGCCTCCAGCCAAAAAGGCCAAGCACACGCCTGCGTAAATGAGAGCTTTACTTCCCTGCCTTCTTACGGCCCTTGGAGCGACCGCGCTTGGCGCGCTTGGAGCGCTCCGCAGCCTTGGCGGCCTTCGTCCGCTTGGCCTCGCGCTCCATGGTGCCGATGTCGACCGAAGCCTTCTTGGCCGACGAAGGGGCGGCGTCGCGCTTGCGCTTGCGGGTGGAGGCGATGGAGACCGAGGAGGGGACGGCGCCGGTGCCGGCGGCGGCACCGAGTGCCTCATCCCAATCTTCGTTGCGCCCGGCGATGGTGTACTGCGCGAGCGACTCGTCGCGGAGGAGCTCAGCGACGCGCTCGGAGCTCTGGCCGACGTCCATGGCGGCGGTGGTGTCAGCGTACTTGGCAGTGGCCGAGGGCAGCTCCTCGGCGACGTGGGCCTCCTGAATGGCACGCAGGGCCTTTTCAAGAGCCTTAATGCCCTGCGCAAAGAGGGCAAGGATCTGCGCCGACGGGCGCTTCAGCTGGGCCACGACCTCGTCGACGGTGTGGTGCTGAGCGCCGACAGCAAGGAGGATGGCCGCCTGCGTCACGCGGAGCTTGGCGTCTGGGATGCGGTCGAGAAAGTAGAGACGCGCAATCTTGGCGATGAGGTCCATGACCACATGGTAGTCGACGAGCGAGAGGGCGTAGACCTGCAGGCGCTTGAGGTCGTGCTCGGAAAAGTGGACAAGGAGCTCGCTGTAGCCGAGCGGAGGAATGAGACCGTCGAGGTCGAGCGTCCGCGGCGGCGAGAGGACCGAGAGAGCGAGTGCCGGCGGGAGCGTCTTAAAGTTGAACGAGAGGAGCTCAAAGAAGCGAGCCCGAAAGTCAAGAAAGTACTGCTGGATCCAGTTGTCGGCGACGGACGAGCCGCCGGCGGCCGACGGGAGCGGGCGGAGCATGATGCACGTGTGCTCGCCGGTCATCTCGTTGGCGGTCTGACGGACGTAAACCGGCACAAACGCGCCGCGCTTCCAAAAGTTGAACAGGCCTTGGGTCATGCCGTACGAGACACCGACGTAGTCGAGCCGCTCCGGCGCGCGCTGCGAGACCGGAACCAGCAGCGGCGGGACGTCCTTCCGCGGCTTGACCTTTTCCTTCAGCAGCGACGTGGTCGACGAGCTTCCCCGGCCTCCATTCTGCGCCTCGTCGCCGGCGGTCGGATCAAAGGGAGCAAGCGTCGAGAGGTTTCCGGTGTAGTACTCGGTGAGGAGCTCGAGCGCGCGCGAGCCGTAGCCCATGCGCGTGTACTCGGGATGGGTAGCGATGCGGACGACGCGGGCGCCCGAGAGCGAGGCAAAGTCATTGTCCTGGAACTGCTGCGCCACGGTCCACGGGATGAGGTCGCCGGAGCCGCGCTTGCCGCGGGCGAGCGACGACATGACCGACGCCCGCGAGATGCGGCCTTCGAGACAGACCTGGATGACGGCGAGGACCTCGGGGAGCTCGGGCGACGACGGGTCGACCGGCGGGAGGAGGACAAAGAGCCGGTGCGCTGGCGCGTCCGACATGAGCTGCAGGTCGTTCGGCGTGTTCTTGTAGTGCGAAGCCACATAGAGCGCCATCATACGCTGCAGAAAGGCCTCCGAGCCGGCGTGGTACGAGAAAAGCGCGTCGCGGTCGACGCAGTACAGCTCGCACTCGGACGGGTGCGGCGTCCGCGCGCCGAGCCGCGGAATCGGCTTGACGTCAAGGCAGAGGAGGCTGTGGAGCCACGACTCGACGGCGTCGTCCTCGCCGTACCGAATCGGCTCCTTGAGGGTGATCTCGCGGAGGGCCCGCCCCAGCGCCATGCCCTCGTTGCCCTCGGTGGCCGACGAGCCGGCGGCGAGGCCTGCGGCCTGCTCGCGCAGCTTCTTGATGAGCTTGAGCGAGAGCGAGCGCCCGGTTCCCTCATAGCCGTTGACGGTCGAGGCGAGGAAGACGAGGTAGTTTCCGAGCAGCGCCTTGACGTGCTGGATGGGGATGGCGGCAGCCTCATCAATGACCACCAGCTCGGCCTGCCCAAGCTTGTCCGAGTCCTGCGGAAGAATGTACTGGACGGTCTGGCGGTGGTCGCGGAAAACGTTGATCCGCGTCACCGCGGCGTACGACTCGTCGTCCATCTTGGACGCCACCACGTTAAAGTCGGCCGTCTCCTCAAAGCCGAGCGCCTTGAGTCCGAGAACAACAAACTCAAAGAGTGTGGTCAAGTTCTCGGGCGACGGCGAGGTGACAAAGATGTTCGAGTACCCGTAGCCAATCGCTGCCGCAATGGCGAGGCCGAGCGCAGCAGACTTACCGCGGCCACGGGCCGCGGTCAGTGTCACTGTCGACCGGAGCGTCTTCTCGGAAATGGCCTCGACAAAGACAAGCAGGGCGCGGGCCTGGTCGAGCGTCCGCGCCGTCTCCACCAGCGCGCCAACAGGCTGCTCCTCGGCGAGCGAGATCTTGACCTCCTTGAGCTCGCGGGCAGCGGCAGACTCCTGGATCGAGAGCGCAAGCGCCGTGTCGTCTTCATGCTTGCCAAGCATGCCGTTTTTGCGCGCTTCGGCCAACGCCTCCTCCTTCAGCGACTTGATGTTGCGGATGTGCGAGGAGATGGGCAGGACGTTGAGCTCCTCGTCGACCACAAGGGTCATCGGGCACGAGGCGAGCGAGAGAATGAACCGCTCGTTAAACCGCGGGACAACCTGAGAGTACGCTTCGGTCCGGTAGCGCGAGTGGACGTCCATGGTCATCGAGTAGAGCGACGAGAGTGAGGCCATGTTCTTGAGGAGCATGATGACCAGGCCACCGCCCTCGACGGTCTCGATGGTGCGGGCGAGGATGTTGGGGGTGAGGGCCTCAAAGTCCTGCAGGACGAGCATGCCGTAGGTGTTACCCAGGGTCTTGGTCGTCTCCTTGTAGTAGCAGAAGCGGATGTCGTTGGACGAGATGAAAAGCTCAAAGGGATCAGTCGCCTCGGGATCGAGGGTGCCCTGCTTGATCTTGCGCTTAATCTCTCGCATGCGCTTGCGTCGGTTCGAGGAGAAGCCCAGGTCCTTCTTGTAGCACCACAGCACCTTGCGCCGCGTCTTGACCGAGCACTTGGACAGGATGTAGTGGAGGTTAACAATCTGCTCACGTTGCTTGTCCGTGAGTCTCCGCCCCCCCCCTCTGTAACCCCTCCACTCCCCTCGCCACCCGCCCCGGGATGGGCCAGGATCCACTCGCGCCGCCATCCTGCCCCCTCTCCCTCTGGCACCGCTAGCCCTCGCTGCCCACACCCATGCACACTCGCACCTACCTGGTTGCGGTTCTTGTCGCCCACCACTACAAACATCGACCGGTGGCCCTTGTACACTCCATTCTCGATGAGCGTCCGGATCCGCGAGTCGATCTTCTTCAGCGGCATGGTCACCTGGCGCCGGCTAGAGACAACTTGCCGCCGCTCCGCGCCCGCCGCTCGCCCACCACCCTCGGGCTCTCTCCACCCCCACCCGCCCGCCCCCAATAGGCAACATCGGCTTGGCGCGGGGAAATTCGGATAGAGCTCTGTACTTTGGGGGGTGAGGAGGCTGGCGTCATCGAGTCGCACGTGATGTGTTTTGCTTTGATGTGTGTGCGGCGCTGGAGCCGCGGCTCACATGAGCGAGAGGGCGCGGTCCGGGTCGTCGCCGACCTCGCCGCCCGACGTGCCGGCGGCAGCGGCAGCCGAGGCTGCGACGGCCGATGAGACGATGATGTCGGCGGCCGAGTCGCGGGCCGGGACAGCTGCGAGATCGCCGCCCGACGCGGCAAAGGTCTTGCGGAAGGCGAGGTACTTGATGATGTCGTAGCCGAGGGCGAGGAGCGAGTCGTTGACGGCGACGCCAGCCTCGTCCTCAGAGACGGTCGAGAGGAGAGCGTTGACCTCGTGCGGGGCAAAGACAATGTCGTCGTTGGCACGGAGGAGGGCGGCGACCTCGGCACGCGACATCTCGCGCGACGAGCCAAACGAGATCTTGAGGAAGGTCTTGATGTCGACCTCGCCAAGATCGACGACTGCGTGCTTGCGGACGTACTTTGCGTACTGGACCGCCGACGCCATGTCGTTGAGCTGGGCGGCAAGCATCGGCCCGGCCACAGACGCCAGGTCCGCGTACGAGATAAAGCCTGCGTCGTCCTCGTCGACGGCCGAGAGCAGCTCGTAGATGCAAAAGTGGGTGAGGCCGAGGCCCGACCGCATAAGCAGGTTGCGGGCGAGGATGCGGTGCATAAAGCCCGACGCGTCCGGATCGTTGGACTGGAAGGTGTCGAGGAGGGCGTCGCGCCACTCGGGCGACGACATGGTAGCTCCGGGCGTGCCAAGCGTGGTGTTGACGTAGTAGCGCACAATGTCAAAGGCCTTGGGCAGAAAGACGGCGTACGTGACCATGCCCTCAGCGTTCTCGTCAGCCGCGTGCATCAGCATGTTCACCTCCTTGCGGGTAAAGCCGACAGCGCAGCCAGCCAGCGCCCGGCGGAGTTCCGACCGCGACATCATGCCCGAGTTGTGCGGATCGACCGAGAAGAAACAGTCCTCCAGCAAGCGATCAAAGTCCTCGCGGTGCATACCGCGGCCGACGAGGACGTCGACAGGCGCGTCGGAGATGCCGACACTCCCCGCCGGCGCCTCGTACATGCTCGTGATAACCTTGACCGCCTTGTCCACAAACTGCGTGTTGGCATACTCGATCATCCCATAGTCGTTCTCCTCCGCATCCGCCATCACCCGCTGGATCTGCGTCTCGTTGAGCTCCAGACGTGGGTCACGGAAGATCTGTACCCCTCCACACGGCCCAACCCCAAATACTCTACTGTAAGTCGCTCCCTTGTCCCGATCCTGCCGCTTCTCTCTCACGGCAGCGTGGTAGCGGGCGCTGCGCAGCCAGCGTGGTAGCGGGCGCTGCGCAGCCAGCAGCCGCCCGTCTCTCGGCCACCGTCCAGTCCAACGGCCCAACCCGCCCGGGAAGGAATGAGGGAGGAAGGGAAGACGTACCTCTGCAAAGCGGGCATGATGGAGGAAGCCATTGCGCTGCTCGTCCTGGGGAGGAAGCCATTGCGCTGCTCGTCCTGGGCCAGGAATGCGTCCATAAGCAGCTCGCGCAGCTCTGTCGGCTGCAGGTGGGTAGGCGCAGCCGTCGGCGGAGGCGCCGTCCGCTCCTCCAGCTTGGAGGCAAAGAAGTGGGCCCCAAAGTGGTAGATGTTGGACGGCTGCGTCCGCAGGACCTCGCGGGTAAAGTCCTGCACCAGGTACTGGAACCCTGCCGGAATTGTGAGGTCCGGTTGGTACCGCGACATGGCTGTGAGTGGCGTGTGTGCGGCTGTGTGGGTGGGGTGGGGGGTGGGAGGGGGAGGCCGAACGGTTGGCAGCCGACCAACTGACGGCCAGCGCCCGAGTCGCTGGGCGTTTCCCGGGGGGGAAGGGGGGGAGGGGGGTGGAGGATCGCATTTACTTGCACCTCTTACGCGACGTCTTATGCGCTCATATTATAGAGACTGTATGAGGTTGAGCAGCAGCTCGAGCATGGCACAGCCAAACTGCGAACCAAGGATGCAGACGATGAGCGCGATCCAGAACCAGGCACAGAGAAACATGACGCAGCACCACACGCCAGCGTCCTCGGAGAGATTGAACATGTCTATGATGCCGCCAGTTACAGCCTCGAATGCTCCGGCGCAGCCACCGAGGCAGATGGCGAGGCAGCGGAGTGGCGGCGAAGCCGCAGCGGCAAGGCCGGCCTTGATGCGCCGCCACAACCGGCCGTAGCGCGGGAGGAATCGTGCGAGCCGGCGGACAGGCCCATGGAGGGCAAGGCTACTCGCCTGCGCATCGTCGAGATAGTACCGCTCGGTGGCGACGAGATGGACAAAGGAGAGCCGCGCATAGTGGGTAAAGGCCAGAGTGAAGAGCACGGCGCCGGTGAGGACCGCCATCACAGCAAAGGCGCGGTACTTGGCGATCGACTCGGCCTTGCACTTGGAGTTGGAGACGTTGCAGAGGGCGGTGACTCTGCGCGGGACAATGACAGCAAAGACGAGACACGCGGCGAGGCCAAGGACGGTAAAGGTGAGCAGGAGTAGAAAGTAGGCTTGCCCGACCCGGATCCGGGTCAGCGGCGACAGCGGGAAGAGCAGCGCGGTTCCGGTGGCAAACACAACCAACGATGCCAAGTTGCCGGCAAAGAAGACGCCAAACGAGCGCCCGGCCGCCAGCGACGCCACGATCACCGCCATGTTGCACACGAGGAGAAAGGCGGCAAAGGCGCCGGCCCGCCAGCGCAGCGCGTGCATGGCCTCCTGATCCACTCGCCGCATGCCCTCTGCGTCATCGATGCCCAGATTCAGCAGCCGTCGGTTCGAGGTGGCGAGTCCATCGACTCCTGTTGCGTAGCAGTGGTCGTAGGCGATGTCGTCGTAGTCGGGCGGCGAGAGGAGGGCCGTGTCGTAGTCGGGAGGCACCGCTGGCCGTGACGCGGCCTCGAACCCGTCGTAAGATGGAGGCGAGGCCATAGCGTATGTCGCAGTGTCGTCAGCGGCGGGTGTTAGTATGTGCGGGGTCGGTGGGTGGGGAGGGGGGTGTTGGGAGGGGGGAGGGGTCACGTGTGTTGTTGGCTCAGCAGGCCACGGCCAGTGAGCGACTAGGCTACCCGGTTGGTGTTGGCACCAGATCAGGTCAGCATCGGGCTAGCATGTGGGTACTGCGATGACCTCGAAGCTCTTTCCGCCCCAAACCATCTCACCTCTTCCCCCCCCCCCCCCCCCCCTCCTAATACCCTCTTCCTCTCATAGACAGCGAACGAATGAGTGTACAACACTGAGCATACGGACAAGGTGCGGAACAGAGGCAGGCAGATCGATGAGCCTACTCGGCCACGAGCGCGACATCCTCCGCGTCAGGGATAGGGTCAGGGACGGCGCAGACCGAAGCGGCTCCCTCGGCAAAGGAGCGGTAGAGCTCGAAGGGGGTGCGTGCAAAGGGCAGCTCGCGGTATGGCATGCCGTGCTTGGCGGCAAAGTCCTTGACAGCCGGCTGGATGGCGCGGAAGTGGCAGCGTGCGACCTTGGGGAAGAGGTGGTGCTCGATGTGCAGGTGGAGGCCGACGTGGAACCAGTCAAGCCAGCGCGGCGAGGGCACATTGTGGGTGACCTGGCAGGTCCAGCGGACAAAGTCGTGGGCGACGTTCTCGTCGAGCCCCCACTCGTTGATGTAGTGGTTGATGATGAGTTGCATGTGCAGGACGCCCTCGCCAACAGCAGCGGTAGCGTAAAAGACCGCCACATCGCGCCACGACGGCAGGTAGCTGAAGAGCACCGCCGTGGCGGCAAAGTGGATGACAAAGCCGGACCACTGGCGAACGGTCCGCTCGTGCTTCCAAGCATTGATGAGGATGCCGATGCGGCCAAGGAAGAAGACAGCAGGCAGAAAGTATATGTGTTGGTATGAGAGGAGCCACTTGAACGGCGCGTCCGAGGGAAGAGCGGGACCACATCGAGCGCTTGCGCCCAAATGTCCTCCTTCATCTGGATGTCGACCGCGTATGCCTGCACCACATTGCGCGGATTCTCCAACGGCAGGACCGGGAGTCCGAGCTCGTGCGGCTGTGTCGAGCTCGGCGACGACGACCGCGCGTCCGACGACGACCGCGGGCGCCGCTCCACAAGATCAGCCGCACGCTTCTCCACCGCCGACGAGGCCTCCGACGGGCCGGGCGGGACCGACTTGGCGGCCTCGGTCTCCTCTGGGTGGACCAGAACCGCGTCTGGCACGCCATAGTCGCGAGCAAACGACGACTGCGTCTCGGGCGCTGTGGTGTACGCGTTGACAAGCGCGTGATGCAGATCGTGCTCGCGCTTCCACCAGTCCGAGTTGATGCCGATGGCGACGGTGCCAAAGAGCCAGCCCAGCCACCCGTCCAACGTCATGTTGTACGTCAGGTTCGAGTGCATGCAGTCGTGGAGAAAGCCGCCGCACTGCTGCCAGAACAGGGCCAGGGCCAGCCCGCCGAGCACAAACTGGTTCGCCGAGAGCACAAGCCAGAGCATGAGGGCGAAAAGGGCAGCGACACGGGAGAGGTTGATGACAAGCCACGAGGTCGAGGTGGAGAGAAAGCCCGCCTTGACAAAGGCCCGGGCCATGCGGGCGTACTCGGTCTTGACTGGGTCAGCAGTCCGTGTGTACGAGCCGACCTTGCACCCGGCAACCTGCTTCAGCACGCCGCCGCGTGGATGAAAGCTGACAAAGACCTCGGTGGCGTCCAAGCCGGCAAACTTCCACAGCAAGTCGCCTCCCGGGTGCTGTGGGATAAAGTCAGTGACATCATACCACGACCCGTGGATGCCAATGACACACCGCTTGGACCGTGCGTGGCTGTACGACGCTGGCGACGAGACAGACAGTGCAGGCGCCATGGTGCAGAGGGGTGCTGACTGGCCAGGTGGTGCTGCCGTTTGATGACGAAAGAAATGCGGTGCCACGTGCGGAAAAATGTCCAATTGATTGTTCGTGAACAACAGTGGCTCGTCTGGCTCCCAATATGGGGCTTGCATGTGCGTGAATGCGGCTCATGGGTTTTGTCACGGCTGATGGAGCGTTGCCCGAGCGGCGTTATAGCGGCGGATCGGCATTTGGACGTCGGGTGGTGCGGTGCATCGGGACGTTGTGATGGAGTTATTGGGGGGGGAGGGGGGGAGCAAAGAGGGGGGGGGGGGGGGGGGGGGGGGGTTCGGCATCGCTGGCCATCCCGTGAGAGGCGGTAGGCAATGGCTAGTGGGTAGGGCAAGGAGAGGCTGGGAAAAACGGTGCGAGTTCAATTGGCGCAACAACGACAGCAAAGGCAGCCACTGCGCAGGGGGATATCCCCCGCAGCACTTATGAACCCTAATCGGTGCGGTCGTTCGGACGCGTTGTTGCGCGTCTCAAAGTGAACATCTCGATGATGCTTGACTTCCAGGTCACCGGCCGACGCTGCGCGACGCCTGCTTGGCCTGCGGCCTGAGGTGGGAGGCGCGCCCGCGCGTGATAGCGGCCGACACGGAGACGCATGGATTAAAGCGTTATGCCAGCAGATCCAGAACCTCGGACTGGATGTAGCGCATAAACTTGGCGATGGCCTCGTTGGGGTCGACGGCCATGGCCGACGACGCCTGCTTTTGGTTGATGCCGAGAGCGGCGGCGATGGTGAGGCCGGACGAGACGGCGGCCGAGACAAACGAGGTGCCGGCGAGGGCCGACATGCCGAGGAGGAGGAAGACGACGGTGGCGATGAGGAGCGCGGTCGAGACAATGATCATGGCGACAATGGCGCGCATGGAGAGGCCAAAGAGGGCCATGACTCGCCGGACAGCCTCGGAGACGCGGGCGGCGACCTCGGCCGTCCGTGCCCGTGCTTGGTTGACGGCCGCCAGCGCCTCGGCCTTGCGCTGCTGGAACTTGGCCTGCGCGTTCTTCTCGATCGACTCGCGCTTGCGTTGAATGGCGCGCTCGGCGTCGCCACGCGCCTGGTCGCGCATGGCCTTGGCGCGCTTAGCCAGCTCGGCCTGCCGCGAGCGCATCTCCTTGCGCACCCGCTTCGAGTACTCCTTGTCCTTGCCCATGCGGGCGCGCACCTTTTCGCGCATCTCGCCGATCCGCACCGTCAGCTCGTTGATGTCCTCGTCGACCGCGTCGCCGAGCTGCCCGCGGAGTGCGGCAAGTTCGGCACGTGCCGGCGAGTCGTTGGTTGCCACAGTCCGCACCGCGAGGCTGGCGAGGTTGAAGCTGCTTTGCGTGCCCTCCTCGTTCTTGCTGCCCTCCTTCTCGTACATCGACTCAAGCGTCTCCACCGTCGCACCGATGTTTCGGGGAAGGAACTTTTGCACGCTCTCGGGCACAAAGACCTTGATCGACTGCCCGCCTGTAGAGGTGTTGGTGGTAAAGTTCCACACGGTCTGGAAGAGCGAGCAGTCCATACCGCTTGCCAGCTGCTCGAGCGTCTCGAACCGCAGCAGGCCATGGTTCTCCAGCAGCTCGTCGCGGAGCGCCCACGGGTCGACCTGCGCCGCCTTGAACATTGTCGACGCCGACGTCGCGATGAACCCAGCCTTGAGCTGGAAGAACAACGCGCCTGACGGCTCGACAACCGCTGGGTTGACGCCCATTGCCGTCACGCCGGCCATCGTCTTGCTGCTCACCTCGCCGTGAATAAGCTCAGACTGCAGCGCCGCGAGGCCAAGCCCCGCGCGCGCCAGCGCCTCTGCCACCCGCGGGTAGTGCAGGTCGAGCGTCTCGCGCGTCGTCGTCCGCAGCAAGTACATCAGCTCCTGGTCGAGGCGGTCGACATTGATGCCGGCGGATTCGAGCCCGCGCCGCATGTCCTCATCGAGGTACGGGTCACGCCGCCCGCGCGTCGTCCCCTGCACATCCTTGTTGCTCAGCTGGTCCTCCAGCGCCGTCACGTTGACGCCGAACCGGGAGAGCTGCTGGACGACATGGCTAAACTGCGGCTCAAACAGCGCGTTGACAATGTTCTCGTCACAGAGCTCGATGTTGTCAAAGACCGACACAGAGCTGCTCGTCTGCATCACCATCCGGAACGCAGTCTTGACCCGCGGCGGAATGATGCCCTGCCGCATGACCTCACGCATGAGATGGCCAATGAGCGAGTTGACGTACAGATCCGTGGGCTGAAGGCCAAACGCGTCACGCACCTTGCCGCGGTACTCGCTCGAGACAAAGCCTACCCGAAGCTGGTGAAGCAGCGGCGCACTCGTCTCGTCGTTGACCAGAATCGGCGAGGTGTCGACGCCCCACTCACGGAGATAGGAGACGGCACTGGACTCGAGCTCGCCCGAGCGCAGGCCGCTCACCACAGTCTCAATCCTGTAATCCACAGAGGCCTTGTGCTGGTTCCGCGAAAACGGCGGAATCTCACCATCGCCCTGGAGAATGGCGTCGTTGCGCTGCTCCCGCTCGGCGAGTGCGTACACGCGGTTGACGAGCGACGACGGAACAAAGCCCTGAATCAGCTGCTCGAGGACAGATTCAAGTTGCGATGCAGGCTCGAGCCCGCACTCGCGAAGCGCCGTGTACACCTCGGCCGGCATGAACGAGGTCTGCAGCGCGCCGCGAATGGCCGCAAGCGACACACTCGTCGTCTGCTGGAGCAGGGTCCGCAGCTTGGTCGGCGGGACCCATCCAGACTGAAGCGCAGAGAGCACGTCCGATGCCAAAAAGTCAACGTCGTAGCCAAGGTCTGCAAGCTTCTCGCGCACGCTCTGGCTCACGTAGCCGCGGCCCAGCTGGCGTTTGACGTCGAACAGCTCTAGGCCGCGCTTCTCCAAATCGTGGACCAGCTCGGCCGGCGGGTCCGACTCGACGTCCGACACCATCTTGGTGAGAATCTGGTCCGCGCCCGAGACCCGTGCAAGCTTGGTCTGAAGCGCCGGCGGAAGCTCCTTCTTGATCACCGAAATCGGCCAGTCGGACGCGTCCTCGAGCGAGTGCAGGGCGTGGAAGAGCTCGTACGGGTCGATGCTGTGCTTGCGGAGCTCAGCGTTGTCGGCCGCCGAAATGAACGACGAGTTGGCGAGCCGGTCAAAGATCATCCTCGAAAGAGAGGTGGTGTTGATGCCGGCAAAGGCCAGCGCCTTGCGGATATGGCTTGAGACGTACCCGGTCTGCACGCCAGTCTGGAGCTCAATGAGGAACTCATCCGGCGTGAGGTGCAGCGGGATGTCGACGCCGACAAGCTCGACGAGTGCGACTTCCAGGTCCGAGACTCCGGCGCCCGAGCCAAATGTGCCGAGCGCAATCTCGTCAAAGACGCGCCCATCGAGGAGCGCCGTGTTGAAGCCAACAATCTCAAGCTTGCGGAGGACGTCACTCGAGGCGAGGCCCGAGCGGAAGACGGTCTGCAGCTGGGGGACTGAGAGACCGACAGCCTTGATCTCGGCGGAAAACGCTGGCGAGACAGTGTCTTTTCGTGTCTCCTTGACGAGGAAGCCCGAGCCGGCCGAGGTGCCAACCAGGCCAGTCGTCACCACGCCAGCGCGCTCGTAGAGCTTGGCCTGGAACGAGCGCGGGACAAAGCCGACACGGAGGTAGCCCTGCAGCTGGTCCGGGTTGACACCGGCCTCGGCAAGCTTGGTCGCCGCAATTGACGAAATCTGTCCGGTGGTGGCAATGCGGTCAAACGAGCCAAGGAGCTCGGCGGGGAGCATGTCCTCGATGAGCTCCTGGACCTTGGCCTCGAGCATGTCGCGGAGACGCTCAAAGAACGAGGTCAGTCGCTGGCGGAGCGTCACGACATGCGTCACCACCGCCATGATAGCCACAAAGACCGGAATGGCGCCGGCCGGGTTGATGAACACCCCAAGCGTGACCCAGAGGAAGACGCCCGAGACGTAAATGAGCGAGACAAAGACGCAGACGTAGCCGACCCAGCGGTAGGCGACCTTGGCAATCTTGAGTGCAGAGCGGACGACGGCGTGGAAAGAGCGGCGAAGGCGCGACCACTCGGCCGTGTTGATCCGCCGGTGCTCGCCGAGCACCACCCGCTTGATGGAAAGGTAGTACTTGCAGAGGAAGAGCGTGGCGAGGGCAAGATAGATGCCGTCAAGAACCCAGATGAGAATGATGGTAGTGCGGTGCCACGAGGCGAAAAAGTCGAGCGAGGTTGCAGCGAGCCAGAACCAGACCGTGGCAAACATCGAGGGAATGATCGGGAGGTTGACCGCCACCACATGGACAAGAACAGTGCAGACCTCATAGAACAAGTTGTGGGTGGTCTCGGCGACAATGACATGGTCGGCGCGCGCATCCTCGGGCGTGGCGTTCGGGAGGAGCATCTCCAGATAGAAAAAGAACGAGAGCTTGCGCTTGATAAACTGGGCCACGCGCCGCTCCTCAAACTCGGACCAAACCGACTCGCCGTCGGCAAGGACCGCAAACTTGTGGTCGTCGAGCATGTTCTGCTGGAGGCGGCGTTCCTGGACAGCGTAAAAGTAGACGCCGAACGACATGAGAGCGATGGCGAGGAGAATCGAGAGCACAAGCGCAAAGACAATGATGACAGTCGTCTTGCCACGGTTCCACATCGAAATGCACCGCGCCCGCTCGCTGCCTGGCACGTCTGACTCGACAAACTCGTTGAGACAGTCCTCGGCCGAGAGCCGCCACGTGAGAATGCCGTCAATGTCGTTAAAGTAGAGCGAGAGCATGTCCGCCGTCTGCGCCATCCGGGCGTCGTTGGCGTACTCGGCGGCCACCGGCGAGGCGTCAAACGGACAGAGTCCTGGATGCTGCGCAAACGAGGCGCGCGAGACCGGCGGCGAGATCATGGTGAGGCCAAAGAACTGCGCGAGGTCCGGCGTGAGGAGCGCAAACAGATCGTTGGTAGTGTAGTACCAAAAGCCTGACGAGAGCGCACCGGCGCCACGGACCTTGAACTTGATAAACTCGGCGACATGGACCTCGCCCTCCTTGAGCACAGGATCGATGAGCTCCGCCACGCGCGCCTGGTCGGCTGGCGAGAGGTTGGGCAGGTTGGCCTGAACCTGCAGCGACGTTGTGTTCGCCGCAAGCGTAAAGCCGTAGCTGGCCACCTTGGTCCGCGCTGGCACGGACTGGAGCGCAATGACTCCCGATGCCGACGCCACAGACCCGTTGGTGACAGCAGCCGAGCCCGAGGCATCGGGCGCGAGAGACACCGAGCCCGACGGTGAGCCGGCCGGCGAGCCGACGCCGCCTGACGACGAGCCCGGGCCGGCTGCCACGGCACAGTAGTACGAGTTGGGCGAGGCAACCGCCACGCTGAGCGCGTTGGGCGAAGTGAGGGTGACGTCGGCCGAAGTGGTGTTGACGTCAAACGTCGCCGTCCGCAGCGAGTGAACCTGGACTGAGCCGGCCTCGACCTGGGCGTGCATGTCCGCGCCCTGGAGCTCGTAGAGCTCAGCGTAAACAATTTTGCCAGCAATGTCGAGCATGCCGGTGGCAGCGTCGAGCACGAGCGAGCCCTCGATCTCCGACTCTTGCTCGCCAATGGCCTTGATGGCCAGCTTGCCGGCAAAGCCGGACGGGACGGTGAGGTCGACAAGGCACGGGCGGATGCCGGTGAGCGGCACAAAGTCAACAGGGATGTTTGGGTTGTCAAACTCGGACGACGGGAGCGTGATGGCGACGGACGAGCTGTTTGTCGCCGCCAACTCGCCAAACCGGTTGCTTTCCTGGAAGAACACAAACGGCGAGCCTGGTGGCCCAACGCCAAGGCGAAGGAAGCAGGCCTGGACCGAGACCGAGAGGACCGAGCCCGCGGCTGGGGCAGCAAGCTCGATGCGCGTTGACGATGACGAGAGTGCCATAAAGTAGACAAGGCCAAAGATGGCACCGACAACAAAGCCAAGGTAGAGGAGGATGCGGTGAATGTTCCACTTGAGGGCGCGGGAGGTGTGGTACTTGACCGCGGCCGACGACTGGAGCTCGCGGCCAAAGGTGGCAAAGAGGCCGCCACAGGTGCCCGACCAGCAGAGGACGGCAATGAGCCACGACCAGACCTTGTCGCACATCGACTCCTCCTTCTCGGGGACGTGGAAAATGACTGAAGCAAGGACAGTCTCGACCTCGGCCTCGACCTGAGCGTTGACATCGCGCTCCTCGGCGACGGCGGTGTCGAGTTTGGCTGAGAACTGATTAAAGTTAGCGGTTGCACGGACGGATCGCTGCTGGTAGAGCGAGGCGAGCTGGGTGAGCTTGGTCTCGATGAGGGTGGCAGCCTCAGGGTTGGGCGTGTTGAACCACGGGCCAACGCGGCTGGTCATGTCGCTCTTGGCGGCGCGGATCTCAGACATGACCTGCTCCCAGAACGTCTTTTGCGAGGAAAACGCCTGCTCCTGGAGGAAGAGCGCTTCCAGCGAGTGGAGGCGGGTCCGCTCGAGGGCACGATGGTAGTCGCGGAGGCGCTCGCGGGTGTGATGCAGCTCGGAGTTGTAGGCCTCGAGCGAGGGGCAGATGTCCTGCACAAAAGTGACCCACTTGCGGCCGAGCTTGCGGACCTTGCGGCGGAGGCGGTACTCGTCTTCGCGGGCATCCATGTACTGGTCAAGGCCGGCGATTGAGTAGGCACGGGTGGTGGCGGCGGTGAGGCGAACGGCGTGCTGACGCACTGCTCGTAGAGATCGATGGCAAACGTCGGCGAGAAGGCGATGATGGGCAGGACACGACCAAGGAGACCGTACATAAAGCCGTAGACGGTTTCATGGGCAATGTCCTTGGCCACCTTGGCAAACTTGTCCGAGGCGGTGGTGAGGGCAAACCGGGCCTTCTTCTGAGCTTCGAGGAGGTCGTTGCGCTCGGTCTGGGCCTTTTGCGAGTCGGCGGCGGAGCGGAGTTCGCGGAGCTTGCGCTCGATGGCGTCAACGGTCTGCTGCTCGTGGCGTTGCTGAGCGGTGAGGATGTAGAGCTTGGTGACCTTGAACTCGAGGAGCGCCTTGCGGGCTGGGAACCAGACCTTTTTCACGCTCCGCTCGTACTGCTTGCGCTCCTTTGCCTCGCCGACGCGGATGACAGCATCATGGAAGAGCGAATGGAGCTGGGCCATCTCGAACCGCGCCTCGCGGTACTTGAGCGCAGCCTTGTAGCACGCGGCAACCTTCTTGGGGTTCTTGACCAGAACCTCATCCATCTTGCGGACCTTCTTGCTAGCCTTCTCGAGATCGTCGACCGAGCCAGATGACGAGAACGAGGATGCGGTGTCGATGGCATCGATGGCGATGCCGACGCGGCCCTCGATGGCAGACGAGCTTGAGGTCTCGAGGTCGGAGATGATAGACGAGATGTAGGTCGACGTGGCGTCGTCGTCGCTGTCGTCGTAGCCGTCATAGTCGTCGTCATAGTCGTCGTCGTCGTCGTCATCATCGTAGCCGTCGCCGTCGGTGGCGGTGGTATCATCGTCGGTGGCAGTCGAGTCTTCGGTTGAGCGGGCCTCCTGCTGCTCTGAGATGAGCCTGGCTCGGGTGAAGAGAACGCGGTACTCGGCGCTCGACGAAGACGAGCGCGAGGCGATGGAAGACGAGCATGACGAGGAGCTGGCCGAGGACGACGAGGCCAGAGTTGACGTCAGGTTTTCCTGCTGCTCATCATCATAGTCGGTGGTAGTGGCGCCAAAGTCGGCGTCAGTGTCGTAGTCAGTGGTGGTGGCGCCAAAGTCGGCATCGGTGCCGTCGGTGCCGTCGGTGCCGTCGGTGCCATCGGTGTCGTAGCCGGTGGTGCCACATGCATCCGTTTCGGCGTCGGTGGAGACAGCAGCAAAGAGGAACATGTCTTCGTCACCGGCATCTGTCTCCTCGGCGCCAAAGTCAAAGGCTGCGGGCCCGCTGCCGGCGTCGTCGTCGTTGTCGCCGGCGTCGTCGTCGTCGAGGGCCGAGGTGGAGACGTCGTAGCGAGTTGACTCGTAGGCCGAGTAGTCTGCGGTCGACTCGTTGTCGGAGTCGTACGAGTTGGAAGAGGGCAGCGACTCAGGAGCCGGCTGGTAGATCGGGTACTTGCGACCAAGCTTGTACGCCTCCTCCCAGGCACGGGCGACAGATGTGGAGCTGAGCGGCGCAAGGTCCTTGGCGGCGCCAATGCTGTACTTGGTAAAGATCTTGAAGAAGGCGGCGAAACGGGCCTCCTTCTCGCCGGTGTTTGTGATGATTTCGTCAAAGAGCTCAGAACGGTAGGCGTAGTAGCCCTTGAATGCCTCGGTGGTGAGAGCACGGAGGTAGGCGGCGGCCTTGGTGGAGACGCGGAGGGCGAGCATGCGGATGGCGACGTCGTCCTTGTGCTCGTTGGAAGGGATGATGCGGCGCTGGTAGACCGAGTCATCGAGGACCTTGAGCGCCTGGCTGCAGTACGTCGACTGCAGGGTCGAGTAGACGCGGTGCAGAGTCTCCTTGAGGAGGCGGGTGCGAAGGCGCATGAGCGTGTTCCACATCGACTTTTGGGCGGCGGTCTTGGCGGCCTCGCGCTCGCTACGCGGCAGCTTCTTGATCTTGGGGTTGTTGAACATCGATGAGAACTTGTCGGTGATGGAAAGGACAACTTCGACGGCGGTGGCCGGATCCACACGCTTTTGCATGCGGGCGCGGTCCGAGCTCGAAGTCGATGACGAGTTGTCGTCGTCCTTGTCGTCATCCTTGCCGTCCTCCCCTTCGTCAGCAGCCTTCTTGGCGCCCTCCTCGACCGCGCGACCTGTCTCGGCGTCATAGGTGGCCATGGTGGGTTCGCGGAGGCGAAAGATCTGGTACTGGAACTCGTCGTTCCACTCCATGTCAAGGTCGTTCTCGAACTCGTACTCGGCATCAAGCTCGGGCGGCTGGTAGGCAAAGTCGGTGTCATCCGAGGCATCGTCCTTGCCCTTGCCCTTGTCCTTGGACGTCTTGTTCTTCTTGGACTTTTTGGACTTTTTGGACTTTTTCTTGCCCTTGCTCTTGCCCTTGCCGACCGTGCTCGAGCCGGCGCCATCGTCGGTCTCTTCAACAAAGGTCTCGGAGACGTCCATCCACTCGGAGCCGGAGATGTCGAGGTCTGAGCCACCGTCGACTGAAGCCGACGAGAGGTCGACGGCCTCGGCCGGGTCGGCCTTGCCGCGCTTCCGCGAGCGGAAGAATGACGAGACGGCGTGCTCGCGCTTTCGGCGCGCGGTCTTGGACTTGATTCCGCGCTTGCTGAGAACGGCGGCGTTGACGACGTTGTATGTGTTGTACCAGTCGCGGACGCACGAGTAAAGCACCGGGTTGCGGAGTTCGTGGAGAACAATGATCTCGGCCTCGTCCTTGGGAACGCCCTTGACCTTCTTAGACCGCGAGTTAAACGCGTCCATCAGCGTCGTGAGGTACATGACAAAGGCCTCCTGCCGCGACGCGACGTCGCCGAACTTGTCGAGCAGCGTGTACATGACGTTGACTGAGACGTCGTCGACCATGTTGTCCAGGATCCGCGCCTCGACCTGCCGAGCAAAGACCTTGTTGAACTGGTGCTTCCACGCATTGAGGTCGATGTGGTACTCTTTGGCGGCATCATAAAGCGCACTGCGTTGTTGGCATTGTGGACGAAAAAAAATACCGCAGACGGTGAGTGGCCCGCTCGCAAAAAAGCAACTCAGACGCTGAACCTCGAACGAACAACTTGCCTGCACAGCTCCATGGGGAGTGGTAGCGTTGTCATCCAGAGGGGTTATTGGGAGGGAATGGTAGGCGAGGGATGGTAGAGACTGGAATGGGAGGGAGGGGGGAGAGCGAGAGGAAGGAAAGAGGGAGGGGGGAAGGGGGGGGGAGTGGGAGAGGGTGTGGGCGGGGATCAGTGTGGGTTTCCCGCTGGACGAAGTGGCAGCAGACAGAGCCGGGAAGGGAGGGAGATACTGGTAGCGCGTACCGCTTGCGGCTCATGATGTCAGTGACGAGCTGGGTGGACTTGTGCTTGACCATGAGGCTGAAGACCTCATCATCGTGGCTGTCGTAGCTCTCATAGGAGCCAGCACTGGAGGAGCCCTCGGTCTCTGAGTAGGTTGACATGACCCTGGAGACGAGTTGGCCGTGCGGGAGTGAATTGAGCCCTGTCGGGCAGGGCGGGCAGGGATGGGGGCTTGTTACTAAGATAGATACGGCAGTCCAAGTTAGGCCTTGACATCGTAGGTGCGACGCCACATGTCGTCGATGTTGGTGAGGTAGTAGGTACCCGGGAGGAGGTCATCGTGCGAGTCAGTGGGGTGTAGGGGGCGGAGCCGTGGGCAGCCTCGCGGAGAGCGAGCTTGGCGACAAACTCCTCGGGGGTGCGGACGGTGCGGGCGGCAAGGCGGGCAACGACGTCGGTCTTCTCGCGGATGGAGGCAAGCGAGCCCTTGACGGTGAGCGAGAAGAGCGAGGAGGCCATGCCGGAGCCGTAGGAGAACATGAAGATGCGCTTGCCGGCGAGGGCGTCGTCGTCGAGGTTGGCGATGAGCGAGAGGAGGCCGCCGTAGACCGAGGCGGTGTACATGTTGCCACAGAGCTTGGACATGGCGACCGAGGGGCCGACGACGCGCTCAAAGCGCTCGGCGTTGGGCTTGAGGAAGGCGGCGAGGATGCCCTTCTCGTACGAGTCAGCCTCGGCGACGGCGGCGGCGGTGACGAGCTCGGGGGCGTCGGCAAAGGCCTCTGGGTTGGTGCGCACGTCGTTGTAGAGGAAGCGCCCAAACGACTTGATGACAAGCTTGTTGAACGGGCAGTGGAAGGCGGCGTAGTCAATGGCGTTGATGTTGAACGGCTCGCCGGTCACCTTCTCAAACTTGGCCTTGTAGTTGTCGTAGCAGCGGTCGAGGGCGCGGAGGTAGCACTTGATGGTCTGCGGGCCGTCGACGGTCGGGTACTCGGATGAGAGGTCGGGCTTGTAAAAGTCGTACGTGTGCTCAAAGTGCGAGGCGCGGAGCTTGGTGTCGAACACCAGCGGGGCGTTGGGCCGATGAGCATGGCGACGGCGCCACAGCCACCGGTCGGGCGCGCGTTGCCCTCGGCGTACACCGCAATGTCACCGGCGACAACCAGGGCGTAGCGGCCGTCCCACGCCGACGACTCGATCCAGTTGATCGAGTTGAAGAGCGCGTTGGTTCCGCCGTAGCACGCGTTGGTGGTGTCGATGCCCTCGACGTCATCGTTGCCGGACTCGGCAAAGAGCTGCATGAGGACCGACTTGACTGACTTGGACTTGTCAATGATGGTCTCGGTGCCGACCTCGAGCCGACCGATGTCAGAGTACGAGATGCCGTACTTGGCAACGAGCGAGGAGACAACCGTCAGACAGATCGAATGGATGTCCTCGAGGTCACCAGTGAACGCCATGGCGGTTTGGCCGAGGCCAATGGTGTACTTGCCGGTCGAAGCGCCGTCGTGCTTCTCGAGCTCGGCCTGGTCGACACACGTGGCGGGGACGTAGAAGTCCATGGCCACAATGCCAACGTCTGAGGGGCGGGATGTCTCGGCCATGGTGGGCAAGGTCTGGACGTGCCCAACGAGGACAGAAGCGGGGGCAACGCAAACAGAGTTAGTTGAGCGCGGTGGTGGAGGGAGGGAGAAGAGCGGGAGGAGGGGGGGGGGGAGAAAGCAGGAATGAGGGAGGCGGAGGTGGAGGGAAGGGAGGAGGGCGGAGGAGGAAGGGAGGAAGGGAGGAAGGGTGTGTGTGTGTGTGTGTGTGTGTGTGTGAGGGGTGAGGGAGGGGATGAGGAGGCCGTAGGCGGAGGCTGTCGGTGTGGGTCGTGTCGGCGGTGCAACGTGGCAGAGGGAACGAACAATGAAAATGAAGAAAGGTGGCGAGGTGCCAAGTGGAAGAGGGAAGGACTTGCGGAGGAGCGGCAAGCTGTTTTTTCGTGGTCTTGCGCTGCCAGATGCTGGAGAGAGAGAGAGAGAGAGAGAGTGTGTGTGTGTACATTTGCGCGCGCCAAACAGATCAGTCAGCCTTGGAGGCCGGCGAGGCGGACGACGGCGCTGAGAGCGAGTGGTAGACCGAGTGGAAGGCGAGCGAGGGGAAAAAGGTGACGTGAGCCCACTCAAAGCGAACCTTGCCGGCTGTGTCGACCGCTGCCGCCGACGTCTTGGCCTTGTTGAGGTTGATGAGGGTGGCTGTCTCACCGGTGATCTTGTGGGCCGTACCCTGCATGAGCGGGGCGGTAAAGGAGCAGCCCCAGAGAAAGGCGAGGCGCGAGCCGGTCAGGATCGCCACGGCGCGGCAGGCGAGCGCGCCTCCGATGGCCGGAGCTTCGGGCACCTTGGGCGACGCCGCCGCCGCCACAACGAAAGCGGCCAGGACCGCCAATGCCGTCGCGCGCGAGCCTGCCAGTGCCAGGCCAGCGTAGGCCTCCAAGCCGGCCCACAGGCCAAACCATGCACCCCAGCCGGCGGTGGCGGCGAGGACCTTCTTGGACACACCGAGGGTGAGGAGGAGGACGGCGAGAAAGGTGCCAATGCAGGTCATCTCGAGCAGCATGGGATCAATAGCCGGGGAGGCCCAAAAGCCGCCGGCCACGGTGGCGATGGCGAGTAGGGTACACACAAACGGAGCCGGGGCAGTAGCGAGCGCCAAAGCCCACCCGGCGGCGGTGACCGCGGCAATCGGCCGCGCGATGGGAGAGCCCTGAAGCAGCGGCGCGACAATGTTATCCAGCGTGTCGAGGAGCGCAAAGTTGCCCAGGACCTGGAAGACTAAGCAGACCATGTGGAGGGCCAGATTCGGCGCAGTCCGATGGTCGCGGCGAAAGTGCTTGTAGGCCGTGGCGTAGCCGTCACCAGCCAAGGCGTTGACCACGGGCTTCCAAGGGTAGCAGTAGAACGGGCCGGGTGCATAGAGGAGTGTCTGCAGAGCAAGTGTCGCCATGGCGACGTGTGTGTGTATGTGTGTGTGTGTGTGTGTGTGTGTGTGTATGTGTGTGTTTGGGGAGGATGGGAGGAGTGGGGTGTGGCCCAGGTGTTTGGTGCTTGCCCAGTGGCTGGTGTGCGGCCGGTAACGGGTTGGCGGCCGGCGACGGGTGGGCCTCCACAGCCGGCACCGGGACCGGCCCCTACAGACGCCGCCTGCTTGCCTCACCTCTCGCTCTCTGTAGTGTGTGGTACCCTTGACTGGCTAGGGGACGACAGACCAGCAATATGTACGTGTGTGTTTGTGTGTGTGTGGAGGGGGGGGGGAGGCTGAGTGTGAGTGAGAGAGAGAGAGAGAGAGTGTGTGTGTGGGGGGGAGGTGGCGGGTGCTGGCGGCCGTTGTCGTCGCTCCAGGCGACGGGCAATTTTTGGCTTGTCGGAGAGGGCACTGGCCGAGGCGGCTGGAGCCAGGATGGGGCCGACGGGGCGGAAGGGAGCTAGTGGGTAGGGTGGCGTCGGCGGGGGGAACGGGAGCGAGGGTGCGGGAGTTGGCTCACGGCGGGCGAGGCGGGCGCAGGTCGCTTTCGCCGAACAAGCGACGCGGCGGGCCGGCAACGGCCGGCGCGATGCGGCAGGGACGGAGCCGGCGGCTGGACGCGACGGTGGCAGAGGACCGCGAGCTGCTGGAGGAGCTTGCAGAGGAGTTCCACCCAGGCATGCGGGTCAAGGCTGTGCACTTTGAGGACTACGAGGGCGTGGTGCGGTTCATCGGGAACACGCTGCTGGGCCCCGGCCCGTGGATCGGGATCGAGCTCGACGAGCCGGTGGGCCGGTCGAACGGGTCGATTGCAGGCGTGTTCTACTTTGACTGCCCTGAACACCACGGAGCCTTTGTGCCGCCCGACTGCGTTGAGCCCATTGACGACGTGGTTGATCCGCTCGAGCCGCCGCGGGCGTGGGACGTCACCGAGCACCACTACCTGACGGCTGCCCGCGACCGGGCGGGCGACGCAGCGCACCTCGCCATGTCGTCACCGCTCGCCAAGTTCCAGGCGGCGCAGGCGGCGGCGGGCTTTGACGCCGACTCGGACTACTCGGGGGCATCGCATCACTACTTTGAATCGCTCCCGCCCAAGCTGCGGACGGCGCCGGCGGCCGGGCTGGCATCGCCGAGCGGGGCGCGGCGGCGCGGCGGCAGCGGGCGCACGGCGACCCACATCATGACCCGGCGCGCCGGCGACAGCGGTCCCGAGGTTGGCGGCACGCCGCCTCACCTGCGCGCGCTTGACGCCCTGCGATCGACGGTTCCGTACTACGAGGCCTTTGCGCCGGTCCACAAAGATCCCGAGGTCGGGCAGCGGGTCCGAGTCAAGGGCCACCTCGGCGTAGTCAAGTTTGTGGGCGGCACGCTGTTTGAGTTTGGCTCATGGGTCGGCGTCGAGCTCGACGAGCCGCTCGGCCGCAACTCGGGCTCGGTCAACGGGACCTTTTACTTCAAGTGCAAGCCCTCGCACGGCATCTTTGTGCGGCCGCACAAGGTCGAGTGGGTCCCGTGGGAGTTTGCGCCGCTGCCGCACTCTGGCTCGCCGCGCAAGCGCCGGGTCCGCAAAACCGGTGCCGCGCTGTTCCAGACCTCGTCGCGGGATCCGTCGGAGCTCTCGGGCGACGACGAAGAGGGCGAGGCGAGCGGGGCGAGCGGCGACGGGCTCACGGGCACCTCGGCGGCGCCCGAACAGCCACCGGCTTTCCGGTCGCCGTCCCAGGGCCCACCGCAGGCCCTCTCGGCGTCGGGCCTACCGGTGCCTGGCATGCAGTTTGAGGAGGTCGACGGCGTCTTGCGGTTCCCGTCTTTGCTCGAGGGTGAGGGCGGCGCGCCTGGTACGCCCGCCGGAGAGGACAAGTCGTTCTTTGGCGCCGGCGGCGACGTCGGCGGCGCGCACGCCATCCTCGCCGGCCCGCACCAGGTCGAGTTTGAGTTTGGCTGCTCGGACATGAAGTTCTACCAACTCGACTCAAAGATCCAGGGTCTTTTCCACGGCTTTTTCGTTGGCTCGGCCATCGGCCTCCTCTGCGAGGATCGCGCCGCCGACGACCTGGCCACATTTGCCAGCACCGGCGGACTCGACTCGTACGGGCCGACTATTGCTTCGCACGACGCACACCGTGCGCAGTGGTACTCGAGCATCGAGGCGGGCGGTGTGTGGGGCGTCGACGGTGACGCCGCGCTTGTGCTCCTCGACGCGCTCGTCACCGCCAAAGGTCACGTCGACCACAAGGTCTTTGCCGAGAAGCTCGCCGGGTGGATCGACGAGGGCATTGTCGCCACCGGGCAGGCCGGGCCCATCGGCGTCGAAGAGACGCTGGTGGAGATTGTGTGCACTCCCGAGTTCACCACGCATCCGCTGGCCGCCGCCAAGAACGTCTACTTTAAGAACGGAAAGTCGTTTGCCGACAACGGTGCCGTGGCCCGCTCGCCACTGCTGGCCATTTCCGACTTTTGGGACCTCGACCGGGTGGCGGCCAACGCCACGATCATGGCTCAGGTGACTCACTCGGACCCGCGGTGCGTCGCCTCGTGCATCGCCGTCAACGTCGCCATCGCGCTTCTGCTGCAAAAGGGCGCGCGTTCGCACACCGCCAAGGGCCTCGTCTTTGTCCTCAAGAAGGCCTTCAAGTACGCCAAGGCCGTGGGCGTGCCCGACGAGGGCGCACTCAAGGCCGCCATCATGACTGCCACCCCGGCCTCGCTTCGGCTCGACGACCCCAAGACCTGCCGCCACACGTACAAGGCGCTCGGCGCAGCCTTCTACGCCCTCCGCACCGGTACCGACTTTAAGTCAACACTCCTCGAGATTGCCATGTGCGGCGGCGACGCAGACGCAAACTGCGCTGTCGCCGGCGCGGTTCTCGGCGTCAAGCTCGGCATGTGGGCCGTGCCGGTCGACTGGCCGCCGCGCTCACTCCCATTCACGGCCCGCTCGTGGCCGCCGGTCTTTGGCCAGTTCCAGCCTGCCACCGAGCCCGAGAACATGCCGCAGTCCTGGCTCGACCTTCGCGGGCCCGACTACCGCTACGCCCGCTCGCTCTTTGACGAGCACCTCACCAACCTCAAGCTGACCATCGAAACGTACTCGACCAAGCGCGACTATTGAATGCAGTCTCCAACCCACGCCCTCGCTTTACCGGTGCTCTCTAGCCTAGAGCGCCGTCGCCTCGGTGAAGAGCGCAGGACGGATCATGGCAGCCTCGCACTCGTGGCAGTGGCACTCGTTCTGGACCCAGCGGTGGAGCCGGGTGTCGAGGATGAACAGCGGAGTCGGCCCGTCGTAGTCGTCACGGGTGCCGACCATGATGAACACCTTATCGTCAACTGTGTAGCCCGAGAGGACGGTGTGTCCGGTCGGCGGGGCATGGCCGGTGGTGGTGACCCGAGACCACTTGCGCGAGGCGAGGTCAAGGCGGTGCATGGTACGCGAGGTGGCCACCTCGGCGCCGCGAGGCGATGTCGTCATGCCGCCGTATACATACATGTGCCGGCCGACGAGGACGGCGACATGGTTATAGCGCGGGCACGGCGGGCGGCCTGTGGCCGTCAGCTCGCAGTACCGGGTCTCGGCCTTGGGCGAGACGTACACGGTGTTGGTTGGCGCTTTGGACGGGAACTGGCGGGCGTCGAGGCCACCAAAGACAATGATAAACTCGTCCGAGGCGCAGATGGAGTGCCCGATGAGCGCGGGGAGCGCAGCCTGCTGCTCAACGTACGCGTCGACCGCGTGTGCAGTCCAAACCTTGTGTCGTGCGAGCGCCAAACCGTGCGGTGCGAGGCTCGAGTCGGCAGAGTCGAGTTCGACGTCGTTGTCGGATGCTGTCGGCGTTGTTGTTGACGAGTACGTGGCCGACTCGTCACCACCATTGGCACGAGTTGTCCGTCGCGAGCGGGTGTACGGACTTGCCGTCGACTGCAATTCCGACGGGAGCTCGAGGCCCGATGCAAGGAGCAGCGAGCGCGAGTGCGATGAGCAATGCGACGAGAAGTCGTGCGAGTCCACAAATGCCTCTGAGGTGAGCGAATGCGGCGACGACGGACCGCCGACAAACCGGGACCGCCGGCGGCGGAACTTGTGCCGGCGGCGCCTCCGCGTGTGCGGGCCGAGGTGCTCAATATCGGTGCCGGGGAAGAGGCCTGCTGGCCGCGACGGGCGCGAGTTGGTGTGGCGCGGCGAGACGGTCTTGTCGACCTCGCCGCGCGTGGAGCGCGGCGGTGAGGCCGAGGCGTGGGCCGAGGCAGGGACCGGACTTGTGTCCTGGCGTGGCGCTCTGCTCGGCTCTGCGTAGAGTGACTTGAGCGAGATGTGAACGGCGAGGGCATCGCGCTGCAGCGCCGGCGGCGGATGCATGAGCGGCGAGATCGAGGATGCTTTGGGTTCGGCGGAGCCTTGGCGCGGTGGGGTCCGACGCCTTGCGCCCTGCGGGCGGCGGTAGCGGCCGTGCGGCGAGCCGGAAGCAGGCTTGGTGTTTCGCGCCGAGGCCAGCGTCGAGCCCTTGCGGAGGCCAGTGCGGAGGAAAATGTATGGGTCGTCGGCCTTGGACCGGGCCCCGTACGCAGCGTAAGTCTTGATACCAGTGCGGCGGGTGCGAGTCCGCGGCGACGCTGATGCCGGACGGCGCGAGTTTGGCGAGGCTGCAAGTGGCGACGCTATGGCATCCTTGGCGGCGGAGACCGGTCGGTGCTGCGGCGGGAGCGCCTTGCGCAGCGGCGTGAGCAGCGCGTCCGACTTGACGACGGTGAACTTCTTCTTGTTCCGAACCTCGGGCAGCGGCTCGGGCATGAGCGCATCAAAGTCAGAGGCTTTGAAAGTGGTGGCAAAACCAGCAGCACGGCCCTGAGCGGCGGCGCCCGGGTCTGCAGACTCGAGCGCAGCTGCAGCGGCGAATCGGGCTTCGACGCTCGGGGTTGGCTCGACGTAGGCGGGGCGCGGGTCGCGCGGCGGCGCGGTGACGACGTCCATGTCAATCGGGCGCGGCACGGATCCGAGCTCGCTGTCTGCAGGCAGGGCGTGGCGGCGGAGCGCAAACGGATGCATCGAGGTGGCGACCCAAGAAGTGTCGTCTCGGGCGCGGAACTTGGGGCGTTGCCGCGAGTCGGAGAGGGCAACATGCTCGCGGGCGCGAATGATGGAGCGCGAGACCTTGACAACCAGCGGTTCCTTGCGGTGCGGCAGGGTGTGCTCGACCGAGACAATGGCAGCCGCAGGGTCGACGGAATCATCGCGGGTGTCGAGTGCGACGACAGCTGGTGGGAGAGCAAACAGTTGTCGCTCGAGCTCGATGATCTCGGCGTCAAGCGGGTCGAGCGGCGGCTCGACGGCAATCGGCAGCGGAGGCGCAACCGCTTTTGCTGTGTCGGGCTCGGACTCGGGCGCGAGTTGCGGCGGTGATGGTGGCAGCGACGACGAGTTGTATGAGTCATCCGAGTCTGAAGTAGACGCGGTAGCGGGAGCGGGATTGGAAGGCGAGGCGGAGGCGGAGGCCGTGGGTGTTGAGCTGCTTGAGCTGTACTGCCACGACTCGGGTTCGAGCTCGGGCTCAGGCTCGGGCTTGGGCTCGGGCTCGGGCTCGGGTGACGACGATGGGCACGACTCTGAAAGATGAACCGGGCTTGCCTTGGCAGGGAGAAGAGGCGGCGGCGAGTCGACAACAGCGGCAACGACGGCCAAGGCAGCGACATCAGGCGTGGTGGGCTCGGGGCTGGCGACGGCGTTGGCGGGCTTGGGGCGAGTGGGGCTCACAGCCACAGCATCAGTGCTGGAGGGCAGCGAGACAAGGTCTGGCTCGGGTTCTGGCTCTGGTCCTGGTTCTGATTCTGGCTTCGGCTCTGGCTCTACATCACAGACATTGTTGTCGTCGTCCGCCTCGAGGTTGGCAGCGCGAATGCGTAACACAATGTCATCTGCAGCCAACGAGTAGCGCAGCGACGGTGGATGGCGAGCGAACGGGCCGGGTGGGCGCTTGAGCGTCGGGTGCTCGAGACCGAGGCTCTGACGGCGCTCGAGAATAGAGCCCGGCTCGGGCTCGTGCTCGTGCTCGTGCTCGTAGTCGTGCTCGTGGTCGTGCTCGGCCGCGGCGGCATCGATGGGGTCGTCGGCAAGTGAGTGGTCGGGATCAGTCGTGGCCCAAGAGTTGGTCTCACCGCCATCATCAGCGGGGATGAGCAGCACGGAATCTCCGCCATCGGCATAGGAAGCGCCATCAAGAGCAGCACCCGAGTCAGTGCGGGCGCTGGGCTCATCTTCTGCCTTGGTGTCATACCCGGGCTCAATCGCCAGCTCGGCACAATCTGCGATTGTGGCGTTTGCACCAGCGTCGACCTCGGGCTCAACGGCTGGTTCGGGACTGGTCTCTGGCCCGGCATCAAGCTCGGCCTCGTCACCCAACTCTGAACCGTCATCGAGTTCTTTGCCGATCTTGACGTCGACCTCGGGCTCTACGGCCGGTTCGGGACTAGTCTCTGGCCCGGCATCAAGCTCGGCCTCGTCACCCAACTCTGAACCGTCATCGAGTTCTTTGCCGATCTTGACGTCGACCTCGGGCTCTACGGCCGGTTCGGGACTAGTCTCTGGCCCGGCATCAAGCTCGGCCTCGTCACCCAACTCTGAACCGTCATCGAGTTCTTTGCCGATCTTGACGTCGACCTCGGGCTCTACGGCCGGTTCGGGACTAGTCTCTGGCCCGGCATCAAGCTCGGCCTTGTCACCCAACTCTGAACCGTCATCGAGTTCTTTGCCGATCTTGACGTCGACCTCGGGCTCTACGGCCGGTTCGGGACTAGTCTCTGGCCCGGCATCAAGCTCGGCCTCGTCACCCAACTCTGAACCGTCATCGAGTTCTTTGCCGATCTTGACGTCGACCTCGGGCTCTACGGCCGATTCGGGACTGGTCTCTGGCCCGGCATCAAGCTCGGCCTCGTCGCCACCATCGACATCGTCTCCTACTCCTTCGTTACCCTCGACAATGTCCGCGACCTCTCTGCGCATCTCCAAATCGTCACTCTCGACATCAACTGCGGCCGAGTCGGATGCCGAGACGGAGGCCGAGTCGGACACGGCCTCGCTTGCGGAGCTGGTGCAACTGGCACTGTCACTGGCACTGCCGCTGGAACCACCTGCACTACTTGAATCGTCTTCTTTAGCTGCGCCGCCTTTCTCACTGACGTGCGACGCAGACTCCGGCGGCGGCTTGTCCTTGGTGTCGTCGAGTCGCAGCGAGGCCGATAGCGAGTCTGAGTCCGAGTCCGACGAGGAGGCTGCCGCCGGCGCGGGCACAGGCAGGGGCTGAGACATGGCGCCCAAGGTGCCCTGTACTCTACCTATAGGTGAGCACCTGGCGTGTGTACGCGTCTGCTTCTGCGTCGCCTGGTGTGCGTCTGCTCGAGCGCAATGCGTCGACAAGTGGGCCTCCGTCTCGCCCTCCTGCCAACCGCCTCCGTCTCTCACCGCAGGATTGCCCCACAGGACTCGGGAGACTTTAATCAAGCAAACTGGGCAGGCGGAGCGAGGCCCGAATGAGCGCAAGGTACATCTTGGCGGCAATAGGGATGATGCCGTCGTTAAAGTCATAGCCGTCGTTGTGGCACATGACAGGATCGCCGTTGTCTGGCGCACCGCCGAGGAAGAAGAAGCAGCCCGGGCGGGCCTCCAGAAAGTAGGAAAAGTCCTCAGCAGCGAGCATCGGCAGGCCGTCGGACGAGACCGCGTCGGCACCGAGGAGTGACTGGCCGAGCGAGCGCACAATCTGCGTCTGCTCCGCGTGGTTGACCACGGCGGGGTAGAGCGATCGAATCTCGAGCTCCGCCCTGGCTCCGTACGCCGCCGCCGTGTTGTGGACAACTTCGTGGATGCGCTTGGTGAGGAGCGCAAAGACCTCGGGATCGAGGTCGCGAATCGTCGCCTTGATATCGCAGTGGGGCGGAAGGACGTTGTACGCTGTGCCGGCGTGGATGGAGCAGACCGAGATGACTGCTGTGTCCGAGTACTTGACGTTGCGCGAGACGATCGAGTGCAGGCCGTCGACAATCTTGCAAGCCACATGAATGGCGTCGACAGCAGCGTGCGGCTGCGAGCCGTGCCCACCCGAACCAAAGATGCGGCAGTCGAGCTCCGAGACGTGGCCCATGGTCGGGCCCTCGATGACCTGCATGGTGCCGACCGGTCCCGAAGGCCAGTTGTGGAAGCCGTACACCTCGTCCACGCCCTCCATGCATCCAAACTCCACCATCGGCAGCGCCCCGCCCGGCCGCTCCTCCGCCGCCTGCAGCAAGAGCCGGACCGTGTAGTTGGATGGGATCCGTGCCCGGAGCCCGTTGCTCTCGTCGAGCAGAACAAGCGCCGCCGCCATGAGGCTTGCCATGTGGCCGTCGTGCCCGCACGCGTGCATCACTCCGTCGTGCGTCGACCGGTACGGCAGCTCCTCCGCACTCGCCGCCTCCTCCATCGGCAGGCCGTCCAGATCCGTCCGCAGCGCCACGCACCGCGGGCCGTCGGCCGCCGCCGGCCCGGTCCCCACAATGTCCACCACCTTGCACGTCTGCGCCATGTCGGTGATGGCTTCGGCTGGCACACCAGCCTCCGTCAGCACTTCAACCAGTTTGGCGCCCGTCACATGCTCTGCAAAGCCCAGCTCGGGATGGGCATGCAGAAAGTGCCGCAGCTCCACAGCCTTGGCCGCCACTCCCGAGCCCACCACCAACTCCTCCAGGCGGGCCTTGTGGTCCTCGCTCAGCTCAAAGAGCCCACCTGTTGCGTCCGTAGTGCTTGCCATGATCAAAATCGAAGTAAAGCGCAAGCAGAGTGAGCTGTGTAAGCAGCCGCCACACCTTATCCTCGTCGCGGCCGCTGCCCCCGTTCGGCACATGTGGTAGTCCGATGCAGTCGTGCCCGTCACCACCAGTCATCATCACCAGACTTCGTTCTCTCGCAAATGCACGCTCATTTTCGCCCGAAACCACCGCCTCAGAATTTGGGGCATCAAGGTTAACGATTGAGGTTGTTGTTGGTTGGTTGTTGGTGGTGGGGCGGGGGGAGGGGGGGGAGGGGGGGGCGCACTCGATTCGGCCGGGAAGGAGTCGACCGGGAGAAGGGGTCGGGGGTGAGGGAAGGCTTGGGAACAAGCCACACTTTGCTCAGCACTTTCTCATGTTCCGGTTCAAGTACGTGTGAGGAGCTAGAGCAGTTGTGGGTGCGCGCATGCACGTGTGTGTATGCGTGTGTGTGTGTGTGTGTGTGTGTGTGTGCGTGTGTGTGTGTGTGAGGGGGGAGTATGGTGGTTTGCGGGTGCCGTGGTGGGCCTGCTTGGAATGTGCCTCCCCCGTGGCGGGCGGACGGAACGCAAAAAAGGCGACCGACCAGCAACGGGCGGGCTTGGCATGGGGGGGGGGGGGGTTGTTTGGGCTGGTGTGGGGACAGGCAATGGCGGTGAAGGGGAGGGTACCGGGCATGGGGAAAGGGGGGCTGCTGCGTGGGGGTTGTGGTGCAAGTCGAGCGGCGGTGGCGGCATGAGTGGAGGACTCACGGCGAGCGTGTATGCGGCGACGGCAGGCGCGACAAGAACAAGACCTTCCGTCCCAAGAAGGGCTTTGGTGCCGGTACCAAGCTCAACGACCTCCACAAGTATGCCAAGGCCACGCTGGGCTCGGGTAACCTCCGCGAGGCTGTGGTCCTTCCAGAGGGCGAGGACGTCAACGAGTGGCTGGCCGTCAACAGTACGTCATATCCTCCTGCCCTTGCGCCCTTCCTCCCTCCTTTTCCCCCACCACTAACTCATACCCCCCGAAACAGCCGTCGACTTCTTCAACCAGGTCAACCTGCTCTTCTCGTCGGTCATGGAGTTTTGCACTGACGAGTCGTGCCCGGTCATGAACGCCGGCCCCAAGTACGAGTACATGTGGGCCGACGGCAAGACGGTGAAGAAGCCCATCAAGGTCTCGGCCCCGCTCTACGTCGACTACCTGCTCTCGTGGGTCCAGGACGTTCTTGACGACGACTCGATCTTCCCGTCGCGCGTCGACGTCCCGTTCCCCAAGAACTTTACCAACGTCGTCAAGACCATCTTCAAGCGCCTCTTCCGCGTCTACGCACACATCTACTACAACCACTTTGATCGCATCGTGGCGCTCGGCGAGGAGGCCCACATCAACAGTACGTCGTCACTGCCTTGGTGGCTTTGCTCGCTCCCCTTGCTCATCCCCCCTCACTCACCTGTCTGCTCCCCTGCTCCCCTCGCTCTCCAGCCTGCTTCAAGCACTTTTACTACTTTATCGACGAGTTCTCGCTCGTCTCGTCGCGCGAGCTCGCGCCGCTCCAAGAACTCATCGACTCGCTCGTTTCGCGCGACGAGGCCAAGCTTGGCGATGACGATGATGCCACTGCGTCGACCACGACTACCTCGTAGGCTTGCCTCGTCAAGAGGAACTGAGCTCCCCACCTTGCACATTCGCCGAGCCTGCGCCTCGCGCTTGTTGCCGTCGCCCACCGTCATCCGCCTAACGACCTCCTGCGCCGCCCTTTCTCGACCTCTCCGTATCCCACCCGCTCCTTCCTCCCTCTCTCCCCTCTCCACCCCTTGCCATAGCCACCCCGCCCCCTTACATGGTCCCTCCTTGCCCACCATTCGCCATGTCGCCTGCTCCTCCCACCATCAAAGCCGCGCGAATCTGGTCCCCATACCCTCGTCGATTCCGGCAATATGGCTGACACACGGACGCCTAACTCGGTGGTCACAGACGAACGCACACACAGACTTTCTCTCTCTCTCTCTCCGTACCACCACTTCTCGCCCCCTTGTAACCGGTCCTTCGGTATGCTCCCACCACTGTCACAACCGGCCTGGGAGCCCATAGGGTCCGCCGTAGGCGGTGCCGACGCCACCGGGACTGGTGGTCCGGCTAACCAGCGCAGCCCCGCCAACTCGTCCGACCTCTCGTACTCACAGCAACCGCTGTCATCCGAGAGCCACTCCGAGCTTGAGACAGAGAGTGGCTCGTCCTCACCGACTCATGCCAGTGAGTCGCCACTTGCCTCGTCGTCGTCACCCGAGTGGACAGGAGGCAGCGAGGCCTGGGGCTCCGGCGGGCGGCGGACGGTTGTGCCGCAGTTGGCAGCCATTGCGCCAGCTGGAGCGGTGGCGAGGCCGCCGCGGCGCATGTCGATGTGGGCACTCAACCCGCCCGATGGCTATGACCCGGACATGCCACGTACTCACTCGGCGATCATCCGCGAGCGCAACCAGCGGCTGCCCAAGCCAACGGCCCTGTTTTATGCCGTGCTGACGCTGACGGGGTGCGCGTGTCTCGCCCTTGTCGTCGTCGGCCTCGTTGTTGCGGCGTAAGCGCGCTAGCATGCAACTATGCGCTGTCGTCAGCCGGAACCACGGCGGGCCCAGCGAGCGACGTGGCGTTGTCGAGGCGCGGATGCGCGCGCTCAAAGTACGCCGGGGTAATGCCGCGGGCCGCGCACGATTCGACGGTGGCCTTGATGAGGTGGATGGCAGCGACAACATCACCAGTGTGTCCAGACTCGGAAACGGTGTGCATGGAGCGAATGGGGAAGCCAATCGAGGTGACGGCGGCGTCGACGCCGCCGAGCACGCCGGCCATGGCATCTGTTCCGGTGTCGACACCACACATATCGCGCTGGACTGGGATGCTCCCCTGGGCGTAGTCCGCCGCCGCGGCCATGATGAGCGAGTTGAGCGACTCAGAGGTGACCGAACCACTTGCCAACGTCGCGCCCTTGCCCATAGTCAGCGGCGGGTACCGCTTGTCGGCCACACCCGGCGCGCCGTTAAAGTCGTGGTTGACGTCTGTGGCGAGAATGACGTCGGGCTGCTCGCGCGCTGCGAGCACCCGCGAGCCGAACCGACCGATCTCCTCGTAGGCGGCAAAGGTAAAGAGGAGGCGGACCGAGTCGAGGGCGTCCGGCTGGGCAGCGAGCAGCTTGGCCAGCTGCGCCGTGACAAAGCAGCCGAGGCCGTTGTCGAGGTACGCGCCGCTGAAGGTGTTGGGCCACACTCCGCGCTCAATCGGGCGGTCGAGCAGGAGCGGGTCGCCGACGCGGATGCCCATGTCTTCCACCTGCTCCTTGCCCTTGGGCCCGTGGACGCCGAGCTCGAGGTAGAGCGAGTCGCCGGACACACCCTTCTCGCCGCTCCGCACCGCCGCCGATGCAAAGTGGATGGCACCGAGCGCCTCGATCGTCCCGCCCGAGACCGCGCGGTACGCGCCCGGCGACGCTGCGTCTTCGGAGAAGAGCGTCACCTTGTTGCCGAGCAGGGTGGCGGGGAGGAACGAGTCCGAGTTGATGTAGATCTTGCCGTCGGGCGCAATCGACCGGACCTGCATCCGGATCTTGTCTGCATGGCCCACCACCATCACGGTCAGCTTGTCGTCGGGGTTACCCGGGTCGGTGTCGACCACCAGCGATGCCGATCCCTTGTACCGCTTAAAGGCCCAGCCAGCCGGCGCCACAGCCTCCAGTGCCGGCGCAAGCACACCCTCGGTCATCGCCGCCTCCAGCCCGACCGGCGACGGCGCCGACAGGATCTCCCGCATAAAGGCAAAGTCCTCATCGCTCATAGTCTCCTCCCAGGGTGCGACCTTGTCCGTCGCGCCCGTCGCCAGCCCGCGCCAGCCCGCGCCAAGGCCGGCCCCCGCGACCGTCGCCGTCCGCGTCGCCGCCCGCACCGCCTGCATGCTCCGTCCAAACATGCTACTCAAGTGTTCGAGGGATAAAGAGAGAGAGAGAGAGAGAAGTATGTGCCGGTGGGTGGTGGTGGTGGTGGTGGTGGTGGCGGTGGTAGCGTCGGTTGGGAGCCATGGCTCGGCTTCGGCGTTTGTAGCTGGCACTTGCCGCCGTCCTCTTCCACTTGATCCGGCCGCCACTCGCTGTCGCCCGTGTCGCGTTGCGGTGGAGAGCAGCGGCGACGACGACGACCACCTGCTCACCACCCGTTGCCGCCGCCGTCACCACCACCAGACTACACCCTGCCGCCCACAACATGCTGCCGTCGCTTGTCTCGGGTGCATATGAAGACTCGGAGTCGTACTCGGACTCGGACGAGGAGGTCGACGCGTGCGGACAGGCGGAGGTCGTCGAGCCGTCGCCGGTCGCATCCGGCGGACGCTCTGGTGTCTCGCCCGCACAGGCGGCGCAGGGAAGCAAGCCGCGACTCTTTGCCGTCTCGTCCACCACATCTGTCGCGTCGTCGACCGATGAGGCCAGCCGCAAGCGCAAGCGGGTCATCACCCTCGCTCTGCCTGATCCGGTGACGGGCGACGATCCAGAGCAGCCGGGCGTGGGGCCTGTCGCCCCGCCACCGGCCAAGAAGACGCGCCCGCTGTCGGGTCTAGCTGCACTGCTGCCGCCTCCGACACGGGCGACACCTGTTCTGCCAAAGCCGTCGTCGGTCGTGACGCAGCAGGCGCCATCGCCTTCAACAGCGCGCCCCAAGCGGACCCAGGCCCCTCTCCCGCTGCTCCCGCACCAGATGACCGCTGCCGGCCGTGCGAATGCCGCACGCGTCGATGCAGCCATCCGCGCCGAGACCCGCGGAGCAGCAGCTGCCGAGCTGTCACAGCAACCGCCATCAGACGCAGCTGCCGCCACCGCCGCCGCCATCGCTGCAGCCCGCGCCCGCCGCTCCGGTAAGAGCGTACCATCCGCACCTGCAACATCGGCAGCGCCTGCGCCTACGCCACCCAAATCCATCGCCGCTCCAGCGGCGTCCCCATTTGCACCGCGCCGCCGCAAAGCGTCGCCGTATGTCCCGCCCAGCGACTTTTTCAACCTCGAGGCACCGGCACCCGTGCCCGCACCAGCACCAGCACCCGCATCCGTGCCAGCACTTGCAGCGCCGACATCAACGTCTACTGCCGGCAACGGCCTCGCTGGAGTCACCTTTGTCGAGGTGGCCCAGGCTGATCTCCTCGACACCTCGGGCTATCAGCCGCAGATCGACGCGCTCCGCTCGTTGCAGAAGCGGATGGCGGCGGCCAACGCGGCAGCATCAGAAGTCTCGAACGAAGCCAAGTCGAAGAACCACATTTCGCACATGGTGGTACAGGCCGAGGCCACCCGCCTCCGCAACATGCACCGTCAGGCCATGGACGCTGTCCGGCGGTAGCCTGTGCTGCCGTGACCCTCCCCCCCCCTCTGCAAAAAAAAGCATCGGCTGGCCCACAATAAAAACCTGCGCAGGCCGGAACGACTGCACCTCCCCCCGGCAGGGCAGCCACCAGTGTCCGGAGGGGCGTGGGCACGTAGCGCACAGCTCTCTCTCTATCTCTCACCCCCCCCCTCCCACACTCTCCCGGCGTTTACCTCGGCGCGAGCGCACAAACACGCATTCGCACCTGCTGCCTTTGCGTCGCTGTACCCGCCATGGTTGCCCTCCGTCCCGCTGCCTGGCTTGTCGTTGTCGTCGTCGTCGCCGCCGTCGCTACCACCGCCACCGCACAGGGACCTTCGCCTCCACCGCCACCGTCTCCCCCGCCACCACCACCACCATCGCCTCCGCCGCCACCGTCGCCGCCTCCGCCGCCTCCGTCGCCGCCTCCGCCGCCACCGTCGCCGCCGCCGCCTCCGTCGCCGCCTCCGCCGCCACCGTCGCCTCCGCCGCCTCCGTCGCCGCCGCCGCCACCACCGTCGCCGCCGCCGCCACCGTCGCCTCCTCCTCCGCCGCCGTCACCGCCGCCGCCGCCGCCGTCACCCCCGCCGCCGCCGCCTTCACCGCCGCCGCCGCCGCCGCCGTCACCCCCACCGCCGCCGCCACCATCGCCGCCGCCGCCGCCGCCGCCGTCACCTCCGCCGCCACCACCGTCGCCACCACCACCACCGCCCGCCTGCATGCCTGCGTGCCCAGTTGGGCGTGCTGACTGTGTCAACGGACAGTGTGTGTGTCGTGCCGGGTACGACGGTCCGTTCTGCTACGCCATCATTCCGTCGCAGGTCATCAACGGCGGCAAAGCGAACCAGCCCGGGACCCAAGCTGGGCTGATCACCATCTGCGTGCTCATGCTTGTGGCGCTCTTGGCATACTTTGGTTTTCTTGCTTGGCGCCGCGGGACCGGTCGTGATCCAGACGACTTTCTGGCGTCAGGCCCAACGGCGCACCGGGAGCATCGGCCGGTCTGGATGGCTCGAGCCCCATGCACACGTACCCGTCTACTGACGCATCTAACGCCAAGCCAGCAGACACATCGCTGCAGCCCGCTTCAGCGGGGGTCGGCACCGCATCATTGCCGCCATCTGCTGCCGAGCCGGCCGTCCTCACCGACGAACCCGAGAGCGCTCCAACGGCCGTCGACTCGCTCGGTGTCAACGATGCCGGTGACTCGGGCGGGCCAGGCCCAGACTCACTCGGCGTCGGACCGGCGGCTGGTCTGGGCTCGCACTCGGACTCAGGCCCGCCGCCTGCTGCCGCTAGGTCAGTCGCTGCGGGAGGCACCGTTGCAGGAGGCATGGCTATCACCACCGGCGCCGCTGCAAGCTCCAGCTCTGCCACGGGTATGGCGACGACTGCCTCTGTAGCCGAGACGGCTGCGGCTTCAGCCGCAGGCACTGTACCGGCCAGCGCGTCACCGGACGACCCTACGCCTGAGCAGCTGCAGCTGCTTGAGAGCACGCTTCTGGAGCGCGACCTCGCGCTGGTGTTTGCGATGGACGAGTGCGTGGCGAGCCGACCGGCCAAGTTTGCCATCAAGCTGGCCAAGGCCATGGTGTGCGTGTTTGAGGAGCAGGGCTCGTGCATGCGGCTCGTCCGCAAGACCATCCAATTCGAGGTCAACAAGACGTCGTCGTCGGCGTCGCTCTCGTCGGCCGTCTTCCTTGACGACCTACTCACGACCGAGATTGTCGTGGCGCATGCGAACCACATGGCACACATGGCGCTTGCCGACTGGCTGGCGTCGTTTGCCGAGCAGCTGGCCGAGGCTGGACCCATCGAGCTCGACCCGGCCAAGGTGAGCAAGGCTGAGGCCGCAACGGCGGCAACCAAGGCCATGGAGCTCGCCATGGCCTTCATCCAGTCGGCCACGCAGGTGGCAGCCGAATGGTCACCCTCTCTCCGCCACGTCTTCAAGTTTGTCCACTCGGCCGTTGGCCCGGCCAATCGGGCCGAGGAAGTCGGCCGCATAGTCTTTGACCGCGTGCTCTTTGTCAACCTCCTCAACACCGAGCGAGTCAAAAGCAACAAGATGCTCAAGAACTCCGTCAAAGTTCTTGCCAAGGTCGTCAAGACAACCTACCGCCACAAGCCGCTCTCGTACCCTTCCCCCGCCTCGGTGGCCAAGGCTGTGGCGACATGGGCCGACAACACTCGCCCAGCCACCGAAGCCTTCCTTGCCCTTCTCGTCGACGTGTCAGACGACTCGATCGTCGAGGTCGTGCGCCAGGTCGACGACGAGCGCAAGCGCCTCCACCTCATCAACGCCTACCGCATCCTCGCCGACATGCAGCCTGACATGACCGGCAAGTACTCGGACGACTTCCGCGGCAAGTTCAACCTTCGCGAGTTTAACCGTCACGCACAGCTGTTGCTCAAGGTCAAGAAGATCATGGGCCAAGAATGAACATAAGAGGAAGCTATGCCTGGAGCAGCTAGCGGGTACAGGCTCAGATCTGCGTGTTCCATCGGTTCGGATCGCGGTGTCGCCGCTTGTCAACCGCAGCTTTGGACTTATGAAGAGCGAGCATGGCGTCACGCGACCGCGACTTGGCCAGCGCCTCCTTTCGCCACGTCTGGCTTTGCGGGACGAGAGGGAGGAGATTTGTCCGCTTTCGCCGGCGCTTTCTCCTGCGGCCACTCTTAGCTGGACTCTCATCATCGGCACGCCCGCGCTTGCGAGCCGTAGCCTCTCGACTCGGACTTTCCGCAGAAGGCTGCGACGGTGGCGGCGGCTGCGGTAGCGCTACCTCTTCAAATGACGGCTCTTGGCTCTGGTCAAGATCTGGCAGTACTTGCTCGGCTCGATCCAGCGCCGCTGCCATGGCAGCCTTGGTCTCCAGTAGCCGAGCCATGAATCGCGACTGCAGTGTCCGCTCATAGCCGCCAACAGGAAGCTGGACCTTGCCCACCACCGAAATCCAGCGGCTAACTTCGAGCTGCGACGTCGTGCGCAGATCCAGTGCAGCATCGCGGACTGCGGTGCAAAGATGGGCCAACGCTGCCCGTTCGGTCGTAGACGCTGCAGATGAGCATGATACCGTGGCAGATGGCCCGTCTTCCATGTCGTCAGCGTCTTCGTCGTCCGACCCGTACTCGTACTCGTACTCACCGTCGCTACCGGCGCCGGCCTGATCCGCAAAGTACCGCTGCTCGAGAAGAGCCGGATCGAGCCGAGACTCGGACTCGCGGTCCAAGAGTTCCACGTTCGAGACGTCGGTTCGACTCTTGCGCTCGTTGACAACCTGCCTCGCCTGCTGCGCAGTTTCCAACAGGGTTGTGGCGTTGGCGAGAACTTCGACCGACGACGCAGCAGCGTCAAAAACGGCATCGGCACGCTCCACAAGTTCGTCAAACTTGGCCCGGAGCAGCACCTGTGTTCGCTGGATTCGAACTGAGCGGTCGTCGGCGGAGACCGGAAGTGCACCACGCGGGAGGCCTGTTCGCGATGGCGGGCGTGCGAGGCGTGGGCGCGGCGCGGAACGGGCGGCCTCGGCAGCGCGCCGGATCTGGGATGGAAGCTGCAGGCGCAGACGGCTATTGATGTAGTGGATGGCCAAGTCCAGGTGTTGTGCCACGTCGGGCACCTTGGCGTGCCAGCGATCGATAGCGGCCAGCGCGGCGGCGCGAAGCTGCGGCGCAACCGCAGCAGGCTTGGGGAGCGGCTCGGCCGGCGAGCCGACGACGAGCGCCACAAACGCGTTGAGCTCGCGAATGACGGCCTTGCGGAAGGCTTTGGAAGCGGTGAACAGCGCATCGGTCAGGGCAACCATCGAGAGCCGGACCTGCGCATGCTTCCGCGGCAGCTCCTTCCACATTGCCTCGAACACCGTCGCGCCGACGCCGCTCACAGTCTTGCCTAGCGCCCGCAACTCGGCAAGGACTTTGGGCTCGACCACGGGCCGACCCGAGTTGGCCACGCCCTTGACCAGGTCATGGATGCGGTGCCGTGTCGCTACGTCCATTTGCCACAGGGGTGGACGCAAGCCAGGTGTCTGCGTCTGCGACGCTGGACAAGCCGCAGGCAAGTCGCATTGGCCCGTGTTGCTGATGGGGGGACATTCCGTGAGATTTTGTGTCAAATATTTGCTGACACCCAAATGTTCACCGTGACACATGGGGTTCCTGCTTCCAGCCCTTCACCAAACATGACTGCTCCTTCTGCTGAGACGTCACACAACACACCACCGCACTCACTGTCCCTCTGGCCACACGCTCCACAGACGGCGGTCAGGTCTGCAGCATGTCGCGCTTGCTGAGCAAGCTTGCCGAGCGTGTGCTGAAGAAAGTGATCGCGCAGTATGTGGAGGAGGTATCGGTGGAGAGCGTCGGCGGCGGGCGGCGTGAGTGCTGGGCCAAGTGTAGCTCTGCCAGGCTCCGCCCGTCGGCGCTCATGTTCCTTGCCGACGTGCTCCCGTTGCGGGTGACCACGGGCTTTGTACGCTCGCTCTCGGTCACCGTCACTTACAGTCCGCTCTCTGCTGTTGTCCGCCTCGATGGTGTCGTGGCTCTCGCCTCGCCGCCTCCGGAAGACGGCCATCCCGCCGCCGCAGAGTGGGAGGCCGACCTCGCCGCCCGCCGCGCCGCCGCCCGCGACGCCGCACTTGCCACGCTCGAGTCTGACCACGTGGCCCAGCTCCGCGGCGGTGGGTATGATGCCGGCGTGGATGCTGGTGTGGATGCCTCCACGGATACCGACGATGAGACCAGCCACTCTTGGATTGAGAACAAGGTCCGCCACATCCTCGCCAACCTCCACGTCGACATCTCGGACATCAACGTCCGCTACGAGTCCCACAAAGGCGGCCCAGCCCTCGGCATTGTTGCCGACACGCTGGCGCTCAAGTCGACGGACGCAGCGTGGGCCGAGCTCGGTCCGGGCGCCACGCCGCGCTCGGCCACAGACAGCACCATGTTCAAGCTCGCGTCTCTCACAGGCCTTGGCTTTTACATTGAGCCGCAGTGTGACTCAGCTGTAGACGTTTCTTCGTCCGTAGACGAGCTGGCACAGACGCTGACAAGTCTGGCCTCGTCGCAGGAGCATTGCGAAGCCGATTCGGTGCCTGACAAGTTTGTCCTCCATGGCCTCAGCGCTCAGGTGCGAATCTCGCTCTCTGGTGATACAGCCGTGGTCAACGCCAGCCTCGATGCCTCGCCCGAGAGTCCTTGCGTGGCGCGTCTCTCGCAGGCTCAATTTGCTGCTATTGTCACGATCCTCGCAGCAGCCGCCTCCCCGCCATCACCCCGCCCACCACGTCTTGTCGACGGTGGTGGCGCCGCCGCCTGGTGGGCGTACCTCGCAGGCAAGCTTGGCGCGAGCAGCTCGACATTGCGACTCGGTGAGTCACTAGTTGCCCGCTCTGCTCGCAAGCATGCCTACATTCGGTGCTACTTTACCATTATTGTCGCCGAGGCCGATCTCAGCCTCACGTTTGATGACTGTGGTAGCTCAGCGCTTTCGCTCTCGCAAGCACGCACCCAGCTTGCCCAACTCGAGGCTGATCTGTCCATCGAGGACATTCAGTACTTTCGTGAGTTGGCTCTTGATCACGGCTTTGCCCGCCTCTTTGCGGCGCCGACACCAGATTCTGCCAAGAAACGCGGAGTCAAGAAGCGACTCATGCGCCTTGTCCGCCGCAAGAAAAGCAACGCATCGCCAGACGCCGGGCTCGGCCAGACCGAACGCGACGCCCTTGCCGCTGCCCGCCGTCTCGAGCTTGCCCAGCGGGTCGCGGTTGTGTATGGCGGCCAGAGCAGTCTCAGCGAGCTGAGCATGACCTACGAGCTCATAGTTGCTTTTCCGGCGCTCCGGATTGAGCTTGTGCCCAGCAGTGAGACCACTCCCTGCTTCATGGCCAACATGCGTGGTCTGGTATTCCGGCTCACGCCGGGCACGGCCTCTGTTGCTGTTGCCCACGTCGATGCAATCGCATCGCGTCTCTACTCGGGCACCCTTGTCGAGTGCACCGGGGAGTCTGCGGGAAGCCCAGCTCTCGAGGCGTCGATTGATTTTGCGCTTGAGCGAGGCGAGAGTAAGCCGGGATCTCTTCCGCCGATCGTTCTTCGGCTAACGACCCAACCAGCGATGCTGACGTACCATCCGGGCGCAGCAAGGGAGCTCGCGTCGTTCTTTGCACATCCACTCCGCCGCGAGGCCAGGCACCGGCTGGTCCATGCATCGGCGCGCAAGCGCGCGCAGCTCGTCCAGGCCTCGCGCGCTTCGGTCGAGTACATTCTCACAGAGCGGCGCCTGGTTGAGTTTGATGTTTCCATGGCTGCGCCTGTTGTCACGGTCCTTGTTGACCCTGAGCGCGATGCCAGTCGTGGCTTTGTCGCTACGCTCGGCTCGCTTACCATCTCTTCGGAGCAGGCCTCGCTCGCGTACCAGCGGTATCAGATCGAGCTCGCCGGTGCGCGTGTAGTCCACATCATGCCAGCGCAGTGCACCGATTCGGTTGTCATCGACGATACCTCTCTTTCGGCTACCGTGCAGCGATGTGTCGTCTCAGACGATCTCGTCTTACTCCCGCTCCATGTCGAGGCCGAAGTACAGCGGGTGGCGGTAGCTCTTGACGAGTTAGCGCTCGCCACGTTGGCCCAGACAGCTGTTGCCTTGGCAGACCTCGGTGGGCGCTATGAGCCTGCATCTAGCATTGCTGGTCAGTTTGCGACAGCCCCACCCGAGCCGACCGCGCTGTCTGCCGCCCACTGTGATGCACTCGCGCAGGTCGAGACACTGCGGACTGTTCAGGCTCAGCTTGTCGTCCACCATGGCGAGGTGACGGTAGCCGACGCGCGAGGCGATCCTGTTGTTGTTGTGCGCGCGCAGCAGACGTGCACCTCGGTGCTCTTTCGCGCCTGTGATGTTCACCTGCGATCGACGGTTGCCAGTATGCACATGACGGACGGTCAGGCTGTCATGCTCACGGCGGTGGTACCCGAACCGCACCCTAGCGCGTCAATGTCACAATCGTTTGTCTCGCTCGAGTCGCTGCTGGACGAGCTGGAGGTGTTGGCGACGTCGCTTCTTGTCTCGCAGTTTGACAGCGACTTTGGACTCCGCATCGAGGCGCACCTCAAGGCCTGGCTCGAGCATCTGGATGTACCCACTGCAAAGCTGGAAGCATTGCGAGCGAGGATTACTGCCACGCCCGCGTTTTCACCACATCTGAACGCGCTCATTGTGGCCGGCCATGCTTCGCCTGCCATCTGCGAGCTCGGTGAAGCAGTGCTGTCCCGAGTGGCGTTTGCCTCTGCGCGCGCTGAGCTCAAGTGGTCGTCGCTGCGGCCGGGGCCGGCAACTAAGCTCTGGCTCAGTGCTCTTGACCATCTGCCACACCTGAAGACAGCAACGCGGCCAAGTGTTGTCCTAGTCTGGATCGACGCCTACGAGCTCGAAAGCGAGCTGATATGGTCGTCACTCACCCGGATCGCAGAGCTGTCTGGCGCGGCTCGTCGTGCCTATCACGACCGCCGCCGCGTGGTCAACACCGGAGAAAGCTTTGACATCGGCGAGCGTGTTGCCGACGATTCCCCAGCCTGTGGTATGTCCACGCCCACCACCTCGATCTCATCTGCAGTCACGTCGTGGATGGACCGTCACCGAACGGAGCGGCTAGAGCTTGTTCAGGTCGAGTTGCGACTGCGAGCGCTCTCGCTTGCAGTGGTCACGCCACCTTCGCTCAGCGTAGCCAGCTTTGTTTCCGCAGTCGAGCCGGACGGATTGGCCGGGCGCGTGTTTCTCGACGCTAACTTGCGCGGTCTCGAGATGCGGCTGAGCCAGACTCGGCGGGGGGTGTCGCTCGGCGGTTCGTTGCACACACTCCGACTGGTAGATGCTCTTCTCACGCCGCCAGTCCCGCTTGTGGTGATGACCAAGGCGCGGGCTACAGGCGCGGATGGCGCTGGGTCGTCCAGTGTCGAAGCGTACGCCACGGTTGCGTATGATGCGACCGACGAGGTGCCGACGTCAACTATCACTGCGGGGTGCATCGCCCCGTCGCGGGTGGTTCTGGCGCCAGAAGCTCTCGTTCATCTCGGTGCCATGGGCGAGGAGCTACACAAGCTCTCGCGAGCGTGGACAGGGGCTGCTACAAGCGAGGAAGCCGGCGTGCAGTCAAGCGCTGAGATCGAGCAGGTGCCGGAGCCGGCGGCGCAGGTTGGCAAGGTCATCTTCTCTCTGCGAATTCAGTCTCCAATCGTCATTGTGCCACCACCATCACTCGCTGGTGGGCCGCTGCTCGCGCTGAACATGGATGTGTTTCAGGCGGAGGGAAGCGCGTACGGCGCGATGAACGACCTGGTCTTCTCCACCGATGCCGCGCAAGTCGTCTTTGTGGCGAATGGCGACTGGATTGGCCTCACCAACTGGTCGTGGGCGCTGGACCACCAGCTTGCGCTACCGTCGTACCTCCATGTCCTACCGTGTGCACAAGCGCAGGCCAAGATCCAGACCCGTGCCGGATCGGAGCCGCGGCTGGAAGTGGGTGTGACCCAGGGCGGACGCGAGATCGTGAGCATGCACCTCTGTCCCGAGCTCTTGTCGTTTGTCACTGATCTTCGGCGGCGGCTAGAGTGCGTGCCGGAGCTCGGCGTCGCCCGCGGAAGGCAGGCCGGCGACAGCGAGATGCGAGTGCCTGGCGAGAGCGAGCGGATGCAGTTTGCTGAGCTTGCGCGGTGGCTCTTTTCACGCCGGAGCATCTCGTGCTCGACGCGTGGCAGCCGGCATGGAAACTCAAGGCTACGTTTCCGTATGGCCTGCGAATGCAGCTGTTCCGGTCGGCAGCGTTGATGAAAGCCGCCTGCCAGGCAGATCGACCGGTTGACGCCCCTGAAGTGCTCGCGCTTGTGGTGGCGACAGCCAACGTCGAGGTCCGGGTCGAGGCAGCGAGCAACACCCACCGGTGGAGCAACATTGGCCCGTACTTTGTGCTGCGGCGGCGGCGGATCGAGATTGACTGCGGCGAACTTCAAGTTGACAACTACTTTGCGTCGAACCACCACAAGCCGGTCATTCAGTCGCACCACTCGCTGCCGGTGCAGGCGGTGATCTCGAGCTTCTCGCTCGAGCCGACCCAGGCAACGAGGTTGGTGATGCGGATGTCGGCGCAGCGTGAGCCGTCGCCGACGTGGCAAGAGCGCTTCCGGCTTTTGCAGGATATCCGATCGGGAGTGGTGTTTGGCGAGGCGACGGTTGCCCTTCAGGGTCGATTCATGCTTCACTACCGCAAGAGCGCGGTCGACGACTTGCGGCGGTTCATCAACTCGTCGCTGCTGCCAGCGATGCAGATGCCGAGCGCAACATGGCGCGGCGATCGGATGTATGGCCTCGCGCGGGGCGTTCAGCCGCTGCTCTACTTTCACACGCTGCGATCGTCGGAACTTGACGCCACTCTCAACCTCGAAGCCGTGCGAATGGTCGTCAACGCCAACGTGCGCGACTTTCAGCTCAGTGTCCCGCCGCTTGCCGAGACCGAACTTGTAGTGTGTGCCGGCAACGTGGGCAGGCTCTTTCTTAACCACTACTTTTCGTCGGATACTGGGTCTGGAGTGTGGGCACAGGCAACCCGGCTGGCACAGGCGGGGTGGAGCCGTGTCAAGGGCTATGTGCCACTGCTTGATCCACAGATTCCAACGGTGCCGACAGCCGTCCTTGCGCGCGTGCCTCGCGGTGCCTCGCACTCGCCGTTTGTCACGATGGAGATCCGTGACGGTGACGGGCGGCTGTACCGCGACGACGATGAGGCGGGGAACGAGGTCAGCGATGGCGGCCTCGCTCGCGGCGATGCACGATTTGTGGACATCACGCCATGGGCCGAGGTGGTTGAGCTTCCCGGAGCCGAGGCCGAGGCCAAGGCATTTGCTGCGGTGCTCTATCCCGACTTGGACCGCGCTTGGCACGGCCGGGCCGAACCGTGCACCTTTATCATTGATCTCGGCATGCAAGTAGTGGTGGCACAGGTGGACATCCGCAACGCACGGGGGGTGACTGGCGCGGAGCGTGGGGCCCGGCGAGTCAAGATTGCGCTTGCCGTCGATCCAGAAGGCCCATGGCTCCAAGCGGTCGACGACGAGCTGCGATATCCGGGGAGCGAAGCCACCGACGCTCTCCCGCTGCACTCGTTCCGGGTGCTTGTCAATCCCAGCGGCGGCGCGAGGTTTGTCCGCGTTGCCATCGAGACGTGGTACGAGATCGGGCCGGGCCTCACGCTGCTACGGTTCCAGTGCGAGCGCCATGCGGTGCCGCATGCAGCGCTGTACGGGACGCGGTCGCGGCGGGCGCGACGGGCTGGTGGGATGCACGTGATATATGCGCTCGATGAGCCGTGGGGCAATCAAGGCGAGCTGATCATTGATCTCGGCGCCCAGTACGAAGTGACGGGTGTTGCAGCCTCGAACGTGGTGGTGGTGAGCAGCGATTGCGCCGACGACGTCGAGTCGCTTGTGTACGAGCCACGAGGCGTGGCTGTTTTTGAGCTTGCGTGTGCTGCAGCTGGTGGTAGCGGCTTTGTGCCGTCGGTGTACGGGCGGCTGCGGGCGCCGCCGGACCTCGACAGCGCCGAGTGCTGTCTGCCGGGCGAGTCGCGGCTCACGCCGCCGTTCTTCCGCGTTGCGCCATTGCTTGGTGGTACGGTCCGCGCCCGGTTTGTGCGGTTCCGAGTGCTCGAAGCTTGGGGCGAGGGACCGAGCCTCGAGTATTTGCAGATCTACGGGCGGTTGGCGCAGGAGGTGGCCGGGCCGAGTGGCGTAGGTAGCGGCGATTCTGACCCACATATTGCTGGAATCGTCAACATGCGGGCACTCGAGATGGCGCTCGAGCGCGAGCAAGGTGAAGGCAGTGGAGGCGACGCATGGAGTGGGCCTTGGCGAGGCGCCGTGGGTGCGTCTGGCCGAATGTTCCGTCTTGTTCCGCTCGATGATGGCGCCGTGGTGTGCTCGATTTCGGTCCAGCAAGCGTGGACAGCGAGCCACGACGACGACGCCGGTGGCGCCGGCATCCGCGGCATTGTGGTGTGGAACGGTGAGCGGCGACTGATTGATCCAGAGCTGGCGCGCGAGAGTGCCGGGCGGTGGGTGACGCTCCCGACGCCGCTAGTGGCGATCGAGGAAGGCGGGCTGAGCTTTGAGCTCAACTCGTTCCACGGGACAGGTGGTGCTTTTGACGCGATTGCAGTGCGCGGAACAGGCGATTCGGAACTAGTGGAGGCTCTCATGGCCGGCAAAGTTCGCGCGGCGCTGCCGCTGACACTCGAGCCAGTGGGCGAGGCTGGAGCGCTCGCGGTCACAGCGCCGCCGTACGACCGAGCGGCGCTGGTCTCCGGCATCGAAATCCGTGGGCCGCCGGGCGTCGTGTCTGTACAGGGCTACTTTGCGCGACGCGGACAGTGGGTGGACTTGTGCGTGGTCACGCTGCTTGGCCTCGAGGTGTGGGTATGTGTCGATGTGGCACGGCCGGTGGCGACGCAGTGGATCCGGGTGGTGACGAGCAGTGCGGCCGAGTCGGAGCCGTGGCCGGCTGACCGTCTGGTAGTGCTCGGCGCACCTCGTTCGCGGGCACGGTCGCGGTCACGGCCACTCTCGCGGCGGCAGGGAGGTGTGTAAAGACAGACTTGTCGCAGGGAGTTCTACAATCTGATGCTGCGGGCTCTGGCGCGGAGCGTGAGCTGGGCAGGGTGCGGGGTGCGCGCGGTGGCAGGTGTAGTCGCCGTGCAGCGGAGGGTGGGCGACGGTCGGCGAGGGATGGCGGCGACGTTTGGCGAGACGTACGCGGCGCTGGTGGCGGGCGGCAAGCTGCGGGTGGATCCGGTGCAGCAAGCAGCGGTGGCAGAGCTGACGCGGCTAGAGGAGCGAGTGTTGGCATGGGAGGCAAGCGGCGGACCGGGCAAGGCGGCAGCAGCAGCGGCGACGGGACGAGGTGCGAGCGCGGGCGCGAGCAGGCGGGCCGGTGGGTGGCTAGGCTCACTTCTCGGCGGCGGCGGAGTCGAGAATGGCGCGAACAAGACGCTTGCCCCACCGGCCGGCCTTCCAAAGGGCCTTTACATGTACGGCGGGGTGGGATGCGGGAAGACGATGCTGATGGACGCGTTCTACGAGCACGTCGACGTGGGCTCCAAGGCTCGGGTCTCGTTCCACACCTTTATGCTCCGGGTCCATGCGGCGATGCACAAGTGGAAGCAGAGCGAAGGCGCCAAGGCACGACAGGCTGGTGGCGAGTCGCGGATGATGGGCGATGTGGCTGCCGAGATGGTGCGGTCCGGCTGGCTGTTGTGCTTTGACGAGTTCCAGGTCACCGACATCGCTACGGCAATGATCATCCGGCAGCTGTTTGAGAACCTATTCGCGCACGGTGCGGTGGTTATGGCAACGTCAAACCGACCGCCTAATGAGTTGTACTTGGGCGGCCTGCAGCGGGATCTCTTTCTCCCGTTCATCGACTTGCTGAACGAGCGGTGCGAGGTTCACCACCTGGCGTCGAATCGCGACTACCGGGCAGTGCTCTCGGCCGAGAGTGCGGCACAGCCGACCGAGGGCACGGAAACGTACATGTTCCCGCTTGCCCAGTCTGTGGAGGAGCGGATGGAGGCTGCCTTTGCACAGGCAACAGCCGATGCCAGTCAGGCGCCAGCGCCGATGGAGCTCCCGGTCATGATGGGTCGCAAGATCGTGATTCCGCGCGCAGCTAACAGGGTGGCGTGGATTAGCTTCTCTGAGCTGTGCGAGGCGGCGGTGTACTCGGCTGACTACCTCGCACTGACCGAGGCGTTCGACTCGGTGTTCATCACCGGCGTGCCGCAGCTCGGCGAGGAGACACCCAACGAGGCGCGGCGGTTTGTGACACTCATTGATCAGCTGTACGAGGCCGGTGTCAAGGTTGTTCTCTCCGCGGAAGTTCCGCTCAACGAGCTGTACCAAGGTATCAAGCGCGATGCACACGGGGTGGAGGTGAGCGCGGCAGGAGACGGGGGTGGCAAGGGTGCCGGAAGCGGCCTCCGCGAGGACGTGGCCTTTGCCTTTGATCGCACCGTCTCGCGAATCCTCGAGATGAACTCGGACGAGTATCTCTTGCGATGGGCGAAGCGGCGGCGAATTGTCGATGCTGGACCGGGGGTGGAGCCGAGCCAATGAATAGTGACCATCTGGCGTGCCGGCTAGCCGGCGTGCGGTCGGCCCTGGCGACGGGCGGCAGGCGGTGGCAGCTGCGCACACGCGACTTTCGACGCCGGCGGCGGGCGAGTCGGGCGTGGGAGGAGGGCATGGGCGGCAACGACGTGATTGGGTGTGCGTATGGCGGTGGGCTGATGGCGGGGAGTGCCAAGTGTGTGCGTGTTGCGGTGCTGGCGGGTGTGGCTGTGGCGGCATGGGCCTTTGTCCTTGCCCGGGTGGCGTTCACCGTCGGCTCGTCGGGAGCGCAGCTGGCGTCTGTCCGCGGCAGCATCCTCGGTCTTGCGGCGGTGTATGTGACGCTGCTTGTGGTGCACTGGATGGCGCTAGGGGTAGTGGCGCTCGACTACGTAGCCATCTATCTCAAGGTTGTCCTCGCTGCTCTTGTCGCCCTCCACTACGCCCTGCAGGTGGTGCGGCTGTTCCGCTTCGGCGCCCGCTTCCGAAAGCGGGCCATGGTGGCTTGCGCGTGCGTGATAGCGGTGGCGAGCGCGGTGCTCGCGGTCTCGTTCATGGCTCCGCTGAAGAATGCTGTCTTTGGCTCGAATGTGTCGTGCAAGCGCCCGGCGTGGATTCTGCAGAGCTCGCTGGAGTTTGCCATGGCGTTGGCGTGCCTCGCCGGCGCAGTGCTGCTGACTCGCCGGCTGCGGGCGGTGGCGGCACTCTCGTCGTCGTTTGTGGCGTTTGAGCTGAAGCACATGTGGCTGCTCACTGTCGTGTTTGTTGTCACCTCGAGTGTCTCGCTCGGCTACGAGATTGCGGAGCTTGTGCAGATCCGCACCGAGGCCGACTGCACGTCGTACCTGGACTCGCCCAAGTGGGCGGCGGCCAATGCCGGGCTCCGCGTTGTGGTCCTCATCCTTCCGGTGGTGACGACAGTGGCGGTCTTTGCTTCGCTGGCGCGCAAGTATACGGATAAGTTTAACGCGGCTGGTGGCAGGGGGGAAGCAGCGAGCCGCTGATGGGCGGCGGAGTGAGCTCGATCAATGGGCCACAGGTTGCGGGCGCGTTCGCCAACCCGACGGCGGGACTCGCGCCCGGCGCTGGGGGCATGGCGAGAAGTGGCTCGCGGTACTACGGCTTGCGAGCCGGCCACGCATCGCTTCACAATCTTGTTGGTCGTTCGCCGGGCAAGGCCTGGGGGCCTGCGGCGCACCCGGACACGGTCTTGTTTGACGAGAGCGAGACCGGCGACGAGTACGCAAGTCTGCCGTACGGAACATGAGGAGCTAGCGTGGCGGCGGCGGTGGGCCCGGTTTGTCCTCTTTGAAAGCGGCATGGACGAGGTTCTGGACGTAGTTGAGCGAGGTGTGGAAGACGTCGACGTAGACGTCAAGGGCACCGTTAGCACGGAGTTTGATGGTGCCCTTGTCAAGGTACTTGAGGATGACGTCCACGTTGAGGCCAGTGATGGTCCCGTGGGTCCTCGGTGAGATCCAAGTCGACGACGCTGGGATGGTCCACTGGCTTTCTGCCGTGAGCGAGATGTTGACGATGGCGACCTGGGTCTTGCCCTGCCAGATGGTAAAGTTGCCTGCGCGCATGGCGAGCGACGACGGGTACGGATTGACCATTTCGAGGATGAGGTCAAAGGAGCGCGAGCCTTCGGCGAGCTTAATAAGGTTGATGTGGAGGTAGGCAAAGTCGATGAGCGGGACCTTGTTGGCTGGAATGATGGCGGAGGTGGACCAGATCTTGCAAGCGGGAACAAGATACGGAATGTTTGTGCCGTTGGCGTTCGAGGCGACACTGACAGTGATGTCCGAGCCCGAGACGTAGTTGGAGAGGAACTCGACACCAACCTCGGGTGCATCGGCAGGAGCAGTGTAGAGCGCGACGACGTTGAACGTGTTCCATGCATTCGAGTCGAGCCAGAACTTTTCAAGAACGGCCGATGCCATGATCACGCCCTTGTAGCCGACGTAGAGGACAAGCCTCCCGAGGTGACCGCCAGCGGTCGACGGGTTGTAGATGCCAAGGTCGAGCTTGATGGTGAGCTGGTTGTGGGAGACCGCGGTGTCAAGGATGGCAGAGCGGACGTCGATGGGAGGGTGGGAGAAGCCGGCAGCGCCGAGCAGAAAGACTGGCTCGTCGACCGGGAGCGCCGAGAGGGTGACGTTGCCAAACGGAGTTTCCGCCGCAACCGAAGCGGTGCCGACCATACGAATGGATGTGTTGGCGTGGAGGAGCAAGTCGTTAATGAGGAGCGAAAAGGTGGGCCCGAGGCGACGGTGAGGGGCGTGTGATCAAACGAAACAACAAGCGTTCCGGCGGCCTGAGATGAGACGGCGGGCGTCCAGGGGACAGCAGCCGAGCCGAGAGCCGAGCCATTGACAAAGATGGTAAAGTCGAGGGCGAGGGCCGAGATGTCGAGGGTGATGTGAAAGGCACAGGCCCAGATGGCGAGGGCAGTGCCGGCGACGGTGGGCGAGGCAACCGGGAAAACGTCAAAGTTGAGGCGCTTCATGGCGATACCGTGGATGACCGAGTCGTTGGACGGTGGGAGCGTGACCGGAATGGTGAGCGAGGTGATGACGGAGCGGAGCCAGGCGGCGGACGTGGTGCCCGAGGTGCCGCGGACGACAAGCGAGGCGTTGCGCCCGGAGAGATACTTGGAGATGGTGTCCGATGCAGCTGGTAGGGCGGACGAGTGAGGATCAAAAACGCCAGTCATGGACAGTGCGTTAGGTCCGGGGGTCATGGCGAGAGAGCCGACCGTGACTGAGCCTAAGCGGGCGCCGGAAGGGTGGAAGACACCGAGGTCGACCGAGCCGAGATCAAACGAGGCGACAGAGGGGTTGGTCAGCTCGGCATCAATGTCAAGCATCACACCGCCGGTCGGCGCATTTCCAGGCAGACTAAAGGAGATGACGCGGGTCGCGCCTGGAGCAGTAAAGCCGCTAAAGCCAGTGAGAGGGATGGCGACGTCAAACGGGAGCGATGCGAGGATCATGGTACCGGCGGCGAGGGTGGCGTTGACCGAGGCGGTGCCGGTGAGTGTGAGCGAGATTTGTGGCGCATCGACAAAGCAGGAGACCCAGGCGGCAAAAGCTGTGCCGTCCGAGTGGAGCGGGAAGATAAGTGAGGTAGCGATGTCCAAGGCAACCGTGGTGGGGTTGGGCATCGCAGTCGGAGTCCATGGCGTGGTGAGAGTGCCGAGGACGGTGCCAGAGGCGTCGGTGAGCGCAGCTGTAAAGGTGGCGGCATGAACAGTGCACGGCGAGTTTGCGCCGAGCGGGTTGACAATGGCCATCGAGGCGGCGGCGTTGAGTGCGACGGCGGTGTTAGGGCAGCGGCGTCGACGCTGACTGCGAGCGAGGAGTAGGTGACGCCGGCGATGAGTGCTGTCTTGTTACCGATGAGCAGCGTGTCGATGCTGAGGCCATGCAGGGCGTCGTTGTAGAGATGCTGCGAGCAGACGATGCCTGTCGAGGCGGCGCGCGATGAGACGGTGACGTTGTCGCCGCGGAGGTAGGCCGAGATGACCTCGGCGCCGAGCACGGTGTCTTGCGGGTTGAAAACGCCGGAGAGTGCGACGTGGTTGTAACTGTGGGCAACGAGGACAACGTTGCGAACAACAACGTGACCCATGAGCACATCCTGGTAGTAGATGCCAAAGAAGAGGTCGCCGAGCGGGTCGATCGTGACGACCGACGGGTTGTAGATGTTGATGACAAGGTTGAGGACGACGGCGTGTGGCGTGGAATGGTCCATGTCAAAGACAAGCATGGAAACGTCTGCAAGGCCACCAAAGGCCGGCAGCGTGATATCCTTAGTCAGAGAGATGGAGCGGCAGTAGAGGCCGGCGAGAACGCAGACACGCGGGGTGCCGGCGACTTGCCACACGACCGCCGAGTCGTTGACGAGCGCCTGGCCAAAGGCGGAGAAGACGACCGGGTCGGGCACCAGCGTGTCTGTGCGCTCAACGACGGCAGCACCGCCCGAGACATGTACATCGCCGACGTCAAGGTCGCCAAGGTGGCTGCCGCGAAAGGCGATGGCGAGGCGGAGGCCGTGAAGGGTGGCCGGGAAGCTCCCCGCATGCGAGAGGCGTGCGGTGTAGGCAACAACGACCGAATCGTTCTTTGGCTGCGAGAGCGAGACGGCCGAGATGTCGAGGCAAGAGCCGGCGACGGCGGCGTGCATGGCGTGCGGGATGACGACGGCAAAGACGAGGACGACGATGATGGTGGTGAGGACGAGGCAGGCAGCGCAGGCACCTGCAGCGGTGCACCGGGAGCAGCAGCGGCGGGGGGAGGGTGAGGAGGCGAGCGAGGGGCGAAGGAGGGGATGTGCCTCTGTTTGAATGGATGTCATGGATGGTGTTGTGGTTGTGGTGTGGTTGGGGTGGGGTGGGGTGGGGGTGGGGTGGGGTGGGGAGGGGGGGAGGGGGGGGGAGGGGGAGGGGGAGAAGGGGGAGGTGGAAGGAGGGTCACGGGCGCGGGCATCGGGGGCACTTGTCTGCATACGACTGTGGTGTGTGGAAATGGCCGACGGACCTGTGTTTCCTCCTGTGCTGACGGCTGAGCGTGGTATGTGGTAGGGGGGGGGAGGGGGAGGGGGAGGGGGAGGGGAGGGGAGGGGAGGGGAAGGGGGGGGCGTGCACGGTGGGAGGTGGGAGGGGTAGTGGCAGGCGGACAGGGCGGACAGGGCGGACAGGGCGGACAGGGCGGACAGGGCGGACAGGATGGCCAGGGTGGTGCTCACTCGCCTGCTTGCCGCTCGCTCACTCACCTACAATGGCCATGGCGGTCTGTCGTCTCTCAGACTCGCTGGTTGATGAGCTGCTGCAGGTGGCGGCCGAGGTGGGGAGCAGCACGGTGTGCGACGCCAAGGTGGCGGCGGCGCTGGACAAGGCCGACGGCCTGTCACGCTTTGCCGACGCCTTTGCCTTTCCCACGCTGCATCTCGAGGGCGAGAATGCGTGCGAGGACGGACGTCAGGCAGTGTATCTGTGCGGCAACTCGCTCGGTCTCATGCCGCACAAGGCGCGCGAGTACGTCAACGAGGAGCTCGAGGCATGGGCCAAGTCGGGCGTCCGCGGGCACCACGAGGGCAAGCGGGCGTGGCTGTGGATCAACGAGCGGGTCACCGACGGTGCGGCGCGGCTGGTCGGTGCTAAGCCGATCGAGGTCGAGGTCATGAACTCGCTGACGATGAACCTCCACGTCATGATGGCACCATTCTACCGGCCGACCGCGACCCGGTACAAGATCATGTACGAGGCCAAGGCCTTCCCGTCCGACTCGTATGCGTTTGCTTCGCAGGTGCGCATGGCCGGCTTTGATCCGGCCGACGCGCTCATTGCTGTCGCGCCGCGCGACGGCGAGTACACGCTACGGACCGAGGACATCGAGGCCGCCATCGCCGAGGCCGGCGACTCGCTCGCGCTCGTCTGCTTCTCGGGCATCCAGTACTACACCGGCCAGCTGTTTGACATGCCGGCCATCACCAGGGCCGGACACGCTGTCGGTGCCAAGGTCGGCTTTGACCTCGCGCACGCAGTCGGCAACGTCGAGCTGCGGCTGCACGACTGGGGCGTCGACTTTGCGGCGTGGTGCCACTACAAGTACTGCAACTCGGGCCCGGGCGCCATTGCCGGAGCGTTTATCCATGAAAAGTACGCGCACGACGCCGAGCTTCACCGCATGGCCGGCTGGTGGGGTCACAACAAGGCCGAGCGGTTCCTCATGGAGCCCGAGTTTGTGCCTGATCCAGGCGCCGCCGGCTTCCAGGTCTCCAACCCGCCGGTCCTGCAGACGGTTGCCGTTGAAGCATCACTTGAGATCTTTGACGAGGCAACGCTGCCGGCTCTCCGTGCCAAGGCTCTCCGGCTCACCATGTTCCTCGAGCTGGCGCTCGAGTCGGCGCTCGGCTCGGACCATGTTGTCTCCATCACGCCGGCGGACCGAACGCCCGCGGCTGCCAGCTCTCGCTCCAGTTCACCAAGCCGGTCGAGGCCGTCCATGCCGCACTCGAGGCCGCCGGCGTCTATTGCGACGTCCGTAAGCCCGACGTCATGCGCATCGCCCCGGTCCCGCTCTACAACTCGTTTAGCGACGTCTTGCGGTTTGTCGAGCTCCTGGCGGCGGCTGTCAAGTCGGAGGCGGATGTGTGAGCGCGTTTACTAAACAGGTCCGGACTTGGTTACTCGTCGGCAGGCTCGACAACGCGGGCCTTGACCACGTAGTCGAGGTCCGGGAAGGTCGACTTGAGGTACTCCTCGCCAAACTGCATGATGGCGCCCTGGTCGGGAGCCTCGCCGTAGCCGTCGTACAGCTGGGAGACAACGTCCATGCCGGCGGCGTCGATGGTGGCAAACGGAGCAAAGCCCTGTGAGTCGAGGAACGAGTTGTCACCAAGGTTGATGAACAGCTGCGTCGAGCGCGAGTCCGGCGCCATCGACTTGGCGTAGGTGACCGTGCCCGGAGCGTTGGAGGCCTTGACCGGGTCATCCTTGATGGTCTCGGCCATGCGGGCCTTGGTCACCGCCGGGTCTGACGAGAGGCCAAACTGGACGACAAAGCCCTTGGCCATGCGGAAGAAGGCCACGTTGTCAAAGTGACCGGCCTGCACCAGGTCGTAGAAGTGGTCCACTCCGATCGGCGCCAGATCGCGCTCCACCTTCATCGTCACGTTGCCCTTGGTCGTCTCAAACTCGACGTCAAACTGGGCCGGTGCCTCGGCAGCCGCAGCCGCAGCCGCGAACGTCCGCGGCAGCGTCAGCGTCGCCGTCCGCGACGCAAGCATGGTGGTCCGGAGCGTGGTGAACATTGTGGAGGGGGGAAAGAGAGAGAGAGTTGTGACTATGGCTGGACGGCCAGGGCGGTGGCCAGGGGGGGGGGGGGGGAGGGCCGAGTGTCGCGTTGGATCGGAATCGGAATCGCTAACCGGCGACGGCTGTCGGCCAGCCGTGTCGGCGATCGTTCGGCACTCGGCACGCCCTCATCAACGGTAGTGGGTGGGTGTGACTGGTACAGGGTGTGGTGTATTGAGAAGGCGTTTCTAGGGGTGCTTGGCATCAAAGCCGGCAAAGTATGGGTGGGCAAGCGCGGCGGGGGCGGTAATGCGCTTGGCAGGCGATAGCTCGAGCATCGCCATGAGGAGCTGGTGCTCTGGGCCCCAAGAGTCGATCTCGGTGAGAATGCGGGTGAGGTCCTTGTAGTACAGGGTGGAGCGGCCCTCGATGAGGCCGCGGAAGAGGATGTTGCCAAAGGTCATGCCGACGCACCAGATGTCGACCGCCGGCCCGTAACGCCGCCGGCCGTGGGTCTTGTGCGACTTGTCGATCTCGGGCGCAAAGAAGCCGTCGGTTCCGACCCGCGACCGCGGCAGCCGGCTCGCTGAGAACCGGGTTGCGCAGTCAAAGTCGATGAGCACCACGCGCCGTGCCTGCGGATCGTACATCACATTGGCCGGCTTGATGTCGCGGTTCATGATGCTCCGCGAGTGACAGTGCGCCACTGCAGAAAGCAGGTCGTGGAGGTAGCCTTGGACCGCGCTCGGGTCGCGCACATCGACAGGCCCGTCGGCAATGTACTCGGTCACAATCGCCATGCACCGCTGCTGCGGCAGCGGCACGTGCTCTATCAGCCGCTGCACGTTGCGGTGGCCCTGGACCTGCTGCAGGCACACTACTTCCTTGACTTGTGCGCCCGGCTCGACCTCGTCAAGAATCTTGACCGCTACCTCGGCGCCCGTCGCCCGATGCCGAGCCCGGAACACAGCGTTGTCCTCGTTGGCTGCCAGCCGCTCGCCAAACTCGTACCTCGACTCGAGCAGCGACACGCAGTCTTGCATCAGGTACCGGAAAGCTGGGCTCACAAACGTCTCGTCGCCGTCCGAGTACTCCGAGTCCGAGTCCGAGTCCGAGTCCGAGTCGGAAAACGCGCGGCGCTCGCGCAGCCGCCGCCGGAGCTCGGCGTGCGGATCCGGGGACAAGAGCGCAGGCTCAAGTGCATGCGAGATGAGCACTGCTGTCGATGGATCGACGGCAGCGTCGGCTTGAGGCGACGACGGCCGGGTCTCCGTATTCTCATCATGCACACCCTCGCAAGCATCTCCGCACTCCATCTCACCCGGTTCGGGCCCGGCCACCATCGACAGTGCCGCCGCAGCAGCCGGCGCTGCCGCCGCCGTCAGCTGGCGAATCGCCACATTTTTGGACACAAGCATAGCCTCGAGCTCAGAGACCCGGGCGCGGAGCTTGGTCACCACGTCCGGCGCGGCGGTGTCCGACGACTTCGTTGCACTGTGAGCGGCCGCCAGCTCGACATCGCGCTCGGCAAGTTGCGTCTGCAGCATCTCGATCATGGCATTTGTAGCCACGCTACGCCGCTCCGACGCCTCGAGCTGCCGCTTGAGCGCCTTGACGTTTGACTGCAGAATAGCAATGTGCGCCTGGGCCTGGCCGGCCTCCTCCTGGTACTCAGAAAGCTGTGCCTCGCGGGCCTCGAGCAGAGCGCCGGCCTCAACTGCAGCCATCTGCTTGCTTCCGCTCTGACCATCAGCCTCGAGCAGCACAGCCTCCTGCCGGGCCAGACGCATGGCCACCCGGCGCGACGCAGCCTCGGTGCGCGCCGCCGCCAGCCGCGACTGCGCGTCGGCAAGCGCCTCCACACGCGCCTCACCAGACGCGCTCGCCACAGCCTCCAAAGCCGCCGAAAACTCAACCTCGAGCTCCATCTGCAGGCGACCAAGATCCTTGATCTGGGCCACTGCCGTCGCGTACTTTGTGGCGAGCATGTCGTGCTCGGCCTCGGATTGGACCCTGGCCTGGAACTCGCCGACGATCGACTGCGAGAGCGCATCGACGTCGGCGTTCTCGCCCGAGAGCGCCTGTTGCTGCTCGGCATGAGCGTGGAGCTTGTACAGCGCGCTCTTGAGCGCCATGTTGTCGGCCTCGAGCTGGGCAATCCTCGCCGCTTGGGCCTTCATCTTGGCTAGCGGCTCGCGGCTGTCACTCACTCGAGCGCCACCGCGCGTCCTAGCCCGCGCCTGCGGCCCGGCAGCGAGACTCTCCTTACTTGCCCGCGCCCCGTGCGCAGGACTGGCTTTGTGGTTCTGTGCTCCAAGCGGGGTGCGAGGGAAGCCGCTGTGGCCCGCGCGCCGCGAGTGCGGCGGTTGGCCACGTCGACCTGGCCCCGCGACCGGAGATGGCGGCGCAAGGGCGTTCATTCCCGGCCTCGCCGGGCTAGCAGCATGATACCCCGCCATCATCTTGCTCTTACGCATCGGCGTCTGTGGGCGGCTTCTCTTGCCTGCGCCTGCACGAGGACTCGCATACCGAGCATGCTCGGGATGGCGGTGGACCGGGCGGAACATAAACACCGTTCAAAAATTTGACAGCGCCCGCACGACAACGACAAGTGGCCAACGGCAGCGTGTGGCGGCAGGCAGCGAGGGAGAGTGTGCGGCGGCGGCCACTCGCTGCCTGCCGCCACTCGCTGCCCGCCAAACGCATCAGGAGGACCAGCAACCACAGCCAAGTCCTTGGCCGCGGCCCTGACACACCTCACCCCCACATCCCCCCCTCCCCCCCCCCCCCCCCCACACACACACACACACACACATATGGACGACCTGGACGACCTGCTCGACGAGGTCGACGAGCTCATGGCCGGGGGCCCGCCACCGACGTCGTCGCGGACGTCGTCGTCGACGGCGGGAGCAAGGGCAGGCGCAACGGCAGGCGTGACCGCGGCGCCCAGGTCGCGAGTTCGGGCACGTGCTTCGCGGTCACGCCCTAGTCGGACGCAGGCTCGGGCGGATCGTGCCACGGCATCACGCAGGGGAAAAGTCGAGGATGGCGACGACGACGATGATGATGACGATCTCGACGACCTGCTCGCTCTCGATGTGCCGAGCAGGCAGCGCAGGAGTGGCGGCGAGAGGGTAGTGTCGACAGCAGTGTCGACAGCAGTGTCGAGCGGAGGCGGAGGAGGTGGTGGCAAGCGCAAGTGCAGACCGGTGTTTCTGGCGGACGCGTCGCTTGCCGGCCGGGGGCGGACGGCATCGGCGGCCATGCCGCGGGCGTGCGACCGGCTGCGGTGCTCGCGGTGCTGCTTTGCGGTCAAGGCGTGGCCGGACTCGGCGTGGGATGCCGGCGTCGACTATCTCTTTCTCCGGTACAACTTTCCCGACACCGAGCGCATTGCGCCAATGCTCGTACCGACCAGCGCCGGCTCGACCGCGCTCGCCTGTCAGTGCGCGTGGCGGACGGTGACCACGCCAACCCGCTTGCAGAGCGGAGAAGACCTCGCGTGGTTCTGCGCAGGCCACGCGTAATTCCAGCTTTACCGCGCGCTTACAACCTACATCACCCGGCGGAGCCGGTCCATGCACTCGGCCTTGCCGAGCAGCGCAAACAGACTTGCCAGCGGCGGCCCGCCTCGGGCGCCGGTCACACCCACTCGCAGCGGAAACAGGACCTGCCGCGGCTTGAGCTTGTGCGCGTTCCGGTAGCCAGTGAGCACGCCGTTGATGGCATCGGCATCCCACTCGGACAGCGCGTCGAGCTCGGTGATGAGGGCATCCAGCTGCGGCAGCGCGTGCAGCTCGGCCGAGGCCGCGGCGCACGCGGTGTGCGGCGGGGGCGCAAACATGTAGCTGGCGGTAGCAACGAGCTCGTTGCCTAGCGAGAGCGACGGCGCAAACTCGGCCCACACCTTGTCGACATAGTCGACCGATGCAGGGGTGCCGGCAGCCGACAGCGCAGCCGCTGTCTCGGCAACGAGGCCAGCCCGGGAGGCTGCGGCCTGCTCGGGTGCCATGGGCGGGTTCGGCTTAAACAGCGACGCGAGGTGCGTCCCATTCACCGCGAGCGCCTTGTCGTAGTCGACGATGGCCCCGCCCTTGTTGATGTCGTCAAGGCTAAAGACGTCGACGAGATCATCAAGCGACATGGCCTGGGCGTCGACGCCGGCTAGCGCCGCATCGTTGGGCGACCAGCCGAGAAAGGCCACAAAGTTGAGGAGCGCCGACGGTAGGAAGCCCTGCTGGCGGTAGTGGTCGACCGACGAGGAGGCGTCGCGCTTGGAGAGCTTGCGCTTGGCGGTGTCGAGCAGGAGCGGGAGGTGGACAAAGGTCGGCGGTCTCAGCCCGAGTGCCTCGTACATCATCACGTGCTTGGGCGTCGAGATGAGCCACTCCTGCCCGCGGATGACATGGGTCATGTGCATGGCTGCGTCGTCGACAACGTTGGCCAGATGGTACGTCGGCAGGCCGTCCGATTTGACAAGGACTTGGTCGTCGATCTGGGCGTTGGCGACGCGGACAGTGCCAAAGACTGCGTCGTGAAAAACTGACGAGCCCTGCGGGACCTTGAGCCGCACAACATGCGCCTCGCCGCCGGCCGCACGCGCACGCGCCTCCTCGGGAGCAAGCCCCATGCACCGACGCGAATAGATCTGCAGCCGCCCGGCCCGCCGCGCAGCCTCCCGCTCGGCATCGAGCTCGGCCGGCGTGCAAAAGCAGCGGTACGCCGCACCAGCGTCCATCAGTGCTTCGGCCGCCTGCGCATACTCGGCTGTTCGCGCCGACTGCACCAACCGCGCATCGTCGGCGGCAGGCTCGGCCACCGGCGCGTCATCGGGCGTGAGCCCGGCCCAGGCCAGCGCGTCCAGCAGCGCGGCGCGTGCACCCGGCACCGTCCGGCTCGCATCGGTGTCCTCAATGCGGACCACAAACTCGCCGCCCGTCGCCCGCGCAAACAGATAGTTGAACAGTGCTGTCCGCAAGCCGCCCAAGTGCAGGGCGCCCGTCGGCGACGGCGCAAACCGCACCCGCGTCGTCGCCGGCGCCGCGTCGAGTGCCACCCTGCCTACCGCGCTGCTGCTGCTCAGTACCCGCGCCATCCCGCATGCCACTCGTGCGCTCCGTGCGCCTGCCCTGAGCATGGTGGCGCGAGGGGGTGAGGTGGAAGGGTGGTACGCCGGGTGAGTGCGCTGCTGGTCGACGGATGAGTGCCCAGTCGAATTCCCTGATTTACGGCCGGACTCTGCTGTGGCGGCTACGCCACGCCGAGCCAGGAGAGATAGCGGGCCACGAGCTGGTCATCGATCTGTGGCCAGGTGGGATGGTCGATGCCGGCGGCGGCGAGCCAAGCAAGGAACGCATCCGTGTGCGAGGTGTCCAGTGCACGGTAGCCCATTGAAAAGTCGACGGCAAAGAAGGGCCGGAGCGGGAACAGCGCTGGGCCGTCGTCGGCAAGGAGCCGGGCACGCCACTCTGGATACGGCAGTGCAACAAGCGTGCGCGGCGGGTCATGGGCAGCGCAGAAAGTCGCGATGGCCCGCCCCAGCGCAGCATAGCTTCGCGATCGCGCCACGTTGGTGAGGTGGAAGACGACAGAGCCAAAGCCGGCGCGCAACCCGTGCTCGCCCAGCAAGACAATGACTTGAGCTACAAAGTCGACCGGCGTCATGTCGAGTACCGCGTCAGAGTCAAAGTACGCGCCGAGCGCGGGCACGCCCACCATCAGCCGCGAGACAAAGTCTGTTGGGTTGCACACGCCGGTCTCCGAGCATCCGGTCACCATGCCCGGACGAACGATGACGCCGCGGATAGCGCCACTCGCCAGCGCGCGCGCCACAAGCTGCTCTGCCACCCACTTGGAGAGGGCGTAGCCCGACGAGCTTAGCATGTTCTCAAACGGCTGCAGGTCGTTCTCGGTCCAGCCGGCGGTCCCAACCGTAGAGAGGGCGACCAGTGTCGGATCGCGGGATCCGGCGGCTGCTAACCGCAGCACCTCGGCCGTGCCGAGCACGTTGGCGCTCCGCAGTGCTGCGTAGGGATCGAGCCAGTTGACTATCGCACCCGAGTGAACAATGACCTCAACCAGCTCGACGAGCCCAGCCCAGGACGAGACGTCGAGCCCCAGTTGCGGCTCCGCCAGGTCTCCCGCCAGCACGCTCAACCGCGTCAGGGCATGCTCGTCGACACCGGCTGTGGTGAGAACTGATGTCAGCCGCGCGCGGGCGGCAGCGTGAGACTCGCCACGGACAAGCGCAATTACGTCCACGTCCGGAAGTGCCAGCACGGCACGGATGACGTGCGAGCCGATGAGTCCGGTTCCTCCGGTCACAAACCAGGTCTTGTGGTCATTGCTCAGCACGTTGCCCTTGCGCTCGCACCTCTGCAGGTTGAGATCCATGCCCAGATCGGCTGCGACCACGCTGGCGAGGTCTGGCGCTGCGGCGCTCGAGCCAGGGCTTTCCAGCAGAGCGGCAAGCACGTCGTCACCGCGGGCAGCCGCCTCAAGCAAAGCACTTGGAGCCACCACTGAGCCCGTCTGGGCTTGGAGAAGCGATGAGAGCTTGACCGCCGACATCGAGTCGAGGCCCTGGCCCGGTTGGGTGGCAGCGGCGAGCAGGTTGTGGCCATGGCCCGCCCGCTGTGGTCCGGCCGCGTAGAGCGCCTCAATATCGTCGATGTAGCGGGTGGTGAGCTGCTTCCGGGCCAGCTTGTTCGAGTAGGTCATGAGCCCGTTGTCGGGAGTAAACGGCTCAGACGCCAGGTGAACAGCAGCGGGGATCTCGTATTGCGGCATGTGGGCAGCAGCGCCAACGCGAGACAGCTCGGCAAGCATCTTGGCCGCGAGCTCGGGGTCTGCGGTGTCGACTTGAGCATGGGCAGTGTTGGGCACGATGACAGCAACGAGGAAGGTCCGCTGGGGATCTCCGTAGACAAAGAGCTGATCGATGAGCGGCGAAGCGAGGAGGGTGTTCTCGATGCCTTCTGGGGCGCAGAACTCGGCGTTGGCGAGCTTGAACACGTTCTTGGCGCGGTCGATGATGCGGACCTGGCCGTCGGCCTCCATGACGCCGACATCGCCTGTGCGAAAGTAGCCATCGGAAGTAAAGGCTGAGCGAGTGGCACGCTCGTTGTTGTAGTACGAGGTGATCATGTGTGGGGTCTTAACGCAGATCTCACCGCGCGGGTGCGGCTTGTCGGCGGTGGTGTAGCCGAGGTGCGGCAAGTCGAGGAGCCTGACGTCGACGTTGTTGGAGATGACATTGTCGACGGCAATGCCGCCGACTTCGGTCGTGCCAAAGCCGTCGTAGAGCGGACAGGCGAACGCCCGGCGGAGAAAGCGCTTGACCTCGGCCGAGGTCGGTGCCGAGCCGGTGACAATGTACTGGGTCCGGCCGCCGAGCACGGACGAGAACGACGAGACGACGGCATTGTCGACCTCGATGGGATTGGTCGACGGCGGTGCAGCGGCGAGCGCGGCATCGAGTGCGGCCTGGTACTTGGAGTACAGCAGGTTGTAGAACCGGGGGACCGAGGCGAACATGGTGGGCCGGAGCAGGGCCAGCTCGTCAAAGATGCGGTCCATGTCGCCTGTGTAAAAGCCGAAGCGCCCGCCGCACGCCATGGTGATGTACAGGGTCTGCCGCTCGGCGACGTGCGCAAACGGCGCAAAAGAGATGCGGATGATGGGGAACGGCATGAGGTACGGCGCGGTGATGAACTTGTTCCACCGGTCGCAGGTCATGACTGCGCCCTTGGGAGGGCCGGTCGAGCCGCTGGTGTAAATGATGGTGTGGATGGCCGACGGCGGGATAGAGTCCGAGTGCGGTACAAAGGCGGCTGCGCCAGCAGCGACAAGCTGCGGGTAGCCGAGCAGCTCCAGGTTGATGGCGGCGGCGGCGGCGCGCGCATCATCGCTGAGCGTCTCGATGCCCTCCATGCAAACAAGGGTGCGGAGGGCGAGCGGCTCGGTGGCTGTCGCCAGTGCCGCCAGCAGCTTGTCGGCAGCCTCGGCGGCGACGATGACAACCGTGATGCCCGAGTGGGCTGCGATGTACGCCATGGCCTCGGCGGAGAGGGTGACGTGCAATGGGACCGAGACCATACTGTAGAGGACGCACGCCAGGTCAGCAACAACCCACTCTGCCCGGTTGATGGAGCAGAGGCCGATGAAGGGCTGGTTGCCTGCGGCGGATGCGGCAGTGATGCCAGGCAGCGCCTGCAGGGCCGAGCCGAGAGCCTGCGCGGCGAGCCAGACCTCTGCGTAGGTCACAAACGCATACTCGCCCAACGCGCCGCTGTCCTCGTCGCGCTGGCGAGTGCCGAGGAGCGGGCGGTCGTGATATAGGCCAAAGTACGCATATAGCGAGGCATACAGCGTGTCCTTCTTGTTCGACTGATGCGCCGCCGACGCCCATGATCGCAGGTACTCGAGCTGAGTCGCCGACAACTGTTCCGGCTCGATGCTTGTGTCAAGGGTGAGGCCTTTCAGCTCGTCGGCGGTGTCTGACATAGCTGTGCTGATCGAGTGGGGGTTAAAAGGGGGGGGGGGGGGGGGGAAGAAGGGGGGGGGGGAGGAGGAAGGGGGAAGAGGAGGGGGCGGTGACGAATGTGGCGTGTTGCTGCCACCGGCCACCGGCCACCAGCCACCGGCCACCAGCCACCGGCCACCGCCACCAGCCACCAGCCACCGGTCGTCGGGGCAATTACCACCTCACCACCACCGCCACACGATCAATGGCGACAGACGAGAGCGCCACCGTGGCCATTCTAGACGCAGGCTCGCAGTTCTCCAAGGTCATCGACCGCAGAGTCCGTGAGCTTGCGGTCCATTCCGAGATTCTCCCACTGGATACCCCGCTTGATGTCCTCGCCAAGTACAAGGTGCGTGCCATGCCCGTCCCTGCCGTCTGTGGCTCTCGCGTGAGCTGATGGCCATCCCCTGCCACCTTTCGCCCTCTTTGCTGGCTGCCCTCTCCTCCTCGTCTCCGTCCCACACTCACTCTCTCGCCATTATCTTCGCAATTGCTACATCTGCATGGTTGTGGGTGGGTGGGTGGGTTGGTGGGTGTGCGTGTGCGGGGCGGGGGATGGATATAGGCGCTGATTGTGTCGGGTGGGCCCGGGTCGGTGTACGACGCAGCGGCGCCGCAGGCAGCCGACGGCCTGTTCGACCTGGATGTCCCGCTGCTGGGCATCTGCTACGGGATGCAGATGATGGCCATGCACTACGGGTGCCGGGTCGAGGCTGGCGAGGTGCGGCAGGACGGAGTGTTTGCCATCCAGCTTGCCAGCGAGCCGATCTGCCCGCTGTTTGCCGACCTCGCGTCAGCCGAGACCACCGAGGTACTCCTCACCCATGGCGACTCGGTGCTCGAAGTCTCCGAGGACGTGCGGAGCGTGGCAGCGACCGATGAGGGCATTGTGGCGGCGATCGAGGTTCGCGATGCGAACAAGGCTCAGTTTGGCCTCCAGTTCCATCCCGAAGTCGACCTCTCGGTCGAGGGCATGACCATTCTGCGCAACTTTCTGTTCGCCGTCGCCGGAGTTCCGGCCACATACACGCTCACCTCGCGCAAGGAGATGGCGATCGAGTACATCCGCGGAATGGTGAGTGGTGACGACAAGGTGCTGGTGCTTGTCTCGGGCGGTGTCGACTCGTCGGTCTGTGCCACGCTTGTCAACGAAGCGCTCGGCCCCGAGCGCGTTGTCTGCATCCACGTCGACAACGGCTTTATGCGCAAGGGTGAGTCGACACAGGTTGCGGCGGCGCTGCGGGCGGTCGGTCTCGAGCTCGATGTCATTGAGGGCGCCGAGACCTTTTACAACGCGCACACCGAGGTCGACGGCGTGAGCGTCGGCCCGCTCAACGAGCTCGTCAATCCCGAGGCCAAGCGCAAGGTCATTGGCGACACGTTCATGCGGATCACCAACACCAAAGCTGCCGAGCTCGGGCTGGACCCGAACGCGGTCTTCCTCGCCCAGGGCACGCTCCGGCCGGACCTCATCGAGTCGGCGTCCAAGCTGGCCAACGCGTCGGCGACGGCGTCGGTCATCAAGACCCATCACAACGATACCGCGCTGGTGCGGCTCCTCCGCGACGCTGGGCGCGTCGTCGAGCCGCTGCAAGAGTACCACAAGGACGAGGTCCGCCAGCTCGGCCTCGAGCTCGGCCTCCCAGAGCACCTCATCTCGCGGCAGCCATTCCCTGGGCCCGGCCTCGCCATCCGCATCCTCTGCGCTCACTCGGCGTTTGTCCCGCCCAACGCGGCTGCCATTGCCGAGGTGCTGGCGGGAGCCACCGCAGAGACGCCCGACTACTCGGCCGCTGTCCTCCCGGTCGCCTCGGTCGGCGTCCAGGGCGACGGGCGGACGTACGCCTCGCTCGTCGGCCTGTTTGGCCCGGTCGTCGCCGACGACACGCTCGCCACTGTCGACGCCATCGACTGGCGCCACGTCTTTGACCTGGCCAAGTCGATTCCCAAGCGCGCCCGCGGCGTCAACCGCGTGGCGTACGTCTTTGGCGAGCGTGTGGCCAACGGAGATGCCGCGCTGGCCACCATCACGCCGACGCTCCTCACGCCCGACGTCATTGCGTCGCTGCAGGAGGCCGACGCGGTCGTCAACGCCATCCTCGGCGACGCCGGCCTCCTCACCAAGCTCTCGCAGGTCCCGGTCATCCTCTTCCCGGCCAACTTTGGCGTCGACGGCGCGCGGTGCATCTGCATCCGCACCATGGTCACCAACGACTTTATGACCGGCGTTCCGGCGCTCCCAGGCACCGAGCTCATGCCAAAGGCTGTTCTCGCCGCCATCGTCGACGCCCTCCTCGCCCTACCCAATCCGCCAGCGCGGGTCGTCTACGACTGCACCTCCAAGCCGCCGGGCACGACTGAGTGGGAGTAACACGCGCGCGTAGCAGACAAGCGCAGTCCAAAACAAGTCTGTTTATCGACACCCGCGCCTGGTCTTAGTACGAGGCCGAGGCCGAGGCCTGGTCGTAGGTGTACTCGTCGTCGATGGCGTCCGAGTACGAGTGGCGGGCGCCGCCGGCGCAGCAGAAGCAGTCCTCGTCGATAAAGGTCCACTTGTAGCCGAGAACAAAGAGGGCGGCACCGGCAAACGGCAGGACAAGGAAGACCCAGAAGTCGTCAAACTCGCCCGAGATGATCGACGTGCCGAGCGAGTACGCCGGGTTGAAGATCGACGTGGTCAGCGGCGCGGCAACCGTGACAAGCGACTGCACAAAGAGGCCGAGCGCGAGCGGCGCCGTCGACTTGAACGTCTGCTGCTTCTTCTTCGAGTAGAGGACGTAGAACGCCGTCGCCAGCGCGCCCGAGAGGAAGAACTCAAGCATGATCCCGTTGAACAGCGTGTAGTTGTTGCCGCCGCGGTATGAGTCGGGCACGCCCGAGACACCGAGGTTGAGCACGTCGCGGCCAGACTCGGACACAAACATCCACGCCAGCAGACCGCCGGCAATGCCGCCCACAAACTGCACCACAACCAGCATAATCGCAAGCACCAGCGAGCTCTCGCCGGCGAGCGCAAACGCTGTCGTCACCGCAGGGTTAAAGTGCCCAAAGCCATCCGACGATGCCTCCTGCACCATGTACAGCAGACCGATGAGCGCAAGTCCCGCCACAGACGCAGAGCCCGCTGCAAATCCATCAACCACATGACAATAACCGGTGAGTGTGGGCCAGCAGTAACTCGTGCCGCGTCGTAGAGTCACAACACCATCGTCAGCAGCGCGTAAGAGCCGTTTGCTGACGGGAGAAAAAAAAACCGTTGAAGCCCGTCGCAGGCAAAGCAGGGCACATTCCCCCCTCTTCCCCCTCACGCATCATGCCCATCCACACTACCAGCTAGGACGTACATCCAGCGGTGGCGGCTGTAGCCACCACGCCGACGTAGAGCGAGGTCCCAATGAACTCGAGGGACAGCTCCCTCCACCACTTGCGGGCCTCGGAGGTGTCGCAGTTGCAGTCGATCGACATGTTTGTTCGTTCGTTCGAGAGAAGGATGTCATGCCACGTCCACGCTACGCCATTCCGCGCGCGGAGCCGGGGCCACCGACGGCCGAACGACCGATCGGCTCAAACGACTGAACGCACACGCGACTCGACACCTCGTCACCGGTGCGCTTTGCGCCTGCTCTGTGATTTCTCACTCTGCCACATCGCTCTGCCACTCTCCCGACCGAGCTGATTCTGGTCGTGGCCCACATCGGTCGTATTCTCGTGCCGAGCAACGTTGTGGTGCTGGCGAGAGCGCCTATGCCGCTATCCTCGGCTCGCACGACGGGCGCGCGCTCGCTCGCGCCTCGGCTGGATATGCGAGGTGCATGAAGCTGGGGTTATGGGACAGGGTGCGTGTTGCGCTTGTCCGGCCTGCCAGCTCCTCAGACTGGGACGGTGGATTATTCTGGGCTCGGGCGAGCCACATACTGCCGGTGGCCAGCGCGGTCAACCGCGACCCGGTGTGGCCGACGCTGCGCCGCAGCGCTTGGTCCGTGCGCCCACGGCGCCGACGGCAGCCAGAATGGCGCACAAGCTCAGTGTGGAGCCGCACAGCCACGTGACGTTGATCGCATGTGTGATCTGCCATGAGCTGGGCGTCGACGTCCGTGCAGTGACCGGCGCTAGCGCTTGAGCTGCTGCTCCTCGCTTGTGCGGCGGATCGATCCGCGTGCTGACGTCGAGCCTCGAGCCAGCAAGCAGCAAGCAGCAAGCAGTATGCCGTCCACAACGGGCGCACGTCTGATGGTCAGCCTTGTCCTCGCATCTGGCATCGTTGATCCCGCCGGCGTCAATCAAAGGCCCGCGGAGATTGTCGGCAAGCTTCTCGACTCTGCTGGGCGTCGACCTGACCGCCGACCTCAGCTATGCCTTTTAGGCTACGTCTGCCCTCGGCGACAACGCCACCATCACCTACATCGCCGAGGCCGCCGAGTTTGCACCTCAATCCGAACGCATGTCCGGTACCGAGACTCGGTCATGCTGTGACCGGCGTCGTCACTGCCTCTCTCTCCCTCGGCAACCTCATTCTTCCCCATGGGACAGAACCGCTCCCGTCCCAAGGCAGACAATGAGTGTACGCACACCGCAGCCGCCTGCAAACTTCAGCCGTCGCCCTCCACCCTCTCCTCCCTTCCCGGCACATGTGCTGCGTCGGTGACGCGTGCATGTGACTGCGCCCCCCCCCCTTGCGACATTCACAGGCACAGACACAGACACACACACACACACACTCTCACTCACTCACTGCTGCCCACTCCCACCATCCACCTACTCTTGCAGTGGCGCAAGAGTTTGCCACCCGGTTCGTCCGCGGGTGGAGGACCGAGTCCAAGGCGCTTGCTGTGCCCGGCAGGAAAGAGCTGGTGGAGGCGGTGGTCGACGTTCTCAAAGCCGTCCCGCGCGAGCATGCAGTGCTGGAGCTCTCGTTTGCCTGCATCCAGTTTGATCCTCCGGCGTGGACAGCGCTGGTGGGTGCGGCGACGGCTTCGCGCGGGCTCTCGCAGTTGGTGCTGGCTTCAAATGGGCTTTCAGCCCGCCACGCGCCGGCGCTGGCCGGTCTCGTTGTTCAGGCGCCGAGTCTGCTGCAGCTCTCGCTTGAAGGCAACAGGCTCGGGCTCGACGGCCTCGCACAGGTGCTGCGGGTTGTGCCGATGGCGCGCATTCTGCGGGATCTCAACATCTCGGCGTGTGTTGTCCGCGGCGAGTGCGGCGACGAGCTGGTCGACCTGCTTGTCGAGGCCTACGCCGGCTCTAGCACGTTGGAGATGGTGGCCATGCGCGAGTGCAACGTCTCTTGGCACGGCTTTGCCAAGCTCGAGGCTGCACTGGATGTCATCCCGCAGATCTCGTACGTCGACTTGGTCGATAACCCGCTGTCGGGCGTCAACCGCGAGCGACGCGTCGCCTTTGCGGCCGCCCTCGAGCGCAACGCCGCGGTATGGGGCGTTGTCAAGGGCCTCTTTGATGCGATGTACGTCGAGATCGGCGCCAAGCGGCGGGCGTCGTTTGCAGCGAGCCAGATTCGGCCAGGGCGTTCGGTGTCTGTTGTCGACGAACAACCAGAGCGTGACTTTGCGGCGCAGTCGGTGTACAAGAGCTTAACGCCCGGCCAGCGCCTTATTGGGCGCAGCGGCACGCCGGCCACCGTCGCGGTTGCCCCCGACGTGCCCGATGCATTGCCCAACGTGAATGACCCGCGCGAGCTGGAGGCTTCGTTTGCCTCGCCGGCGCTGACGCTCTTTGCCTACGACATGCAAGGTCGGCGGCAGGAGATGGAGGATTCGCTGGTGACGGTCTCGGGCTTTGGAGGGAGCGAGGCCGTCGACGTACTTGGCGTGTTTGACGGCCACGGCTCGACCGAACCCTCGCGCTACGCCACCCGCAACCTCCTGCCGCTTCTTGCGCGCGAGCTGGCGCAGGCTGCTGCTGGTCCGTCAGCCGGTGCAGCGGATGACTCGGCCACAGTGACGACCGGGCAGATGCGGTTTGCGCTCTCGTCGACGTTTGTCGCACTCGACAAGCTTATGACGCCGTGGGCGGTCTACTCTGGCACAACCGGCTTAGTGGTGGCGCGGGTTGGCCGCGCGCTCGTCACCGCCAACGCCGGCGACTCGCGGGCGGTCCTCGGTCTTGCTGACGGGAGTGCGATTCGGCTCTCGGAAGACCACAAGCCCGAGCTCGCATCGGAGAAGAGTCGGATCGAGGAGGCCGGCGGCTTTGTAGAAGCCGGCCGGGTGAACGGACGGCTCGGTGTGGCCCGCGCGCTCGGCGACGGTCTCTACGGCGACGCCGTCACCGCGCAGCCGGGCGTGACTGTCACATCGCTCGAGCCAGGCGTGCTGTGTGTCATTCTCGCATGCGACGGCGTGTGGGATGTGCTGTCGGACACCGCGGCGGTTGGCATTGTGAGCCGAGTCCTTGCCGCCGACGGTAGCAGCAAGCGCAACCCGGCCGAGGCCCTTGCTCGTGCCGCATACGTCTCGGGCTCGATGGACAACATCAGTGTGCTTGTTGGCGTGTTTAACGATGTAGCGGCGACAACGGCGAAGCCGGCGACGCCGACGACCGAAGCTGGCTCACCGGCTGCGGAGCCGTGCCCGACGTGACCCGCAAGACGTGCTTGACGACCGAGGCGCGCGGCCGTGGCCGTGTTGCCGCCGCTGCTGCCGCCGCCGCGTTCTTGCCCAAGACGGGCTGTGAGACTGAGCGGAGAGGGTCGCCACGCGGCAACGGTGACGGCGACGACGCTCGCGGCGGCGACTCTGACTGCGAGCGCGACCCAGATCCAGACCCAGATCCCGAGCCCGACCGTGACTCCAGCCTCGAGCCCAACCCGGATCCCGACCGCAAACCCGACCGCAGACTGGTTCTGCGCCGCTTGGGTGAGCCCGGACTCGAACCCGAGCCAGAGCCAGATCCCGTCCCCAAGCCCGAGCCCGAGCTTGGGTGTAGTGACCTGGAGTTGCCTTTGGCCCGCCGCCGCTTGCGCAAGCGGCGGCGCGGCGAGTTGACTTTGCCCGCTGCTGCCGCGATGGGCGCTGCCTGCAGCATCCAACGGCCGACGCTTGGCGAGTAAGCGACGAGATCAAGGTCGCGTAGGTTGTGCATGACGGCCAGTCCTTGGTCCTTGGTCCGCAAGCCGAGATGGTCTTGCAGCACGCGCCGCGAGACATGGTCGCTGCCTGCGCGTAGCTCTGCAGCAAGGAACGCGACGGCTGCGGCGAGCTGGGCGTCGCTGCGCGGGTTGTCCGACGCTGTGTCGGCACCCGGCGGGGTGGGCGGCGGCGGCGTGACCCGCTTGGAGCCGCCAACAATGCGTGGGCCAGCTGTGCGGGCGGCGTCGTCGAGACGGGCGAGCTCGGCCTCCAGCGCCGCGTTCTCGCGCTCGAGCCGGCGAGTGTCGGCCTCGAGCGACGACAGCTCGTCGCGCTCCGACTCGGGACTGGGGCGAGGCCGTGGCGGCTGCGGCAACGGTGATGGTGATGGCGACGGCGCCGAAGCGCCAAGCGGAACGTCAGCTGGAAAGACGCCGAGCTTGGCCGGCGCCACTGGCGGGGAGGCTTCGTCGTCAGCAAGCCCGTCGAGCACCGTCCGCATGCCCATGTCGTAGACATGGTGATGGGTCCGGACCGAGCCGACGGCAAACTCGAGCGGCTTGCGGGTGAAGAACATGGGCTCGTTGGCCGGAGCCGGCTGGAAGAAGAGCGGCTCGTAGTCGGGCGGCGCGGTGTCCGAGTAGATGACCCGCATCATGATGTAACGGTCGACGACGAGCGGCTGCAGAGTCTGGCACAGCAGCGTCAGCGTCCGCATCATGGTGATGGTGGAGAACTTGATCTCTTTTTGGTCTGTGGCGGGTGCGGGCGTCGCGGCGTCGTATCGCCTGATGCCGCAGAGACAGAGACCGACGGCAGCCCGTCGGGGCCCGATGGGTACTGGACCTGAAAGTGGTACGACTCAACGAGCTCGTCCGAGGCGGCCTCGTAGACGCCGAGGATGATGTGATCGATGTAGCCGAGCTTGAGCGCCGGAAACACGCCCTGCTCCAGCCAGTTGCACAGTTCCTGAGCCTCATCAGTCGACGGCTTGAGCGACTTGATCCGCAGCCCATTGAGCGTTCGGTCGTAGAAGCAGTGCTCCGGAAAGAGCGAGCGGAGGTAGGCAATGGTGGAGATCGAGCAGCGGAGGAGATTGCGGACGAGGCAGAGTGACTCGGATGCGGTGACAGACTCGGTAGCGCTCGCCATCGCCGCAGCCACAGATCGGACCATGACGAGGTGTGCCTCCGATGTAGATGTCGGCGCTGCAGCTTGCGTGCCCCTCGCTTACGTGGCTGCGGTTTTGACGACGCCCGCCAGAAGAAAGCCACCAGCGGTTGATCGCCGTATTCCGAAAAAGGCCGTGGCGATCAGGCATTCTTTGCCAAGTTGGGAGGTGTGCCGTGCATGTTAAAACACAGCCATTCTCGCTTCCGTGCGCACACCCCCTCCGCCTTTGATATCCACATCCTTTGATAACCAGCCATCAATAGTCATGGCCGCGACTGAGGATATGGTGGTGGCGGTAGGCACCGAGATGGCGGCTCAGGCCAGCTACCAAGTCGAGGCCGAAGACGCATTCGATCCGATCGACCGGCTTCAAACGGTCGGCGTGTCTGCGACCGACGTGAAAAAGCTTGTGGCCGGCGGGTATGCAACAGTGCAGAGCGTGCTGATGTCGACGATGCGCGATCTGTGCGAGGTCAAGGGTGTGTCCGAGGCCAAGGCGCTTAAGATTGTGGAGGGCGCGGCGATGCTGTGCGAAAAGGGGACGGCGTTTGTGAGCGGCAAAGCGGCGCTCGAGGCGCGGGAGCACGTCGTTCGCATCTCGACGGGCTCGAGTGCGCTCGACACGCTGCTGGGCGGCGGAGTGGAGACCATGTCGATCACCGAGGCGTTTGGCGAGTTCCGGACGGGCAAGACACAGATCGCGCACGCTCTGCGTCACCTCGCAGCTTCCACTCGAGGCCGGCGGCGGCGGCGGCAAGGTGCTGTACATCGACACCGAAGGCACGTTCCGGCCGGGCCGCATTGTGCAGATCGCTGAACGGTACGGCCTCGATTCCAACGACGTGCTGGAGAACATCCTCACCGTCCGGGTCTACACCCACGAGCAGCAGTACAACATGCTTGTCCGCGCGGCGGCGCTGATGGCCGACGACGGCTGCATTCGCATGCTCATCGTCGACTCGATCACGGCCCTCTTTCGCGTTGACTACACCGGCCGCGGCCAGCTCGCCGAGCGGCAGCAGAAGCTCAACCAGATGCTGGCACGGCTGACCAAGCTCGCCGACGAGTTCAACATTGCCGTCTTCATCACCAACCAGGTGGTGAGCGATCCGGGCGGCGGCGCCATGTTTGTCTCGGACCCCAAGAAGCCTGTCGGCGGGCATGTCCTCGCCCACGCCTCCACCACTAGGCTCTCGCTTCGCAAAGGCCGCGGCAACCAGCGAGTGTGTAAGCTCTTCGACTCGCCGTGCCTTCCCGATGCCGAGGCCGTGTACGAGATCGGGCCAGGCGGCGTCTCCGACCCACTCGACTGACGGCAGCGAGGGCGAGGCAACAGCAGCCAGCCGGAAAACAAACCCACCTTACCAGCTCGGCCGAAAAACCTGGACGGATCTCGGGCTGGATCCGCAGCTCTCAAAGGCTCGCACTCTCATCTCCACCACAAACATGTACAAGACTCTGTTTGTCGTCCTTGTTGCGCTTGCGCTTGCGGCTTCGGCCTCTGCTGCCCCCACCGTCGTCTCCGACCTCGGAAACCCCACCACGTGCGAGCTCTGCGTCGGTACGGCCTCGGAAGCGTGCCGATTTCCCACCCATTTTTTGGCATGCGTTGCCGGGCGACGCCCGCCGCATTCGCCCACCCCCTCCTTTCCCCGTGCCCCCCCGCAATGCTCGCCCGCTCTGTCCCCTCTCCCGCTTGCCCTCCCTACATCCTTGCTCACTCACTCCTTCCTGCTACACGTATAGAGTTTCTCTCGCAGGCCGAGAACGAGCTGCTCCAGGTACGTCGAGGGTCCTTCCAAGAAAGTCGGCAACCGACAGGCTTCACGAGCTTTCAGGCGCCAACCTCCCTTTTACGACCGCTTCCAACTTTTTCCCCCCTTTCCCATGCACAGCCACCTGGCGCAACTCACTCTTCCCTCCTTCCCCCCCCCTCCTCTCCCCCCCCCTCTTGCCATCACTCCCACAGGCTATCCTCCAGCTCGGCATTGTCGACTCGTGCGGTGACCTCTGCGGCCTCCTCCCGTCCCGCCTCGAGGGCACCGTCTGCGACCTCCGTACGTGACGCAGGCGTGACTGCGCTGCACCTGTTGCTCCCCCCCCCCCTTCCACCTCGGGCAGACTCACCGCTCCCCTCTCCCCCTCCCCCCCCCCCCCCACCCACCATAGTCTGCGACTACATCGGCGTGACCGAGTTTGTCAAGATCATCCAGGAGCACTCGCCGGACCCCATCTACGCCTGCCAGCTCCTCAAGCAGTGTTCGATCAACGACAACGCCAAGGCGAACATGATCGACTTTGTTGTCGCGCCCAAGGTCGGCCAGCAGGGCACGACCTTTACCTTTGGAGCCACGTTCAACGTGACCAACGGCCCGACCGGTGCTGGCGAGCTCGCGCTCGGCGTGCAGCCGCCGCAGGGCATGCCTTTTGGTGACGGTGCGGTCAACGACGGCATCCCCAACGGTGAGCACACCGTGACGTTCTCGCTCAAGGCCCAGCCCAACGAGCAGGAGCCGTTCTCGGCCGGCACGTACGAGGTCGAGTTTGCCGTGTGCAACGGCATTTGCGGCGCGACCAAGCCGCACTCGGCTGTCCTCGCCGTCGGCAAGGGCTCGTTCCGCATTGAGCAGTAAGTTGACTCGCGGAGGCGGACCAGGCTTTTTGCTCCCTCGACCCGTGGCGGGCGGAAGCTCGTTCTAGCGGGAGTAAAGGCGTCGATGTTTTGATTGCACGGGCGGCTAAAGAGCGTTGAAGCGGGCAGTAGTGATGAGGTCGCCGTAGACGTCAAAGCCGGAGAGGGCAAGAAAGTTGTGGTTAGACGAGTTGCGGCCCGACTGCAGGATGCGAAGGTAGCGGTAGGCGCGCGGGGCGCCGTCGACGGGCCACGACGCCGAGGCGAACTTGCCGTTGAGCGCCGTATCGTTGCGATGGCGCTTGAGGTCCTCCCAGCTCACGCCGTCGACCGAGCCCTGGAGCTCCCAGTTGCGGAGCGAGTCGGCCTTGTAGTTGCCGCCGTGACGAAGGGTGTAGTAGGTAGGCCGAACGCGGCGCTCGTCGCCAAAGTCGATGCAGAACCACGAGGCCGGGACGTTTGCAGTCCAGAACGGGGCCTGACCGTCGCGGGCAAGGACAAGCAAAGGGGTGCCCTTTTGAATCGACGAGGCCGTGACCTTGACCGACTGGAACTCAGCGCCGGCGACGGGAATGGCCGGGTTGCGGAACTCGTGGGCGCCACCGCCGGTCCCGATGTAGAACAGGATGCCGTTCTCGTCAAAGTCGTACTGGTACTCAAAGTGCTTTCCGTAGGCATTGCGCGGCTGGAGACGGGCCGCGCTTGAGACCTGCATCGGGTCCTCGCCGAGCTCGACCCGTCGGAGACGGGCGAGCGCGGCCTCGAGAAGGAGCTCGCGCGGGACGAGCTTGTTGGTGGCGACTTCCTCGAGCTGGGCCACAGTCATAAAAGTAAAGCGGACAGCCTCAAAGAGGGCGGCGACGCGGTCCGATGCGGCTGGCGGGTTCGAAGTCGACGACGACGACGAGCCGAGCCGGGGTCGGTCAAACGCGGCGCTAGCTGGGAGGCTCCGCGGCGGGTCATCGGCAAGCATGGCGGCGCAGTACGCATTGACGGCGGTGTAGACAGCAAACTCGGTCTTGGCGGAGAGCCGCGGGTGGAAGAACAGCTTTGCGGCGAGGTGGAGCGGGAGCGAAGAGTAGTCGGCCTTGCGCAAGCGGTGGAAGTTGCGGGCAATGGTGTCGATGGCACGCGAGGCGACCGACTCGCAGCCGAGGGAGATGGCGGTGGAGAGGGCGTCGATGGCGTTGTCGGCCTTGATGGCGCGGCGGACGTAGGTAGTGAGCACGTTGCGGAGCTCGTCGACGCCGTAGGCGTCTGCCAGCGCCATGAGGGCAATGTAGTTGTCTGGAGTCACCCGCGCCTTGCCGGTGTACATGAAACTCAGCAGCTGGCCGAGCAGCCGCTGAGGGTCGGGCGCCGAGACGCGGACAACGACGACCGAGTCGAGGACGATACCTTCGAGGTCACCACTGTGTGCTGCGGTGACGGCGGCGGCGGAGGCCGGATCGAGGACGGCGACCGGCGACGAGGTTCGGGTCGGCGGTGTGAGCAGAGCACGCGGTCGCTTCCACAGCGGCGGCATTGCGCCCTTTGGGCTCCGCACATGACCGAGGCTGGCGGGGGTGGCTGAGCTCGAGCTTGACGCCGATGAAGCCTCACCTGACGACGCCGATGTTGAGTCTGACGAACTCGACGAGGAGCCCGACTCGGATTCCGAGGCCTTGCCCTTGCTCGCGCGTCGGCCCCGCGAGAGGGTGCGCTGGCGGCGGCGGCGGCGTGCGGTGGCGGCGGCGTGCATGGCGACCATGCCGCGCGATGAGGCCGAGCCCGTTCGTCGCGGGCCAAAGGCGTGGGCCTCGTCCGGATGGGCGGTGAGGGCGGCGGCAAACTGGTCCGACGCGTTGCACAGGATGAGCTTGTGGGCGCGGAAGACCACGTCTGCCGCCGCATCATGGACCACCACGTCAGCGTAGAGGCCCGAGTCGAGGAAGCTGCCAAAGCCCGAGTCAAAGATCGAGCCTTCGCCGCCTCCTCCGCCTCTTCCCGCCGCACCCTCTGCGCTTGCGGGGCCAATCGACGACGCCGCCGCTGCCACTGCCGCCGCCGCCGCCGCCGCCGCCGCCGCTGCTGCCGCTGCCGTGACCGACGCCGAGCGCCGCGACGAACGGGCTGCCGCCTCGCCAGCCATGTGCACCCGTGCGGGGCTGGCCGCGTCAGGAGGCTGCCAATCGGTGTCTGTCTCCGACGAGTCTGTACTCATGGTGTGCGTGTGTGTGTGTGTGTGTGGGGGGGGGGGGGGGATAGGTGGCCAGCAGCCAGCACGACGCCAGGGTGGCTGGGCAGCCGTCACCCCCCCCCCCCCCCCCACACACACACACACACACACTATTGGAACAAACCCCCCTCGAAAAGAACACCTTTGGTTCTCTTT